AAAGATTCTAAAAACACATGGAGATACACAGTATCTCTACTGACCCTCGGCCTTGTGGAGCTCCAGCTGGAGCTTGCTCTTTAGCCCCGCTTCCTGGTCCAGCTGGTCCAATACGAGCTGGTGTTGGAGCAGCATCTGGGAGGAGTCTGAACGGCCCTGGGAAAATCTCTCCTCCAGAGACAGATGGACTGAACAAGACACCTCCAACTAGAGAGCGAGACCGAGAGAGAACGAGAGAGACAGAGGAACACAAAGATCAGTAGCTGAGTTTCATACAAATTCAATGCATAGAATGTTGTGTTGACCCCCCCACTAACCTCTCAAGCGTTCATTGTGAATTAAGCGATGACTCTGCATACCAACAAGCTAGTGTGTGGTTACCTGTGTGTTAGCGTGGGTGAGTAGCTCCAGGAGTGTGTCCACAGAGTGGCGTAGTCGGCTGCAGGCTCCCAGGGCTGCTTCCTCTCCTCCAGAGTGTGTTTGTGACTCTGCCAGAAGAAGGCTCTCACACACACGCTGAGAGAGATCCAGATCGCCTGTCGACATATCTGCTACAGAGACACCTAGTGGAGAGAGAGGAGACAGGTCAGGTATTACACACAGTTATCAGTCCTTTCTTCCCAAGCGTGTACTTGTTCACTTCCTGTCACAAATGTTTAAAGGACACAGGTACAGTTGTTAGATTCAACCCACCCGTCTCCTGATTGGTTGTTTCCTTTCCTGGCCTCTCACTCTGATCATGACCTCTGACCCCAACACACGCGCTGACACGGCGGCCAATCAGCTCCTCCATTGCCATGGTGCTCAGGACCACCTCAACCAGAACCTTCCTCAGCTTCTCATTGGCTGACTGGAGAGAGCGCCTAGGGGTCAGAGGTCAAAGTGAGAGGAGAATGACCAACAAACACTCCATAAAAAAAAACGAAGGCATTTCAAAAAATTAAGCCTACACACTCTAGTCAGGCCTACATTCATCCAGACAGCCTCACCTCTCCTCCTTGGCAGTGTGTAGGTCCTCAGTGAGCATGTTGAGGAGGTTGCCTCCCTCCTGACTCTCTCGTTCTCGCCGTTGGAGGAGTGTATCCAGGGTCTCCATCTCTGATCTCTTCCCCTCCAACTCCCCCTGTAGACTGTCCACCTCCACTCGCAACTAGAGAGAGAGAGAGAGAGTGTCATAGGACAGCAGGACTGATACAAAGACAGACAGAGACACATTCAAAACACAAACCTCAGTGTGTGGCTGAGAGCCAGAGAGAAGAGAAGCCAGAGACAGGAAACCAGTCATCACTAAACATGATCAGATAATCGTCCTCCCAGTCATAGATACCACAGTTGCATTCAACATCACACTCCCTTTACATAACATGACCAAAAGCAGAACCATGTGTCTCGTAATGTCCAATCAGAGAGAGAGAAAGGGACAGAGTCTCCATTTCCAGTCACCATTAGTTTCAGATTTGCCTGTTTAGCCTTCCAGGAAGCACTCTCACACACACGTAGAGCTACACAAACACAAACGACGGTGTAATCCTGCGTGCCTGGCAGGCAGCAGCTCTCTGCTTCAACATCAACTGAGTGGGAGTGAGTTGAAAGCTGAACTCCCTCCCTCCCTTTACCTCCCTTTACCTCCCATTTCTTCTCTCTCCCTCTGAATCCCTTTACCTCTCCTTCCCAAAGCTTTTACTTGGCTCCTCTCTTCATCTCTCCCGCAGTCTCGCTCGTTCTCTTACAATTTCTTCCCTCTCTTTCTCCCTCCCTCTATGTCTAACAACCAACACTAGTTGCCTTAGCAACACCCCCCCCCCCCCCCCCCATTATCCCTTATGATTAAGGAAGGGGGTGGGGGGTAGTTGTTGGAGCACAAATACCCCACACTACCTGATCCATGGAAACAAACACAATGGAAACACACCCCACACCCCTGGGGGGGTCTAAAATAGCATTAGCATTGAACGGATTGTCTCTATGAATAAGGTTGGATAGAAAGCAGAAACTGGTCATGGTTAGCATGGGAACTTTGCCATGATAAACATACTGGGAGTAATGGATGGATGAATAGATAACAAAATAATTGATGGATAGACAAATGGACGAATGTGCATGTAACTGAAATGCCATTATGCATGATGAGAGATTAGAGATGAGAGATTTTCATCCAGCCAGCAGGGTGTGTGCATGCCGGACAGAACACACACGGGATTAGTATTGAGATTAATGAGGAAGATAATCCCTTTAGAAGAGCCACTGGGCTGTGAGTGTGTGCGTTTCTAGACGTTATGAGTGAAAAAAACAACATCCTCCCCCCTTTTTAAATCTCTTCCTGCAAGTCTCCCGCCACAATCACCCTCTTCCCTTCTCTCTTTGTAACCCAACTCTCTCCTCTCCTCTTATATATCTCCCATACTCTCCCTTTCTCCCTTTGTTCCCCCCTCTCTAGCCCTGTTGATAGTTGGGCTTGTCTGGTCTTGCCCACAGAATTCATTTCCTACTAACAGTGTGTGTGTGTGTGTCAGAGTATGTGAGTGGAGTTGAGCGGTTGGAAATCCTGCTCATGGAGTGGGATTTCGCTCCAAGTGCTTTCCAACCGCTCTGCTAAAAACCGCTCCGCGCTCACAGGAAAGAAAACGGCATTTGCGCCATTCATTAAAATCACAATTTAACCAACACTGATCTATTTTTGTGACTACCTGGATCTACCATTTAGTTTTGAAGTATTGAAACCAAACTATATGATTTGAATGAAAAGTATTATAATAAACATGAAAAGGTGAATGTAAGAAGCGCTCATCATTTCAAATAGGCTACATGTCATATTAAACAGCATATAAACACTAAATAGGTCAGACTAGACAGGGAGTCTAAGAATGAACGGAAATGAATTATATATAGGCTATATTATTTACATTATTTCAAGGCTATAGTCTACAAAGAAATACATTGTGAAGCATTTGTGAGTGGTAGGGACACAAAGTGGTGTATTAAATCATTATAGTCTATAAATTGCACATATAGGCTGTGACTTACTTAGAATTAAATACAAATTAAATGAAAAATGACTTATTAGTGCCTTTGAATTCATTTTTAGAAACACAAGTTTGGCCACTCTGTGGCTTCAGGCTCATACGATGATGCCTGGAGAGCAGGCCAGCAGCGGAGAATACCCTCTCCACACTTGCAGAGCCACTGGGGATGCAGATATTTATATTTTTATATAGGTAGGCCTAAAGGTTTTTAGGCAAAATAACCCAATCAAAACGGAAAGCTCCTTGAAAGTTGGAATATGCCAGGCCTATTGGGCCAAAATCAATTATGGCCTATTGTATAGATAATAGAACAAAAATGAACAAAACGTTTAAGAGATCAGATTTTTGGTTTATAAATACTTTACTACAATGTAACACTTAGTTATCTACCCACCTCGTTTCTTTCTTTTAGCATGTGCATGTAGTAAGTACACCATCATGCTTTCTCATATTCCACAATGAGTCTTTAGTTGTGGACACTACATCACCACTACATCTTGATTTTGCAACTGTGTGTTTTATCAGTTTATGAAAATATTTAGCGATCTCCATGACAGTAGATAAAGCAAAGGGCTATAGCAGCACACAAGTACACTACCAATGCATGCTGGGCCGGGCATGCCCTGAGCTCGTGAAGTGAGTGCTACTGGAGTGAAATTGGAGCGGGCAAGAAGGCCGACGCTCCAGCCAAACTGGGCACGCTCACATACTCTGGTGTGTGTGGTGTGGGTTACCTGTGACACCACAGTGTCCAGCTGTAGCAGTTGTGCAGTGAGCTGGCTCATCTTGTCGGTGTAGCTTTGTTCCTTCTGCTCGTGCTCAGAACTGAAGCTCCGCCTCTGTTCTGCTAGCTCCGCCTCCTTCTGCTCCTCAAACTCCGCCTTCAGAGGAAAGAGATGTTGGTCATGTTGTCCAAACTGCCAGACAGACCGCACTTCTGTTCTAGGACTTGTTCTAAAACTCCCCCCAAGGTTATTGGGTAACAGCTCTCCCCTTTTCCAACGTTCTACGTTAAAACTACAACCAAAAACTCCCAGGCTGATTTGGACTGACTGACTGCTAGCTTTCGCTCAGCTCAAATGCATAAAAAAAAAAAAAAGTGTACAAAATAAAACCTTCTGCATCTGAGGATCAAAAGCTAAAATCCATCCCATTTAGCCACTGTTCACGTGGCAGTAACACACACCCACAGAAATACAGATACCAAAAACACACACTGTCCTATATGAAGGAAGGATTATGGTTGTGTAAATCTCATGGGACACTGGCCAAGCATGGGCTAACCCTGGGAGAGAACTGGTCCTGCTGGGGTGTGCGTGTACACACACACACACACACAGAGAGCGAGAGACCTCCAAAATACAGCCCCATTATATAATGTAATCTGTCAGAATTCAGTTTCTCTCAGTGATCTACACATGGAGCACTATGTCAGACTACTGTAACATCATGACAGGAAAAGGGGAAACAGGATAACTAGTCAGCTGCACAACCGAATGAGTTCAGCTGAAATGTGTCCTAAAAGACATTCCCACACCACTGTTGCATATGCTCCTGTATAGTTCATTGCAATGTTTTAGGCTGATGAAGACCTCACTCCGTTTCCCCCACCCTCTCTAAGTCCCCCTTTGCCCTAGGCGTTTGTATAGATATGAAAGGATTTGGTGGCTTCAAGAAATACGATGAATATTTCCTCTAATCTTTCAGACAGCAAGTTAATTCCTCTTCCTCCACCTGTCATCCCTCCTTCCTCCTCCTCCCTCTCTCCATCTCTCTCCTCCTCTCACCTTCAGTTGGCTGATCATCTGCTGAAGTCTCTCCTCTGCTTGGGCCTTCAGAAGCTCAACCTCTTCCAGGAAGTGCAGCCGTTGCCTTGACGACTCCTCCTCCAGCTCCCGGCGACACGCCTGTAGCTCCCTCGCAGATGCACTCTTTAGCTCCTATACACACACACACACACACACACACACAATGACCCCTCGTCTAATACAGTTTGTGAACGCACAATGAGAGAGTAATCCCTTCGCTTTTATATGCCATTAGAGACACAGTCAGCATTAAGACTACTGAGAAGGGGAATGGAATGTTCCGGGATGGTGTGTAAGTCTGTCAGACCTGAAGCTGCTGCTGGTGCTGTGTGTTGAGTTGCTGTGTCTCTGAGGTGTAGGTGTGTGTGAGCTCCTCTAAGGCGGTGCAGTGCTGTTGTGCCAACTCCATGACCTGGGGACAGACACAACGAGATCAAACACCTGAATGGATGGACGGATGGTCAGCCAAGAGATGGAGGGATGAGTACCTTTTTCCTGAGGGCCTCCAGAGCCGTGTGGTGTTCAGCCTCTAAGGCCTCTCTCTGGACAGACAACTGAGCTTCTAAGGCCTCTTTCTGGATTGTCAACTCATTCTGAGAGAGAGAGAGCGAGAGAGATCGAGCAAGAAAGAGAAATAACATCAGAATTGTCTAATGAATATACAATACATCTATTTTTTTTTGTGTGAATTTGCATCTTTCCTTGACTTCAAATGACCACTTTGTTGTCTCACCTGGTGGGTGTGGCTGAGCTCTGTTGCCATGGCGCTAAACTTCTTCATGTGAAGCTGAGCCAGCTCCTTCCTTAGCTCCTCCCTGACAGACTGCTGCTCCAACCTTTCACGCTCCACTTCCTGGTTAAGCCTTGACCTTTCACGCTCCACTTCCTGCTTATGTTCCGTCTCAAGCACAGACTTCTGATCGCGCAGAGTCTGAGATATGGGAACATGAAGATAAAATAGATGTGGAATATAGATTCCTTGAGTGGCGCAGCGGTCTAAGGCACTGCATCGCAGTGCTAGAGGTGTCACTACAGACCCGGGTTCAATCCCGGGCTGCATCACAACCGGCCGTGATCGAGAGTCCCATAGGGCGGCGCACAATTGGCCCAGCGTCATCCGGGTTAGGGGAGGGTTTGGCCGGGGTAGGCCGTCATTGTAAATAAGAATTTGTTCTTAACTGACTTGCCTAGTTAAATAAAGGTTAATTAAAAATAAATAAATAGATATACAAGATTTAAAACAGTGTGTGTGTGTGTGTGTTCTTACCTGGATCTCCCTCAGGTATGTGGCCTCCAGGGTGTCCATATTACCCAGCATCCTCTTCTCCAGCTCTTCCCTCTCTTCCTGATGCCGGTGTTCTAACTCCGCCTCCTGTGCCTCTAGCTGAGCCTGATTGGTTTCCTGTAGGACCGCCTCCAGGCGATCGAGCTCTGCCTTGCGTTTTGATTCAAGGCTGATTTCCAAGACAACAAGCTCCTCCTTCTGTTTTGTTGTAATCTCCGTTGCCATTGCTTTGAGCTCAGCCTTGTGATTGGCCAACAAGGAGTCCAGTTCTGCTTTGTGATTGGTTTGGAGCGTGTCCATGTCCTTCGTGTGGTTGGTCAGTAGCGTGGTTCTCAGGAGTTCCATGGCGCCCATGTGTTCATCCCTCAGCTCCCCCAGAGAAACCTCACCCTGCTGGGCCAGACGCTGCTCCAACTCCCCCCTCTCCTCCTGGAACCTACACACATGCAGAAGAGGTCAGCCAGATTAATTTCGAGACGAATGGACAGATACAGAGCGTTAACTCGCTCTGTGAATGTATTTGTTTACTATGGGGCAAACTTTCACTTAGATAGTGAGAATCTCTGGTATTATATGAAACACACTGTATTAACCTCCAGACCCACCCCCCAGTCTCTCTGGGTGTTTTACCCCAACCAGGTCTCACCTGTCCTGGGCTTGGCGTAGCCTCTGGTCTCCCTGCTCCTGAAGCAGAGCGGTCAGCTCCTTGACCTCAGCAGCCATGGAGGACTTGGCCCTGGTCAGCTCAGCCTCGTACTGGGCCTCTAGCCTCTGTCTCACTGCCACTGCCTGGGGGTCTGGGGGAGAGACATGTGAGACACAAAGAGCAAAGACCGTACGAAGTGACAGGAGAACAAGGAAGTTGTTGAACTACATGAAACATTTTCAGGTATTTACTCTGGTCGTTGTTCAGTGAGTCTTGTAGACTCCTGAGTGCCGCTCTCGCCTCCTCAATCCCTTTCTCCAGAGCTCTCCTTTCCTCCTCCATCCCTCTCTCCAGCTCCTCTCTCAGGGCAGAGACCCGCACCTCCTCCTCCTCCTGGAGCTCCTGTCTGAGCCTCTGCACCTCCTCCTCTCTCCTCAGGGTCACCTCCTCCATCACTCGCTCCCTCTCTTCCTTACATTCCTCTGCTAGTTTCACACCCAGCTCCTCAGCAAAGTTCTGCTTCAGCTACAAACACCCGGGTCAACATACGGTCACTCAGGGTCAACATGTGGCAACACTCAATACCCTGTCACACACACTCATACAATAATGTATGTATGTACTTGCTATGAGTGTGTGTTTCTCCAGTGTGTGTGTATATTTTCAGTGAATGTGTAGCTCCAGTGCGTGTGTGTGTGTACCTTCAGAGTGTGTGTGTGTGTACCTTCAGAGTGTGTGTGTACCTTCCGAGTGTGTGTGTGTGTACCTTCAGAGTGTGTGTGTGTGTGTGTGTACCTTCAGAGTGTGTGAGCGTAGCTCCAGGGTGTGTGTGTCTGTCAGAGCAGCCAGTCGTGTCTCCAGGTTCTGGATCATGGTCATTCTGGTCTGCAGCTCCTCAGAGTGACACCACATCCTATGCTCCACCTCCACCTGTTCACATCACATGACATTAGAAATCCTACTCCCACTGGAAACTTAACAGAACTCTGATTCACCTCGATTTACAGAATCTAATTCATTCCCTGTCATCATTCTTACCTCCACCTGTCTGGCAGCCTCCAGACGCACCCTGGTCAGCTCTGTGTGGAACAGATTAGAGGAGAAGGATTCATTGAAGGAGAGAGAAAATCTATTTCTATGTTGAAGAATATTCAAATTGCTTGTGTGTGTGAGTGTGAGTCCGTATACCTCTGACATGGCTGTCTGACAGTTTAGCGCGGAGTTGTTCCATCTCGAGGGCGTGGCGAGTCTTCAGCTCCTGCAGGTCTCCATAGTAACGATCAGTCAGGTCCGATCGCACCTAGACAGAAAAGGAAAGAGTGAAGGAAAGACTAGGGCCTGATCATGGTGGATCATAGGTGAGACAGCTCTTGTGTGTGTGTGTGTGTGTGTGTGTGTGTGTGTCAGGGTTTCCGCTAGGAAAATGTGGCGCCGGACATTTGACCGGCAACATTTTAATTTACCGGACATTTATTACATTTACCAGACCCATATGAATTGGGTGCTTAACCTGATTAGGGCATCCACCCCACAGTATGCTGAATGACAGAAATCCCATTTAGATTATGGTAGTTCATCTTAATAGAACTGCAACTCGAGGATGAAATAGCCTGTGTCCTTACCGAATTCCGATGTGCAATTTGAAGATGTTAGAATCACTGTCCACATTTACGTTTCCTCAGCCAACAAGAGGAGTAACGAACAGAAAAATCACTAGCCTACGTCAATCTACTATAGTAGAAAAGTTGACCTTTTCTATTGGTCAGCTTGTCGTTCTGTGGGATAAAGAAATTATTCCTATTCCAAACTGACTCTGGGACAGTTGTGGGAGGACAGATCCCAAATTCATCCAACCAGTAGGCCTAGGCTACTTCCCCCCAAAAAACGTTAAAAAGCAAATGAGGCTCATGCAACAGATCAGAACATTTAGCGTAAAATGTTGATAAACTATTATTTCTTTACATTATAAGCGCAGCAATGAGCACAAGGCAGTAGGCTACGCGCAAATGTTCATTCCATAATGCAATTAGCGGAAAACACCATTGTCAAAAGAGCAACGCACATGCCAGCGATTTCAAGAGACAGATGAAAATATCCGTTAGAAATTTAGAAAGAGGGGAGATCTAAAGATGCAACAACTAGCATGGTTGCTAATATGACTAGGATTGTGCCTTTGGCTACTGGACAATGAAATAAATTTGAAAACCAATAGAACATAAAAGAAATAGGCTTCTGGTTTCAATGGCATATGGAAGTCTTTATAAAATAATTGCCTGCACATCTGGTTGGATTTTGGCTAGGCTACTTTGAAGCAAGGTAAGACATGCCTCATAATTAGTTCAGGTTTCAAACAATTAAGTATATGTTTTCAAAATGCATACTGCCTCCAGCGCATTGCAAAGTGGTGTGTGACGCGCTGAAGCCTGCCTAGTTGCCTATGCACTTGAACGGTGAATGGGAAGCGCGCTTCAATTACCAGATGAGAAATCAAAACTGCATTATGAATTGTTGCACAATGATTGGGTTTATAAAAGCACATTTCACTCCAGCAGCAACGAACAAACTGTTTGATGATCTGTAGCAGCAGCTCTCGCGCTACATCGACTGATGTTTCAATCAATGAATACCCACATTTTGGCAATGGGATGTATTTATTTATCCCGGCATTGCATACTTTTTTGGGGGCCAAAAGCCGGCTATTACGGCTACCGGAAACCCTGGTGTTGTGTGTGTACCTGTAGAAGCTCCTCTCTGTAGGACAGGGCCATAGAGGACCGTAGGTTAGACAGCTCCTGAGTGTGTCTCTCCTCCAACTGGATTCGCAGCGAGTCAAACGCCTCCTGGTGTTTCTCCAGTTTCAGTGTGATCTCAGTCAGAACATCACTCCTCTCCTCCTCCCCTCTCCCTTCAGACAGGAAACTACACACACACGACAGCGGTCAGTAAGATGGCCCACCACTGGCCCAGGCTTATAGATTGTGTGTAATTGGCGGCTGGTGGGCAGATTAGCCAAGCAAGGCCAACTAGCATTAGCGTACCTAGCATCCTGGGTCTTGAGTACAGAGTCCTCCAGGGCTCCCTCCACCAGTCTCAGCTGCAGCAGGGCTATCTCCTCCCGGTAGCTCTCCTCTGCTACTCGCAGACGCTGCTCAAAGTACCTGACCAGGTACACATTAATGGGGTGTAAGTGTGTGTTCACTTGCATGGGTTTACATTGGTGTGTGTTCACTTGTATACCTTGTGCATCTATCTACCTGTATAGGTGTGTGTAGGTGAGCACATTCATCTGCATAGGTGTGTGTGTGTGTGTGTACCTCCTCAGGTTCTCCAGCTCGACCTCGTTCTGCTCCTTGATCTCCCGCCTCTGCTCGTTAAACTCCGCCTTCAGACGCTCGATGTCATCAACCCGCGATGAACGAGCTAGCAGCTGCTCCTTCAACTCTAGAGAGAGAGACGAAAGAAAAAGAGAGATGGAAAAAGAGAAGGTATCCGAAATTATTTTGGTTGACCAATCGAACCAATTTGTACTACTTGACGAATTATGTTCTAGCATAGGTCCAGAGTGTGTGAGTACTCACCTCCCAGTTCCTGGCGGCTGGTCCTCATGTTGTCTATCTGAGCCCAGAGCTGAGAGACCTCCTGGTCACAAGTCTGTCTCAGAGTCAGCTGCTCCCCATGCAGACGACACACCTAGAGGAAGGGGAGAGAGAGAGTTTAGGAAAGGCACTATCCAAAGCATAAAGCAAATCTCAGAAACAGAAGAGCATGTGTGTTCACCTCCTGCTGTAGCTGCCGTGTTTGTTCCTCTCTCTCCTGCAGCACCACCTGGTGGCTGGACACCAGATCCTCCACTGCACCTGGAGAGTAGCAATAACACATTCATAACATCATTATCACATGCTTACAACGTATGGACAACAGCAATAACACATAATAAGACTTAGTTGACTCACGGGCGGCAGCGTCCCTGTCGGTCCAGGCCTGGCTCAGCTCCCCCTCCAGCCTCTGGAGCTCCTCCAGGCTTGCCCGGGCCTCGGACAGATCTGCTCCAGTCTGGGTGAGGGCTGCCTGGGTAGAGGAGAGTGACGCCCGAGCCTCTGATAGCCATGTCTGGAGCTCTGACTGGGCCTTCTCTGACTCCTGCTGCCACCGGGACCTCAAGGCCTCTATTTCTGCAGCCTGCCGCTCCTCCATGGACGCTCTCTCCTGGGAGACACGACTCTCACACTCCTGCCTCAGAGCATCTACACACACACACAACGACAAACAGTGTCACCAATGGTAGTTAACTCAATCAGGTAAGATGAAGGTCCATTTGTTAACCAACAGAGCTATGCATTGGAGCGTCTGAGTGAGAGGGCCCTACTCCACTACCATCATCCTCACCCATGTTCCTGTGATACTCCTGCTGTTCTCGCTGGATCCTCTCCTCACTCTCAGCTCTCAGCCGCTCCACCTCAAACTGCTGTCTGGTCTGCAGCACGGCCCTCTCCTGGGCCCATTTCTCCCTGAGGGAAGCCTGGAGCTCGCTTAGAGAGGCCTCCCGCTCCCGCTGCAGGTTGGCCTGGGAGAGCTCCAGCTGGGTCGTTTGGTGGTTGGTCAGGCTCAGACGCAGCGCCTCCAGCTCCAGGGACTGTTGGCTCTATAGAGCGATAGATAGGAGAGAGAGGTAGGTAGGGGGCAGGGTTTCCGTTAGGAAAATGCGGCGCCGGACATCTGACCGGCAGCATTTTAATTGAACGGACATTTGAGAAATTTACCGGACCCATGTGCATTGGGTGCGTAACCTGATTAAGGCGTACACCCACGGTGCTCAGAATGAAGATGCACTATGCAGAAATCACTCCGCCATTTCCTGGTTGCTAAAATTCTAATAGCTTGCTTAATTTCAGTTTATGTGACAAAACAAGCAAGTATAGTGTAGAGAATCATTGCACCATCTAAACCGCTGTGAAATATATTTATTACAAAACCAAAAAAGACGCAAAAAATAAACTTAAGAATGGGAAGCATAGAAATAGCACACATACAACAGATCTACCGCTTCTTAGACTTGCTTTCAATGAGAATGACAGATCTCTAACCCACATTAATATGTGAATTTGGTCGGGTTGCCCAAAAAGTTACATATCGCAGCTTTAACAGAACATGCAACTCGAGGCTGCAACGGCATGCGTCCTTAGCGAATTCCGATGCGCACTTTGAAGATGTTAGATTAACTGCCACAATTACTTTTCCTTAGCCAACAAGACGAATAACGAACAGCAAAATCTAATCAATCTAATCTTCCCCATAAAAAAGTTACGCTATTCTATTGGTCAGCTTGTCGTTCTGTGGGATAAAGAAATAGCCTATTCCAAACTGACTCTGGGACCGTTGTGGGATGATAGATCCCAAATTCATACAACCAGTAGGCCTAGAGTACTTCCCAAAAAAAATTTAACTTTAAAAAGCAATGAGGCCGATGCAACAGATCATTTAGCGTAACATGTTGATCCACTATTATTTCTTCACATTATAAGCGCAGCAATGCGCCAAGGCAGTAGGCTACGCGAGTATGTTCGTTCCATAATACAATTAGCAGTAAAACACCGTTGTCAAAAGCACTCATTCATGTGACAGAGATTAAAATATCCAGTCGAAATTTAGAAAGAGGGGAGATCTAAAGATGCAGCAACTAGCATGGGTTGCTAATATGACTAGGATTGTGCCTTTGGTTACTGGACAACGAAAGGAAGTTTATTTAAAAACCAATAGAACATTAAAGAAATAGGCTACTGGTTTCAATGGCATTTGGAAGTCTTTGCAAAATAATTGCCTCCACGTTTCTATGATCGGATTTTACTTTGAAGCAATGCAAGACATGCCTCATATATGAAGTAAAATGTTCAGGTTTCAAACTACTAAGTATATTTTTTCAAAATGCATACGGCCTCCTGCTCATTGTAAAGTGCCTGCCTACCGTTGTAGTTGAATGGCGAATGGGAAGCGAGCTTCAATTACCAGTAGCTATTTTTAATCGTGGCCATCAAAACCTTTTTTAATATGCGATTGCATTTAGAATTGTTGCACAATGATTGGGCTTATAAAAGCACATTTCACTCCAGCAGGAACAAATGAGCTGTTTGAGGACCTGTAGCAGCAGCTCTCGCCACTGTCTGACAGATTTTCCGCTCATATAGGCTCTGTATCTGTATGCTGTGAGTGTGTGATAAACATAACGACCAACGAAAATACACACGCGCCAATGTAATTCCACTAAATTATGCAAATTAACCTGTAGACCAATAAGCATGACCGGTCAAATGGATTTACATCGACTGGTATTTCCATCAATTAATAGGCTACAAATAATTATTTTGCAATGAGATTTTTTTTCTTCTCCCGGAAAATTGTCCGGCGGCAGTTTTATTAAAAACAATTATCGACCAAAAGCCAGCTATTACCGGCTAACGGAAAACCTGGTAGGGTTGGTTGTGTGTGTGTGCGTGAATGTGTGTGTGCCTGTGTCTAGTTGTGTGTGTGTACCTGCATCTGTAGTAGTTCTGCTTGGTGGGCTGCCTCCATGCTCTCTCTCTGTTCCCCTGATAGCTCTGCCTTCAAACGGCTAAGCTCCTCCCTCTGCTGTGACATCATCTCCGACACCATCCTCTGGTGTTCTCTCTCGTTCACCTGGAGACAGACAGAACGAGATAGAGAGGGAGAGAGAGAGTGACTAGCAGCACACAGGTATGCATATAGGTTACTGTTGTTGTGGTGTGTGTCTGTCTGTACCTGTTTGATAAGGCTGATCTGTCTCTTCTGCTCCTCCTCCAGTGTCTCTCTCTGCTCACGCAGCTCTCTCTCCAGACGGCCGCTCAGCTCAGACACCTCCTCCTGGTGTTTCTCCTGCAGCTCCTGCACTTCCTCACTGTGAGAGCTCCTCAGTCTCTCTGTGGCCTCCTCCACAGACCGCATCTGCTGCTCCAGGAGCGCTTTCACCTCCTGCTCCCTCTCCCTCCGCTGCTCCTCCAGCAGACGTCGCACCCCCTGCACCTCCTCGTCCTTCTCCTGCCGCTCCTCCTCCCACTTCTCCCTCTCCTCCTCCACCTGAAAAAGAGATATCATATCATGTCTGTTCAGTACTTCCTGAACAGGTCCAAATACATATCATAGCCTAATCATCGTCATCCTCCTCCTCACCTCTTCCTCCTTGGCTCGGAGCTGTCTCTGGAACTCCTCCAGCTCCTCCGCCATCACCTTCTCCATCCTCCGCATGGTTCTGTCCATCTCCTCCTCTCTCTTTCTGCCCTCCTCCCTCTCCCTCGCTCCCTGGGCCTGGACCTCCTCCAGGTTACACAGGTTCTGTCTCAGACACAGCAACTCAGACTCTACCTCTGTCTTCTCCCTCTCAGTCTGCTCCATCCTCCTCTCCCTCTCCTCCGCCGCCTGCCTCGCTGTCTCCGCCTCCTTCTGGACTCTGTCCATCTCTTTCCGAACGGTGTCGAGCTCCAGGGTTTTCTGACCGAGGAGGGCGGTGGTGGTTTTGTGCCTGGATTTAGTTTCTTCCAGCAGGGCTAGGAGCTGGTCCCGATGGGTCTGGAGAGGAGAGGTTATTAGCTTGGACCCAATTAGAACCAATCAAACCAATTAGAGAGAGAGAAAAACACAGGGATTAGCTAGTGGAAGATAGGGAGTTGAGCGAGTAAGAAAGAGGAGAAACAAAAGTGATAGGGGAGGAAGAGGGGAAGAAAAACTGAAATAGAAAGAGAAGTAGAGAAGGAGGAAGAAGAAAGTTCCTGGCCACCTGTAGTGACTGTAGCTGTCGTCCGAACAGAGCGTGGACTTCAGAGGAGACAGAGTCTCCTGCCTGTTTCACCTCCTGCAGAGAGGAGACCAGCTGCTCCTGCTGCCTCAACCTGGAGAGGAGGACACTCTTCTCCTCCTCCTCCACCTCCCTCAGCTCCCCCTCGTTCTCCTTGTTGCTCCCTTTCGCCATCCGGACAGAGGAGAGCAGCTCTTCCTGCTGTTTTAGACGAGAGAGGAGGAGAGATTTCTCCTCTTTTAGCTGTTCCATCACTCGCTCCTGGCTGGGGAGGAGGGTACCTCCCTCCTTCTCTAGGAGAGGAGAGGAGTTGAGTCTCTCTATCTCTTTCTCTCGCTCCTCCCGCTCTTTCTCTCTCTCCTCCAGTAAGGTGCAGAGTTTGTTCTTCAGATTGTCCTCCTCGTGTGTTTTCAGGCTGACCTCCTCCTCGGCTTTCCTCCTCTTCTCCCGCTCCTCCTCAAGCTCCCAGTGCACCTCCTGCAGCTCCTCTGAGACCTGGGCCCACCTACAAACACACAGGCCCACCGACACACCATGAACATGAGCTGTACGTTCTCCAACACACAAAGATATGCTAGACAAGTACACACACACTATAACACACTCACCTGGCCCTGGCCTCCTCCAGCTCCTCAGCACTCCTCCTCAACTCCTCCATCACCACCTCCTTCTCCCTCTCCCTCAGAGCCACCTCCTCCCTGAGATCTCCACACTGCTGGATGAGGAGCTCCTTGCCCAAGTCTGAGACCTCCTGTCTCTCCGACGTCTCACTGAGTCTCTCAGAGGTCTCGCTGGCGTCACGTGAGACAGAGAGGGGGTCGTTCTGCCACTGGGAGGCGAAGGAGGGCATGTTTTCGTTCACAGGGTCGTGGCGGGGGCACTGTGCAGTGGATTGTGGGGCGGAAAAGTGAGTTTGTTCTTCCTGCGAAAAGGACAGCTGGGATTGGTCACCACCACTGACGATGTCACTGTCCAGCTCAAACCTGTGGTGGGATGGAGGGAGAGAGGGATGAGAGATGTGATTTGTATTGGGGGAAAATCCACCATAAGGGCAAAAACACACACATTCATTTCCCTCTGACCTGTAGTTGCCAGAGTTGTCCAGCAGGCTGTGCTCTTCCAGAAGGCTGCACTCCTCCAGACTTTCATTGGCCCAGGATGAGTGTGTGTTTGAGGGGAAGGCAGAGGACAGGTAGCGCTCCAACAGCGGGGTGCCATCATTGGGGAGGGACATGTCTAGAAGGCACTCCTCTCTCTCCTCCTCATCCCTCTCTCCCTCCTCCTCCTCCTCTTCCTCCTCCACACTAGCCCTTGCCTGGTTCAGTTTGTCTTTAGAAGCCTTGAATCCCAACTCCTCCTCTCTCATCCTCTCTCTCTCCCCCAACAGCTGTCTGACTCTCTGTACCTCCTTTCCAAGTCTCATCTTCTCCTCTTCCTGTCTTTCCCTCATCTCTCTCTCATCCTCCCTCTCTTTCCTTCTCTCCCTCTCCTCCTCCTCTAGTCTCCTCCTCAACTCCTGCAATTCCCTATTCAGCACCTCCTTCTCCTCCTTGTACTGGTGGATCTCTCTCCTCTCCTCCTCCCTCCCTTTCTTCTCCTCTTCTAGTTGGGAAAGCATGAGATGGTTTTTCTCCCTCTCCTCTAGCAGCTCTCTCCTCAATGTGTGCATCACTACATCCATCTCAGGATCAATACATTGTTCTAGGCTCTCACACCCAACTCCAGTGTGTTCATGTCCCATTCTGAGTGTGCATATTTGGTTCCCTAGTTCTTTTACTGGGACCTCCAGGTGGTTGGGGAGTGGGGGAAGGTCGTGGCAGCTGTGGCCAGGCTGGGAGGCCTGCTGCTGGGCTAGCGAGACCTCCGAGCCCCCCTGGGTCCTGGAGCGAAATAACTGAGAGGTCTGGAAAAGAGAACAGGGACATGGAAGAGCGTACATTCCCTTCTTCATTACTAGCAGTGAAATAAAAACTTTTTTAATTCTGTCAATCATAATCACATGTACTGTACCTTTTTAATGTTTCTAGACTTTTTGAAGTGTGTGTGTGTGTGTGTGCGTGTACCTGCTGTAGCTGCATCTGCAGGGCCTGTATCTGTCCAGTGAGGGAGAGGGCCTCCTGCTGTACCTGGTCTCTGCTCTCCAGCGCCTCCTGCAGGTTACAGCTCAGTCTGCTGATGATCTCATTACGCTTCTCTACTGCCGCCTGTAACTGCTGCAGAGAGAGAGAGACCATAGAGTCAGACACAAATGCACGCGCACACAGACATAAACACACATTTTATTCTTAACACCTTATTTGATTACATTTTATTCTTATCACTTTGGATTAAAAGTGTCTGCTAAATGGTAAATATATGATTGCAAGGGGAATGCATTTGAAAAGTATAACAGAGAGCGAGAGAGGAACAGGCAGAGAGGGAGAGAGAGCATAGTGCGAGGGAGACTGAGCAGAGCGAGGGAGATGGAGAGAGCAGAGAGGGAGACTGAGCAGAGAGAGGGAGATGGAGAGACAGCAGAGAGGGAGACTGAGCAGAGAGAGGGAGATGGAGAGCGAGGAACTTAGGGAGGGATAGAGAGAAGTGTGGATGAGAAAGATGTACAGTGCCTTCAGAAATTATTCACTAGACTTCTTTGTTGTTGCGTTACAGCCTGAATTTAAAATGGATTAAATTGAGATTTGTCATCACTGGCCTACACACAATATTCCATAATGTCAAAGTGGAATGATGTTTTTTGAAATGTTTACAAATTATTTACAAATGAAAAGCTGAAATGTCTTGAGTCAATAAATACGCAACCACTTTGTTATGGCAAGCCTAAATAAGTTCAGGAGTAAAGATTTGCTTAACAACTCACATAATAAGTTGCATGGACTCACTGTGTGCAATAATAGTGTTTAACATGATTTTGGAATGACTACCTCATCTCTGTACCCCACATACAATTATCTGTAAGGTCCCTCAGCCAAGCAGTGAATTTCAAGCACAGATTCAACCACAAAGAACAGGGAAGGTTTTCCAATGCCTCGCAAAGAAGGGCACCTATTGGTAGATAGGTAAAAAAAAAAAAAAGCAGACATTGAATATCCCTTTGAGCATGGTGAAGTTATTAATTACACTTTGGATGGTGTATCAATACACCACCCAGTCAATACAAAAATACAGGCGTCCTTCCTAACTCAGTTGCCGGAGAGGAAGGAAACCACTCAGGGATTTCACCATGAGGCCAATGGTGACTTTAAAACAGTTACAGAGTTTAATGGCTGTGATAGGAGAAAACTGAGGATGGATAAACAACATTGTAGTTACTCCACAATACTAACCTAATTGACAGAGTGAAACGGAAGCCTGTACCTAAAAATATTCTAAAACATGCATCCGGTTTGCAACAAGGCACTAAAGTAATACTGCAAAAATAATCTAAAACATAAGGCCAAATCTACACTGGAGTAGTTTACCAATAAGACAGTGAATGTTCCTGAGTGGCCGAGTTACAGTTTTGACTTACAGTACCAGTCAAAAGTTTGGACACACCTACACATTCAAGGGTTTTTATTTATTTTAACTATTTTTTACATTGTAGAATAATAGTGAAGACATCAAAACTATTAAATAACACGTATGGAATCATGTAGTAACCAAAAAAGTGTTAAACAAATCAAAATATATTTTATATTTGAGATTCTTCAAAGTAGCCACCCTTTGCCTTGAGGACAGCTTTGCACACTATTGGCATTAAATAAAGAAAAACCCTGGAATGAGTAGGCGTGTCCATACTTTTGACTGGTACTGTAAACCTGCTTGAAAATCTATGGCAAGACTTGAAAATGGTTTTCTAGCAATAATAAACAACCAATTTGACAGAGCTTGAAGAATTTTGAAAATAATAATAGGCAGATATTGTACAATCCAGGTGTGGAACGCTCTTAGAGACTTACGTATTGACTCATGGGTGTGAACACTTATGTAAATTAGATATTACTATATTTCATTTTCAACAAATGTGCTAACATTTCTAAAAACATGTTTTCACTTTGTCATTATGGGATATTGTGTGTAGATGGGTGAGAAAAATAACATACTTAATCCATTTTGAATTCAGGCTGTAACAACAAAATGTGGAATAACTCAAGGGGTTTGAATACTTTCTGAAGGCACTGTATCTCTAATTAGTCAGAAACAGCCCCATACGAGCAAACATCCAACCCAATTAGGAGTAGTGTGTGTGTGTGTGTGGGTGGTGTGTGGGTGTCAAACAAGTGCATCTAACCATAAAGTTAAGAATATAACTACTGTTCCCTGAAGGAGGGAAACGAGGCACAACACACAAGTGAAGTGTGTGTGTGTGTAACCTTTGTTGTAGGGCATGCATATGAACACACACGTCTAACCCATTTCTCCTGGTACATATTTAGAACACGATTATGTAATTTCTCCAGCAATAATGAAAGTAGAATTCAAGCAGTTTCTCATCCATTCTCTGCAATAGGAAAAGCTTTCTATATTTCCTCATTCATAGACAAAGACTGAATGCTGATTGGCTGAAAGCCGTGGTATATCAGACCGTATACCATGTGTACGACAAAAAAATAATTTTTACTGGTCTAATTACATTGGTAACCAGTTTATAATAGCAATAAGGCACCTTGGGGGTTAGCGGTATATGGCCAATATCCCACGTTTAAGGGCTGTATCCAGGCACTGTATCCTTAGCCATGGTATATTGGCCATATACCACACCTCCTCGGACCTTACTGCTTAAATAAACCATGTACAGTTAAGTACCTTGAGTTGATCTTTTCCAGTGCGAGCCACTAGGTCTTCCTCTCCCATAACCTCCATCTCCTCAGGCTGCTCACCGACCGCCTGCTCCCCCAGGATACTGCTTCCCTCCTGGGAATGGTGTTGCTCCAAGTGCCCCTGGCTCCGCTGGACTCCTGTAAGATGTCTCTGATCGGTCTCCCCTGGTTCCTTAAGGGTAAAAAAAAAAAAAGTTGGTGGGTATGTAAACCTAGTCATATTGCACATATTCATAGACTACTTGCTTGGTTATCTATAAAATTAGACTAGTTTGATAATTTGGTTGAACTATACCTTTAAAGCAGCGTGACTATCTAACCTTAGCCATTGAGAGCTATAGGACGATGCAGATGGTGCAGGCTTTTGTTCTAGCATTGCACAAACACACCTCATTGAACACACTCAATTGATGGCTTGCTTGATTATTTCCATGAAATTAGGTGGACTTTCCCTTTAAAGCCTGTACATGGTTCACAGTAATCACGTTCACGTCGCTATGACAACAAGCCACCACAAGCATCTTTGTGTTTAGTGACCCATTTTATACGCTGTGTATGTGTTTGGAGGATGGGGGACGGGTGGTGTTAAAGCATATGAGGCTGCTGAGTTGACATCCATACGTTGAGACATATGGGTCCGACACCGTAGCCAATCTGTCTTGTGAATGGTTTTCATTTCGATTCCACAGAGAAACGAATGACCTGTTCTGACCCATGGAGAGATACATGCTCATAGAGAGTTGGGATTGGATTGGCATACAATCAAACCTGACAAAAACCTTATGATTGAAATGCTGCATTAAACTATACAGTCAGCCTATACAACAGTGTGGATATTTACATTCCTTTCATTCACTCAGTCAGAGGCTCACCTCATGGTTGCACATGTGGTCCTGCTGTGTGGCGTTGCCATCTGTCTGGAGGTCCATCCCTAAGGGGCGACCTTGCGCTGGGCCGTCATTCTGCGTTGGAGACGGGCCCTTCCTCTTCTGCGTCTTTTTCTGCGCGACTTGACCGTCGACTTTCGCCCTTTTCTGTCGGAAGATAGCAAGCTACGCAGGAAGGACAGGGAGAGGTAGAGGGACACGTAGGTAAGGAGGGCCGAACACCACCACGCTATCAGCATATTAGGGGTTAGAAGTCAGGGGTTAGAGTTCACCAAAGTCCATCAAAGTTAAAATCCATCATTCCAATCAGGGAATATAAGGTCAAAGTTCCAATCAATCATCCCAGTGATTTAAGAAGTCAGAAAAGGCTAGAGGTTTAAGGGGTGAAGGCTTTCATCCGCCCAATGAGCAAGAACAAGAGTTTGATTCACATCATCTTCCCAACACTCAGGTAACATCCCTGATTGAACCAGCAGAGAGAATGAAAGCCCCAGCACATTGCCAGTCCAAAGCAGTCAACCAGCCACACGTGAGTCTCTACTTAGTCCTAACAGTCAACCTCCCAGCATCGCTCCATAGATCTCCCAAAACCACCATCACTGGACAACAAGGTTCCCAACAGAACGATCAGAAAAACATCCTGACATTTTGAAGTCCATTAATGTAATTGTGCATCCAATCTCTCTACACTCTTTCACCATCCCTGTCTCTCTCGCTCACTCCCTCCCTCTCTCCCCTCTTCTATAAGCAGCTTAAATCAGATTACAGTGGTTCAGGGACGCTCTTGCTCCCTTTCTCTCCCTCACGCAGCCTTTCTCTCTCTCTCACACACACAGCCTTTCTCTCTCACACACAGCCTTTCTCTCTCTCACACAGCCTTTCTCCCTCACGCTGCCTTTCTCTCCCTCACGCTGCCTTTCTCTTCCTCACTCACTCACTCTCCCTTTCCATCCCTTTCAAACCGTCAGACCAATCAGTCCTCACTCAACAGGCTCTCTATCAATCACACACAGATGAGACAACACACACACAGACACACAGCAGACAAGTGCACTAGTCTCAATGAAGTGCACCTCTCAATATGACACTTCAACCTCCAGCCGGGGGTTGGGATGGTAGTGTAATGCAGTGAACGCAGGAGGAGCTTTGTCCAGAGCCCAAAGTGTGTGTCAGTGTGGTAGCACGTGTTTTGTTCCAACCCACGCAAACCCGTAACAAGCCGACCCATGCCATGTCCAGCCCCAGGACTCATGTTGCATTGAGCAGTGCTACTGAAACACGAGAGTGAGTGTGTGTGTGTGTTTCAATGCCTGATCTCGACATGTGGGCGGTTCTACTCGATTGAAGTCTGCCCTGCTTTCAGCAGATACTGTCCACACCCACTCTACTCCCACTCACCATCTTCCGCCTCCTGTTTCTGTGTCTGTAATAAAGTGAGGCTAGACTTGGCTGTAGTCGAACATGCTGCTCTACACAATAACACTATCAGACAGGCAGCTGTGTGTGTACGTATGTAGGCTATTTGTGTTCAAACTGAAGATGGGAGCTTGGTTTGCCTCACAGCAAAAGACAAATGATGCAGACATGGCACGTCACCATAGCAACAGCTGCCATAAGTGGCTAACTGACGAATTCACAATTCAGTACAGCATGAAAAAGCCTACTGTAGCCTATGTCACGCTCATTTGTTTTTCAACTTTTCTAATATTGTTCGCTATATTTGAGGGCATACTAGCTCCCTCAGAAGTGCCATGTGAGGGTTGGGATGCTAAGTGCAATAGAAGGCATACTGGGATCCAATGTGTTCTGTTATGTCTGAAACTGCACCCTTTTTTCTATTCTACTTAAGACTATTCAGCCAGCTTTAGTGTCATGGCGCCATCTGATGGTGTGTGTTCACAATGACACACCTGCTATGACATCAGAGCCCTCCACTAATTCAACCATTAGGGGGGACATCTGAAGACTGATGGTGGATCAGTGTCTAAGGGGACAACTTCAATCATGTGGAAATAAATGAACAGAAGTCTCTGTGTGGTGCATTTCTATCTGCAACGTTTTATAAATGTGTCCCACCTGCAAAACAGAATCCCATTGAAAAAGAGAGAATGAGAATGAAGACCGTGATGATTCAACAACATCCCAAAACAGATCAATATATCCCATAGATAGATCAGGGGGTGGCCAACCATCTTCCTGCAGAGCTACTGCAGGCTTCTGCTGCTAATCAGCTGCTCACCAGGACCTTGATTAGCTGAATCAGGTGTGTTGGAGCAGGGCTGGTGCAAAAGCCTGAATAATACCCGGTATCTCTCCTGGAGGAAGGTTGGCCACCCCTGTTCTAGATCAATAGACAGAATCACCACAACCCAAGAGCCTGTATCTCACACCACGCGACCCCTCACTTCGCTTACCGACTGGCTGCGCTGCATGTTGGTGGATTTCTGTCATAAGGAATAACAGTGGTTTATCAATTAAGTCTTCATACCAACAGCTGCTGCTTGAGAATCGCCCAGGTTTGAGGTGTAACAAAAATAGGTAGATCACGCATCCGTTCAAGACTCTGGTGAGGCTGTCAGATTCCTCATATTCTATAGCATATGCGAATCTAAATGAACAACAACTGTTGGGAGAAAGCCACCCCAAGCAAAGGTCATACCCGAAGCGATATTGACACCGTTGTGGGGAATGGCAGGTTTGATGCGCGCAGAGTGCAACGCTTGCTACTCAGGTGTTAGGTCAATACATTTTCGCTAAGGTCTGCGCGGATTATAGGGTCGTTATATTACATTGACCTGTCTGGTCCTGAGATTTTAAACCTTAGTGGTAGTGTTTCACACCTCTCCAGGCATTGCAAATATCGGATCATCTGCGCAGAGTTGTGCAGAGAATGTGTATCTTAAACGCAACCACATACACAGACGATCCAAATCCTGGCTGCCATCATCACCTGCATCGACTTGGCAAGCAGGGATGATACTCTCCCAGTAAGCGGCCCACACTAGTCAGTAAACAGAAGGGGAATATATTTGGGCTGGGGTAGCAAACTCAATAAGAAACCGTTTCTACAGCAACTAGCCAACTGCTAACTACGTTAATAAACAGTAGTAAACTGGGTGCATTTAGTTAAGTCGGTCATCAAAGTAAGTTATTAAAATAGTAGATGAGCCAATGGAGTAGTTGAATAGGCAATATAAAGTCAGCTGGGTTGGTGAGTCAACGGTAGAACAATACCAACATTTGTTTAGCAAGCCACAAGGAAGGGCATTATAATTCATGAATAACAAAGAGTTTAGCTAGTTACTGTAGCTAGTTTTGATTCGGCTAACCATAACTACATGTAATGTAGTTAGCGAGCTTTGTTAGCGATTAAATTAATCGATAAAACTTGAACTTACTCAAGGCCCTTTATCAAGCAATTGCAAGATGTTACTTTATTGTACGACAATGTTGCTGATCCTGATAAGTTTAGCTAGGTTAGCTTGTTGGCTAGATAGCTACTTTGATGCATTACCCATGAATCGTTACAAACCTTTGCTCTTCCAGCTTCTAGTTTCCTCTGTCGTTCATCTTCGTCCATGTCTTGGTTGAAACACAACCATTAAAAGTTAAGGACAAATGTCCTGAAGTCGCTGATTATTCCACTAAAACCTTTCACTTTCTCGTGCCTCGGCTGCAAAATCTTTGGAACAACTGTCAATATGAAATTCAATATGGCCGCCATGGCGTTTTAGCACCGCCCTTATCAAGTTTCCTCCGCTAATATGGCCAATCAACACACTCGGAGCGAATTTTCCAGCCAATGGAATTCACGCTCTCTAACTGTTTACATTCACTGTAAAAACTCCCTCCCACAGTCCCTGACTGACAAGCTACAAACCAATCAGAGGACTGAATGGTGAAGCTAAACTTTGATTGATAGGGGAATTAGCCAATACATGTAGAGAGTTACAAAAATAGTGTCCACCCATACACCTCTATTTTAAAAAATGTGTGCTTGTATTTGACTGGCTCCATGAAGCTTTTTAAACAGACTACTCCACATATGCAAACGGCGCACTAAATGCCCGGGGGAAATTAGTTAACCAGTAGCAGCATAGCTTTGTGTGTCCCATGCTCAACTGTTAACTGAGGTATCTTGACTACGGATTTAGTCCACTAACTACATATTAGAGCTCTTCATGTGTCCACCCGAACCAAAATACCCGAGACCAGGACCGGGTCCAAAATTCAAACTTGTGCAGGTTGGGTCCTGTTTAGTTGCATTTACACAGGCATCACAATTCTGATATTTTTCCCTCTAATCTTTTCAGTCAGATCTTTCTCAGAGCTGATCTGATTTACTGGGGGAGGGGTGGTCCAAAATAGGGAGGGTTGTCAAACTTTTTTTTTTGCTTCGGGGAGGGTTGTGTGTTTTTTTTATTGGGGACAAGGGAGGGTAGTGCGTTTTTTCACTGGTTTACATTTGCTCTTCTGCTCATATTTTCCCTATAAACAATGGTTAGACTTACTTTTGATATTACCCTAATAAAGTTTAGAAATGTTTGTGAAGGTTTGGTATGGTGTGGCTATTATTAAGCTTTAGCTACTTTAGGCCTATGATATGACGGCAGTGCGCCCCAGCGCTCCAACTGAGTCCGACAGTTGAACTTGAGGTGAGGAAGACTGTTTCAGGCCTACCAGAGTTACTCCTGTAATCTAACAATATAATGCTTATCTTTATACAAAATATTCTGATAAAACATTTATGAATTAGCCTCCTTCTGTATGGCTATATCTGTATTGGAGACGCAGTAGCCATCTGTCATAAAGAAATGCATGTCGGTGTCGTAGCATGCCACTGGCATTTCTCTATCTCTATTTCTCTGGGGTTAGGCCTAAGCTTCTCTTCTTTTATATAGGCTATATATATTTATTAAAATGTTAATATCATACAGTGGACACCTAAGCCAATAGGCCTATGCATGCAATGCCCTGATACATGTAGTGGTCACATCTCTGACAGCTGAACCTTGAGGTGGACAATTCTTGTTTTAGGAAAGGGGGGGTGCTCAGACTGGCCTCTACCTGGAGCCTCCAAATTACTAAATTCGCCCCTGGGTCCGGGTCCAACTTTTTGGACAGGAGAAGACCTCCACTACATATCCTTCCAATAAAGACTCAATTTATAAATTTTCAGCCCAGAGCTTCTCATTCCAGACCCTATTTGGGTGCCAATCTGGTATGATTAAATGACCACCCAAGTTTATACCAATTTCTAACTTTCTGTGTGTTGACTGCATATATTACTTTCAATTCTTATCCTAAACAATTTCACTGACTATTACTTTTACATTTCTTTAATTGTCTTATTGGGTTGTTGTTCAAGAGAAATACACTGTTTGTGTAGGCTCAGATGGTCAACAGTAACCTAGGATTAAGACCAAAACCAGGAACGGTAACCAAGCAGTAGGCGTGGCTTGGTTGGCATAAACAGGTGTGTCGCTTAGTAACCAGGTAAGTGGTCTCAGTTTAGCGTAGAGACTGAGAGCTGATCGATAGGTGTGTGACATATTTCTAAAGAGCTACAGGTAAATTGTGTGTTTGTGTGTGTGTGTGTGTGTGGGGGGGGGGGGGTTGTATAGCGGCGACCCTCAGTCACTTATTGCCGTATGTGTGTGTGTGGCCTACTTCACAGTGTGGAGAATTCAGTACTCTCAGAATGACTGATCCCATGCTTGATCAGATGACCCGACTCAAGCTCAAGCTGCTGGAGAAGGTCATTGATTATTTGATTTATTTAGTTTTTAAAGGTTGGGATATCAAATAATAATCTGATCGTTTACTTTGACAGACAGAAATGTCATGTTTTTAACTTATGAGTGTAACAAAGTGTAGTAAAAGAGGCAATCTTTTGGAATGTTGTGAGTTTTGGCTGCACATGGCCTCTTGTTGGTTAACGTGCTGACTGACTGTCTTCATGTCCACAGAGACTGGAGAATGAGAGGGACAACATGGCATGTCCACAGAGACTGGAGAATGAGAGGGACAACATGGACGGCAGAGCAGAGTCCGTCCTATCCCCCAGTAAGACTACAAAATGTTTGAAAAGAAAGCTTGTAATGAAACGTTGAAGTACAAGCAAACCCTGATTGTTCGAATGTGTGTGAGTTTGTGTTGTCTGATGTTATTTTATTCCTAATTCTGATTGGCCAGGGAGTTTTGATGGACAGGCGGATGCGCTGCACAGCGTGCTTAGACGAAAAAAGGACCTGCTGCAAAGACTGAGGGTATGACATCATTATTATTAAGTTATTTATCACCATCACCATTATCATCATCATCAAACTCACATGATGACTTTATCTGTGTGTGTGTTGCCTGCAGGAGCAGCACATGTTGGAGGACCTGAGCAGACCTCACACCTGGGGTGGGACAGGGAGACGATACCGCCCAGACCTCCTTCCTCCTCCTGCCCCTCTGCCTCCTCCTCCGGCCCCCATCCATATCTACCAGCCTGCCCCTGCACCCCCCGCTCCACCCCCTCCCGCCCCGCCACAGCCCCCACGCATCATCCAACAAATGGTGAGACAAAAATCCTTCTCTTTCTCTCCCTCTGTCTTCCTCTCTTTCTCGCCCTCTGCTTTTTCTCTCTCTCTATTACACACAGACAGCTGATACTATTTCTCTCTTGGTCTGTAGTTGCCCCAGCAGCCTACTACCTTCATACAGCAGTTACCACAGCAACAGCCCCTCATACAACAGATACCCCCTCCTCAGCCCTACCCTGCACCACGGTCTAGCAGCATCAAAGAAGGTAAACACACACACAAATGCGGCTACTTGTGTGTGTGTGTGTGTGTGCATAATGTTCATTTTCATGTATGTGTGTGTGTTAGACATGGTGGAGCTGATGTTGATGCAGAATGCTCAGATGCATCAGATCGTTATGCACAACATGATGCTGAAAGCAATACCTCCCATGGCCCTGTCACCCCCTAACCCAGGACAAGTCAGTATCACACACACCCACATCATTTGTCACCCACATACCCAAGATCATGCCTTTTTGGATTTGTTATTTTATTTATTACTTTTTTTATCTTGATGTTGCCCTCATCCAGGATGTTGTTGTGAGGTCAGTGGTCAAACCAAGAGGAAATGCCGTCCACCACCACCATTACAGCCCCCAGGCCCAATCGCTCCCTCCCATTGGCTATCCCATGTGGCCCTCGATGATGTCATCACTACCTGAAGGGCAGGGCGGGGCTCATATGCCGTCCGTGCAGCATGTGACCGGCCCCATCACGTTGCCCCCACTCAACATGTATTAGCCAAACCCTAAACAATATTCCCCAACCCCTATCTTGACATATTGTATTGTGTGTGAGGATTTCATATTTCCAAATACATACACATGTATAAAGATGATTGATTGTAAATATAAAATGTAAGCATTGATATTATGTTTGATAAGCATTTTTTTTGGTATAGCCAAATATGATGGTTGTATGGAGAATTTGCTTCTTGGCACTAGCAACATGTAAATGTGTCGGCCTACTATGATTCGTGGTTGCAAAAGAGAATATGCAAAAGATAAAGGTCTGTAAACATGCATCATGACTTGAAAATAAATAAAACAAGATTCGCAAACATGCATCTTAATCTGTTTTATTCTGTATTTAATCCAAAACACAAAACTTAATCTGTAAAACCTTGCATCTTGCCACTGACCCATACCACAAGTAGAAGTTATACTGTATTCTTTCAGCAAAAGCAAAAACATCAGATTAGTTAGGAAATCAAATAAACTCATAATGCAAAACAGTCGCATTCATTGTCTAACCGTCATTTATAAAAGTAATGTATGACATATTAGTAGTCAAATTATCCATAAATTATTTTTTTACTCCCTGAAGTCTGTCCACACAAACACCCTCTGCACGCATATGAAACAAACATGATTATCGTCTAATTAACATGATCAACTCCGGTACAGAGGCAGGATGGGATACAGAGAAAACACTTGGATTTGAAAACACTCTTTCCCATGTAAGGAAAATGGCTAGAGGGTGAGACAGAGTTAAGATGAAGTTAGGAGGTATGGAGGAACAGAGAGGTAGAGAGGGAGTAACAGAGAGGTAGAGAGAGAGGGAGGAACAGAGAGGTAGAGAGGGAGGAACAGAGAGGTAGAGAGAGAGGGAGGAACAGAGAGGTAGAGAGGAGGAACAGAGAGGTAGAGAGAGAGGGAGGAACAGAGAGGTAGAGAGAGAGGGAGGAACAGAGAGTAGAGAGAGGAGGAACAGTCTAGTAGAGGGAGGAACAGAGTAGGTAGAGCTAGAGAGGAGGAACAGAGAGTCTAGATAGATAGAGAGAGAGAGAAATAGGTAGTTTAGTAAGTGATAGATTGAGAAGAACAGAGGTAGAGTAGAGAATGAGAGGAGAGACAGAGATAGGATAGAGATGCAGAGAGGAGAACGAGAGAACAGGATAGGTAGAGATAGATAGAAGGATAGACATTAGGAGGAGGGAGACAGAGAGTATCAGATAGAGAGAAGGAGGACAAGAGGTAGAGGTAGAGCTAGTAGAGAGGGAGGAACAGAGAGGTAGAGATAGAGAGGGAGGAACTATATCTGAGACTGATGATTGTGGCTCAGTCCATGTTAATGCATAGGATATATACTAGACTTATATTAGAATATAGAGTGATATATAGAATTACCTAAATATATGGTTCATAGTATATATGTAAACATACCTCTGTATGTAGTAGTTACATGCAAAAAATCTATGTCATATGCATATATATTCTGACTGACAATTGTGGCTCTCCATGTTAGGCTGTAACTGACTCTTATTAGAAATATAGGTATATATATTACCTATAATATACTGGTTCATATATATACACACACACCTCTGTAGTGTGTACCAATGCAAACTAGTCAGCAGATACTGTAAATGCATACCACTATATATATATATATATATGTAATACACCCAGTACTATGAGTGGAAATACTTGTTCCTATTGGATCTCATCTAGAGGGGAGAAGGGATCCAGAGGTACAGTGACAGAGATGGAAGGAGAGTCAGAGACAGCAGCTTGTAACACTGAGTACACAGAGGTCTGTATAGTGAACCAGTAAGTCATCCCACCACCAGACCTACAATAGCAGTAGATAGCAGATCTATGGGGGTCATGCTGTGTGAACACATTATCCAAAAATGTTGGCACACAAACAGATGTCCAGAAGATTGCTCATTATGTTGAGCGACGCCACAGTGAGAAAGTCTGTGTGTGTGTGTGCATGTGTACTGTATGTGTTTGTGTGTGTGTAAGGGGGGGCTATCTGAACACCCCCACGTTGATTGACAAGGCCACCTCTGGCTTCCTGGCCTTGATGGGCCCCATCTTCTTCTCTGGTCCCGCCCCTTGGTTAGTCTCAACTTCAGCCCCAGCACCCTGCCCTCTACAGGAGGAAAGAGGAAATAGTATTAATGTAAAATGCATACATTTACTTAAGTATTTATTTATAATAACTTTGTAACTATAAATACACTTTTTTGTAAAGCTAATGTCATACACGAAAAGCAGTGTCAACACTGTGACCTGAGTCTCATTGCATCTTGTAAGAAGCCCCACCCTTTCCTGCGTTGCTCCTTCTCCTCCCTCAACCTCTGCTCATCCTGTTGGGTGCTAAAGTCCCGGTTATTGTCAATCAACAGGTTCTGTCCAATCAGAAAACACCATGTTACTGTCCAAGTATTATCCAATCAGAAAGCCGTGTCACATTCAATAAGCAAGTTCTGTCCAATTAAAGCAGAGCAGGCTGGAACGCAACCAATACGATGAACCACAGAGATGCGTTCGTTACCTTGACACCGATGATGTCACCGTCTTTAAGGTGGAAAGGTGCTCCAAGCAGAGACTCCGCCTTTTTCTTCTTCTTCCGTTTGGACACCTGCTGGCTCTGTGTGCACGCATCATCAACAAGCGCCAGGAAGAATCATAAAAGAAACCATAGGAGTGTGACAACAAAGCATCAGGCTTACATTTAGCTAAGTGTCTTCATCCTCCCTCCAATCCTCCACATCTCTTACCCAGTTGGAGAAAGTCTCCCAGGTGTGTGTGTGTGGCTGGTGCTTGGCCAGTAGCAGGGAGTCAGGAGAGACGCCGTATGTTGAGGCCAGGGCAGAGCGTAGCGATCTGGGGGAAGGGTCTCGAGAAGCATCCCAGACCAGGTCCTCTGGAGGGTAGTAACTCCTCTCCCCAGGCACCCCCATCTGGACACGCAGCAACACCTCCTTAGGACTGGGGGAGGGGGGAAACAGGGCAATACGATGGAGGGAGAGGAAGAAAAGAGCAGGGGAGGGATAACAACACATCCAGTAATCATGTTTCTGGTATCTGCTTAACTGACCAATGACAGTAGAATAACCCCAGGCTTACCCAAGATCCTCTTCTCTCAGTAGCTGCTGCACACAAAGCTCCACCCCACTGCTAAACTTCAACTTCCTGTGAACAGATACTTGTTGTTGAGAAAAAGAAAGGGAGGAGAGGAGATAGACAGGAGTGAGAGGGAGGAGAGGAGATAGACAGGAGTGAGAGGGAGGAGAGGAGATAGACAGGAGTGAGAGGGAGGAGAGGAGATAGACAGGAGTGAGAGGGAGGAGAGGAGATAGACAGGAGTGAGAGGGAGGAGAGGAGATAGACAGGAGTGAGAGGGAGGAGGGAGATACGACAGGAGTGAGACGGTGAGGAGAGAGAGATAGACAATGAGGAGGAGTCGGTGAGAGGAGAGGAGATAGACAGGAGTGAGAGGGAGGAGAGGAGATAGACAGGAGTGAGAGGGAGGAGAGGAGATAGACAGGAGTGAGAGGGAGGAGAGGAGATAGACAGGAGTGAGAGGGAGGAGAGAGATAGACAGGAGAGGAGATAGACAGGAGTGAGAGGGAGGAGAGGAGAAGACAGGAGTGAGAGGGAGGGAGGAGGGAGATGAAGGAGGGAGAGGGAGGAGAGGAGATAGACAGGAGTGAGAGGGAGGAGAGGAGATAGACAGGAGTGAGAGGGAGGAGAGGAGATAGACAGGAGTGAGAGGGGGGAGTGTGTGTGTGTACCTGAGTGTGTGTTGTTGTCCTCTGAGGATACCGGGTCAGTCTCTGTCCCTCCAGCTGCCACACGCGCAGAAAAGCAGGAGTGGGCACACACACACACTGCAGCGACGGCAGGGTCAGCACCTAACACACAGACAGAGTATGAACACAAACACAGCATGGGCATACACATGCTAGAAGGAGCAGTATCAACACACACACACACACACACACTACCTGAGTCTTCAGCTCTTCCAGTGTAGCCTCCTCTGAGATCTCCACCTGTCCCACAGTCCTCAGCTCCGCCATGGCCCCGCCCACTAAACACACACAACATTTTAACCAGTGGACTTAGTTTCATACCTAGTTTCATACTGTGTGTGTATGTGTGGCTCACCTGCAGTCATGACCTCCAACCGCTGACCTTCCTTGGACCCCTCGGCATTGCAGTTGACCTCTGTTTCCATGGAGACCACAGGGTTGGCGCTCGGCTCCACATACAGCCAGACTGACAGCTTCAGAAAACCCTGAGAAAGAGAGGGGGGGGACGTGAGAGAGGGAATAAGTGTCTGTAGAGCGGGGTTGTAAGAGAACAAGAAGTGGACAGGAAGTTGAGTGTACCTTGGGAGGAAGTCGTCCCTCAGTAATCACCAGAGAGTCTCCATGACTCATCTTCAGCTCAGAGAGAGACGCCTCCTGTGGAAGAAACAAGAGAGAGATTGTGGCAGTTCGTGAAAAAGAGAATGGAAAATGTATTCCACTTCTTGATTTCGCTTAAGCAATCATTTATTAGAACCCAGGGATTATCATGAGAATAACACCCGACTATGGGCTGTTCTTAGGCCCGACGCGAAGCGGAGGGCCGAGGAAACAGCCCTTAGGAGGGTGTAATTCACGATAATCCCCGGGTTCGAGTGCCCTTATTGCTTTCACAAAACAATTGCCAGCATATAAAACAAAGATTAACAACCTGTTTTCATAAAATATATATATTTTAATGAGTACATTTGTTTTATTTCACCCTTCCACCAGACAATATAGTCCGGGCAAAAGCCAGTCATTAGTTCTGAGATTCTGAAGTTGCTAGCCAAGCGGGCTGGTCGTCTATTCTATTGGCATGGTTGTCAGCCAAGCGGACTGGTCGTCCGTTCTAAGCAAAACACTTTTTGCTATGCAAGTTGGCTTCTTCTCCTTTGCCAACTAGTCAACTAAAGCGAACACACAATCAAGTCAAGCAGCTGAACTGACAGCAAACTATGTGCATTTTAGTTTGTTTTACCTTTATTTTTATTGTAATTTCTTTGGATATATCCATTGTCACTGAGTCTCCTCCAGACACGTTCATTCTCTATGGCACGGTGGAGATCGCAAAAAAAACCTGCAACATTGTTGCACAGGTCGGAGAGGCAGGCAACAGGGTTTAGGCAAACCCCAACTGTTGCAAACCAAATGCTAAGATGGAAGCATGGGGAAACAATGTCTAGACACTTTTTTTCCCAGGGGAGATAAAGTTTATGAATTGCCTGGCTGGGAGGAGCATTGATCATTCAAATGAAACTGTTAACAGGATTACCTGGTGATTGTCGTGAACAACTCCCTGTATCAACCAATCAGCTTCCACACAACCCATTTTATAATTCTGGTACTGACCTCGTCCATTAAAGCCTCTCCCACCTCCTCACACCAGTCCAGCCTCCTTAGATGCCAACCGGCCCCTGTACACACAACACACACACCATTAACACACACCATTAATACAAATGCACACACAGGAGAAGGGACACACTTTATAATCCAACAGTTTTACCTTCAAGTCCTGCTGACTCCAACATTTTCTTGAGACACTGCAATAGAATGTATAGATAGGATTAGCACTCATTAGCAGAGATGAAGACACAGAGACACTGTCTGACTGACAGACAGACAGACACAGGCAGGCAGGCCGACCAAACGATACGCAGTCAGTCCCCACCTGTTTAACTGTGCTGGACTGCTCTACAATGATTTCCCCCTCCAAGCCAGAGGCGGGTGCTGTCCCCACACTGAAGTACAGGAACAGCTGTGTGTCTTTGGGGGCCGTTCCAAGACAGAGGGACAGGGAGGTCATCAGCCTGATCCCAGCGTCACGAACACTCAGCTCCTCACACACTGTGGGAGGCAACACACACACGACAGGGCTTGACATTCAGGTAAATTTGCCAGTGGCACACTGGGCCAGTGCCAACTGAAAGCTACTGGCCCGAATAAATTAAAAAGTACTGTCCTGGGCCAAGATCTCACAGGAAAGGGGATGATGTGTACATCATTTTAATATCAGGTGATTTTATCTTTAATTTGCAGACTGAGCAAGCTAGCCTATAATAACCTACCCTCCATATACAAATAGTTACATTTTAACTTGACAACATCACATTTAAATTGATTGATTGGAGGGAAAAAATAAAACATTTGTGCAATCTCATAAAAGGGTGTTATTGTTAGCGATTTTGAACAGTCAGCAGGCTACAGTTGTTGGGCCCTATAAAATCTGTTTTATCTTTAGCTAAATTCAGCGTTCCCGGTTTAGTTTGTCCAGGTTTCCGAGTTCTCAGATTTTCACTATCAAAATCACCTTTTTCAAAATAGAAAAAACATTGGATGTTCTAAGTCCACAACAATACTTAAACCATATCGGGAGACTACTTGAGGTCTGGGAAAAATCTAATGTTTTGGGGGGTGGGGGAAGGGTGCAGTTGCCCTTGAATTCAATTGCTCACCTTGCAAGAGACCATTGTGTTTGGCTAGCGGTGAAGGCCTACTGTAAAATGTAGCCTACATCATACAATGTAGCCTACAATATACATGTGATGGCAGAGTTTGCAAAACAACTGCCCACCCTATTGATACAAATCTTGTTGATAGAATTCTGCCAGGTAGGCCTACTGTGGAGTCAACATTTCATTGGGAAGGTTTTAAAGGAAAGCCTTTAGAAATGTTCATTCAAACAGAGCATGATGACTAAATTGTGCATTGCAAAGATTTAACCAAGACTTCAGACCAAACTTTTTAAATACCTGTTTTACATACCCATTGTTGCCTTAGCATTTACTGGTAGATATTATTAGTTGAAACGTCATTCCTACATCCCCTACCAGAAACCCTATTGCTGTCGTTCTTCTGTGAGCTGCTCCATGCGACAGCCAGTGGAGAGCTGCTCACTCTTGCTGCCCGACAGATGAACTAGTCTGTGTGTGTGTGATAATCTACATAACAAACTACTGTAACAGCTTCGGGAATTTGTCCGTTTTTTCAGCAATTATAAATAGCATCATTACAAAAAGAAATTCACTGGGCCACAAAAGGGCCACTGACGTGGATGATTGACTGGCCCGGAGGGTTTCCAAAACCTCCCGGACCAGCGGGCAGCCCTGTATGTCGTGCCCTGCATGAATACATACACACACTTAGCACGAAGTAAGAGTTGCATGTTTTTTTCATGTGTGTGCGTCATTAGGGGTTACAGTACCTGGGGGCAGGAGTTTTCCTGTACGGTCCACCTGCCTCAGACAGCATGCCCCACCTGGACAGAGATACACACACCAGGGAAGACAACACACACATCTACAATAATAATAATGGCTGTATTAGGAGTGGTAATAATAACAGTATCTGACCTATAGCTGATGCTATTAGGAGTGGTAATAATAACAGTATCTGACCTATAGCTGATGCTATTAGGAGTGGTAATAATAACAGTATCTGACCTATAGCTGATGCTATTAGGAGTGGTAATAATAACAGTAAAACTGACCTGCTAGCTGATGCTATTAGGAGTGGTAATAATAACAGTATCTGACCTATAGCTGATGTTATTAGGAGTGGTAATATAACAGTATCTGACCTATAGCTGATGCTAGTTCTAAGTGGTAATAATAACATATCTGACCTATACCTGATGCTATTAGGAGTGGTAATAATAACAGTATCTGACCTATAGCTGATGCTTTTAGGAGTGGAAAAAACAGAATCTGACCGCTGCGAGTTATTGGGAGGGGGAATAATCGGGCCCCTACCATACTGATGCTATTGGGAGGGGTAATAAAAACGTACGACCTATAGCTATGCTATTGGAGTGGTAATAAAACATATTGACCTAGGATGCTATTGGATGGAAATAAAAACAGATCTGACCATAGCTGATGCTTTTGGGAGTGGTATAAAAAAAATCTGACCTATGCTGATGCATTAGGATTTTGTAATAAAACAGTATCTGACCTATACTATGCTATTAGGAGGGGGAAATAATAACAGTACTGACCTGCTAGCTGATGTTTTGGATGGTATAAAAACAATCTGACCTATACGATGTTATTGGAGGGGTAAAATAAACAGTACTGACCAAAGCTGAGTTTTTAGGAGTGGTATAAAACATATCTGACCTATGCTGATGTTATTAGGGTGGAAAATAATACAGTATCTGACCTATCGATGTTTTAAAGGATGAAAATAATAACATATTACCTGTGCGATGCTATTAGGATGGTAAAAATAACATTCTGACCTCAGCTATGCTATTAGGAGGGGAAATAATAACAGTATCTACCTTAGCTATGTTATAGGATGTAAAATACAGTACTGCCTATAGCTATCTATTGGGGTGGTATAATAACTATCTGACCTATAGCTGTTTTGGAGTGGAAAAAAACAGTATTACCTATGGGGATTTTTTAGGAGTGGTAAAAATAACAGTATTGCCTATAGCTATGTATTAGGAGTGGTAAAATACATATCTACCTAAGCTGATGTTATTAGGGGGGTAAAAATAACTTTCTGCCCATCTGATGCATAGGGGGGTAAAATACATATCTCCTTCTGATGTTATAGGGGGTAATATAACATATCGCCCTATCTGATGCTTTTTAGGAGGGGTAATATAACATATCTGCCCTATACGATGCTATTAGGAGGTAAAAATAACATATCTGACCTATAGCTGATCTATTAGGAGTGGTAATAAACAGTATCTGACCTATGCTGATCTATTAGGAAAATTAAAAATAACAGTATTGACCTTGCTGTTTATTGGATGTAATAATAACATATCTGACCTATAGCTGATGCTTTTAGAGTGGGTAAAATAACAGTTCTGACCTATAGCTGATGCTATTAAGTGGTAATAAAACATATCTACCTGCTACTGATGCTTTTGGGGGAGTGGTAAAATACATATCTGACCTATACTGATGTTATTAGGGGGTAATAAAAAACGTATCTGACCTATAGCTTCTATTGGAGGTAATAAAAAAAAAACTGACCAACTGAGCTTTAGGAGTGTAAAATACAGTATCTACCTTAGCTGATGCTATTAGATGGTAATATCCAGTTCTGCCTGCCTGTGTTTTTGGTGGAAATAAAACAGTATCTACCTATGCTGATCATTAGGAGGGGTTAATAACATACTGACCTATAGCTGGCTATTAGGAGTGGTAATAAAAACAGTTCGACCATAGCTGTATTAGGAGTGGTAAAAAAACATATCTACCTATACTATGCTTTTGGTGGAAAAAAACTATCTGACCTAAGCTGATCTTTTGGGGGGGTAAAAAAACAGTATCTGACCTATGCTATTTTATTAGGAGTGGAAATAATAACAGTATCTGACCTCTGCGATGTTTTGGATGGAAATAAAAACAGATCTCCTTACTGTGTTTTAGGAGGGGAAATAATAACAGTTCGCCCTATAGCTGATTTTATTAGGAGTGGAATAATAACAGTATCTGACCTTAGCGATGTTTTAGGGTGGTAAAATAACAGTATCTAACCCTTAGCTGATGCTAAGGAGTGGTAATAATAACGAAATCTACCTGCACTGTGCTTTAGAGTGGTAAAAATACATATCTGACCAAATTGATTTTATTAGGGTGGAAATAATAACATATCGACCTATAGCTGATGCTATTAGGAGGGGTAATAAAACAGTATCTCCCATAGCTGTCCTTTTGGGGTGGTAAAAATAACATATCTGACCTAATTTATTCTTTTAGGAGGGAATAATAACAGTATCTACCTATACTGAGCTATTAGGAGGGAAATTTAAAAGTATTGACCTAAGCTATTTATTGGAGTGGAAATAAAACATTTCTGACCTATACTGATGCTTTAGGGTGGTTAATAACAGTATCTGACCTTAGCTGATTTTAAAGGATGGATAATAACAGAAAATCTGACCTATACATGTATTAGGAGGGGTAATAAAACGTACTAAACCTATAGCTTGCTTTTGGAGTTAATAAAAGATTGACCTATCTATGCTTTAGGAGGGTAAAATAACAACTGACCTTACTATCTTTAAGGAGTGGTAATAATAACAATCTGACCTATGTGATGCTATAGGAGGGGAAATAAACAGTACTGACCTAACTTTTATTAGAGGGTAATAATAACTTCTGACCATAGCTATGCTATTAGGAGTGGAATAATAACAGTACTGCCCGCTACTGTTTTATTGATTTGAAATAAAAACCCTTCTGCCCCTTTACGATGCTTTTGGGAGTGGAAATAATACAGTATCTGACCTTACTGATGCATAGGGGGTTTAAAAATACATATCTGACCTATAGCGCTGCATTAGGAGTGGTAATAATAACGTATCTGACCTATCTGATTTATTAGGGGGTGGTAAAATAACGTATCTGACCTTAGCTATGTTTTTAGGAGGGGTAATAATAATTCTGACCTAGCTGATTTATTGGGAGGGGTAATAAAAACATATCTGACCTATACGATGCTATTGGGAGTGGTAATAAAAATTTATCACCTATCTATGCTTTTAGAGTGGTATAAAAACATTCTGACCATAGCGATGTTTTAGGAGTGGTAATAATAACAGTATCTGACCTGCTAGCTACTATTAGGGGAAATAAAAACAGAAATCTGACCTTAGCTGATCTTTTGGGAGTGGTTAATAACATATCTACCAAGCTGATGCATTAAGGGGGAATAAAACGTATCTACCTATAGCTATTTATTAGAGTGGTAAAAAAACGTACTGACCTTAGCTTTTTTAGGAGTGGTAAAAACGTATCGACCTGCTAGCTATGCTTTGGGAGTGGAAAATAAGAATGCTAGCTGATGCTATTAGGAGTGGGGTAATAATAACAGTATCCTGACCTGCTAGCTGATGCTATAGGAGTGGTAATAATAACAGTATCTGACCTGCTAGCTATGCTATTAGGAGTGGTAATAAATAACAGTATCTGGTTCCTATAGCTGATGCTATTAGGAGTGGTAATAATAACAGTATCTGACCTATAGCTGATGCTATTAGGAGTGTGGTATAATAACAGTATCTGACCATAGCGGATGCTATTAGGAGTGGTAATAATAACAGTATCTGACCTATAGCGTGATGCTATTAGGAGTGGTAATAATAACAGTATCTGACCTATAGCTGAGTTATTAGGAGTGGTAATAATAACAGTAATCTGACCGTATATCTGATGCTATTAGGAGTGGTAATAATAACAGTATCTGACCTATAGCTGATGCTATTAGGAGTGGTAATAATAACAGTATCTGACCTATATCTGATGCTATTAGGAGTGGTAATAATAACAGTATCTGACCTATAGCTGATGTTATTAGGAGTGGTATAATAACGTATCTGACCTATACTGATGCTATTAGGAGTGGTAATAATAACGTATCTGACCTATAGCTGATGCTATTAGGAGTGGTAATAATAACAGTATCTGACCTATACTGATGCTATTAGGAGTGGTAATAATAACAGTAAATCTGACCTATAGCTGAATGTTATTAGGAGTGGTAATAATAACAGTATCTGACCTGCTAGCTGATGCTATTAGGAGTGGTAATAATAACAGTATCTGACCTGCTAGCTGATGCTATTAGGAGTGGTAATAATAACAGTATCTGACCTATAGCTGATGTTATTAGGAGTGGTAATAATAACAGTATCTGACCTGCTAGCTGATGCTATTAGGAGTGGTAATAATAACAGTATCTGACCTATAGCTGATGTTATTAGGAGTGGTAATAATAACAGTATCTGACCTGCTAGCTGATGCTATTAGGAGTGGTAATAATAACAGTATCTGACCTATAGCTGATGCTATTAGGAGTGGTAATAATAACAGTATCTGACCTATAGCTGATGCTATTAGGAGTGGTAATAATAACAGTATCTGACCTATAGCTGATGCTATTAGGAGTGGTAATAATAACAGTATCTGACCTATAGCTGATGCTATTAGGAGTGGTAATAATAACAGTATCTGACCTGCTAGCTGATGCTATTAGGAGTGGTAATAATAACAGTATCTGACCTGCTAGCTGATGCTATTAGGAGTGGTAATAATAACAGTATCTGACCTATAGCTGATGTTATTAGGAGTGGTAATAATAACAGTATCTGACCTGCTAGCTGATGCTATTAGGAGTGGTAATAATAACAGTATCTGACCTATAGCTGATGTTATTAGGAGTGGTAATAATAACAGTATCTGACCTATAGCTGATGTTATTAGGAGTGGTAATAATAACAGTATCTGACCTGCTAGCTGATGCTATTAGGAGTGGTAATAATAACAGTATCTGACCTATAGCTGATGCTATTAGGAGTGGTAATAATAACAGTATCTGACCTATAGCTGATGCTATTAGGAGTGGTAATAATAACAGTATCTGACCTTATAGCTGCATGGCTGATTAGGAGTGGTAATAATAACAGTAATCTGACCTATAGCTGATGCTATTAGGAGTGGTAATATAACAGTATCTGACCTATAGCTGATGGCTATTAGGAGTGGTAATAATAACAGTATCTGACCTCTAGCTGATGCTATTAGGAGTGGTAATAAAAACAGTATCTGACCTCTAGCTGATGCTATTAGGAGTGGTAATAATAAACAGTATCTGACCTATAGCTGAGGCTATTAGGAGTGGTAATAATAACGTATCTGACTATAGCTGATGCTATTAGGAGTGGTAATAATAACAGTATCTGACCTATAGCTGATGCTATTAGGTAGTGGTAATAATAACATATCTGACCTGACTTACGATGCTATTAGGAGTGGTAATAATAACAGTATCTGACCTATAGCTGATGCTATTAGGAGTGGTAATAATACAGTATCTGACCTATAGCTGATGCTATTAGGGAGTGGTAATATAAACAGATCTGACCTATAGCTGATGTTATTAGGAGTGGTAATAATAACAGTATCTGACCTGCTAGCTGATGCTATTAGGAGTGGTAATAATAACAGTATCTGACCTATAGCTGATGCTATTAGGAGTGGTAATAATAACAGCTATCTGACCTATAGCTGATGCTATTCGGAGTGGTAATAATAACAGTATCATGACCTATAGCTGATGCTATTAGGAGTGGTTAATAATAACAGTATCTGACCTATATCGGATGTTATTAGGAGTGGTAATAATAACAGTATCTGACCTGCTAGCTGATGCTATTAGGAGTGGTAATAATAACAGTATCTGACCTATAGCTGATGCTATTAGAGTGGTAATAATAACAGTATCTGACCTATAGCTGAGGCTATTAGGGAGTGGTAATAATAACAGTATCTGACCTATAGCTTGATGCTATTAGGAGTGGTAATAATAACAGTTATCTGAACCTATAGTGATGCTATTAGGAGTGGTAATAATAACAGTATCTGACCTATAGCTGATGCTATTAGGAGTGGTAATAATAACAGTATCTGACCTATACTGAGCTATTAGGAGTGGTAATAATAACAGTATCTGACCTATAGCTATCTATTAGGAGTGGTAATATAACAGTATCTGACCTGCTAGCTGATGCTATTAGGAGTGGTAATAATAACAGTATCTGACCTGCTAGCTGATGCTATTAGGAGTGGTAATAATAACAGTATCTGACCTATAGCTGATGTTATTAGGAGTGGTAATAATAACAGTATCTGACCTGCTAGCTGATGCTATTAGGAGTGGTAATAATAACAGTATCTGACCTATAGCTGATGTTATTAGGAGTGGTAATAATAACAGTATCTGACCTGCTAGCTGATGCTATTAGGAGTGGTAATAATAACAGTATCCTGACCTATAGCTGATGCTGATAGGAGTGGTAATAATAACAGTATTCTGACCTATAGCTGATGCTATAGGAGTGTGGTAATAATAACCAGTATCTGACCTATAGCTGATGCTATTAGGAGTGGTAATAATAACAGTATCTGGACCTATAGCTGATGCTATTAGGAGTGGTAATAATACAGTATCTGACCTATAGCTGATGCTATTAGGAGTGGTAATAATAACAGATCTGACCTATAGCTGATGCTATTAAGGAGTGGTAATAAAAACAGATCTGCCCTATAGCTGATGCTATTGGGAGGGGTAAAATAACAGTACTACCTAAGCTGAGCTATTAGGAGGGTAAATTTAACAGATCTGACCTAAGCTGATCTTTAGGAGGGGGGAAAAATAACATACGCCCTATAGCTGATGCTATTAGGGTGTAATAATACAGTATCTGCCCTATAGCGAGATTGGAGGGTAATAAACAGTATCTGCCCTATAGCTGATGCATTGGGAGGGGAAATAAAAATATCTACCTATAGCGATGCATTGGGATGGAAATAATAACAACTGCCTAAGCTGATTTTTGGGAGTGGTAATAATAAACAGTATCGACCTGCAGTATGCATTAGGAGGTAATCATAACTATCTACCTACGATGCTTTGGATGGAAATAATAACAGTATCCCCTTTTACTGATGCTATTGGGATGGTAATATAACTACCCTATCTGATCTATTGGGAGGGTAATAATAACTACTATATAGCTGATGTTTTAGGAGTGGTAATAATAACAGTATCTGACCTATAGCTGATGCTATTAGGAGTGGTAATAATAACAGTATCTGACCTATAGCTGATGCTATTATGAAGTTGGGTAATAATAACAGTATCTGACCTATAGTTGATGCTATTAGGAGTGGTCATAATAACAGTAATCTGACCTATAGCTGATGTTATTAGGAGTGGTAATAATAACAGTATCTGACCTATAGCTGATGCTATTAGGAGTGGTAATAATAACAGTATCTGACCTATAGCTGATGCTATTAGGAGTGGTAATAATAACAGTATCTGACCTGCTAGCTGATGCTATTAGGAGTGGTAATAATAACAGTATCTGACCTATAGCTGATGCTATTAGGAGTGGTAATAATAACAGTATCTGACCTATAGCTGATGCTATTAGGAGTGGTAATAATAACAGTATCTGACCTATAGCTGATGTTATTAGGAGTGGTAATAATAACAGTATCTGACCTATAGCTGATGCTATTAGGAGTGGTAATAATAACAGTATCTGACCTATAGCTGATGCTATTAGGAGTGGTAATAATAACAGTATCTGACCTGCTAGCTGATGCTATTAGGAGTGGTAATATAACAGTATCTGACTGCTAGCTGATCTATTAGAGTGGTAATAATAACAGCATCTGACCTATAGCTGATTCTATTAGGAGTGGTAATAATAACAGTATCTGACCTGCTAGCTGATGCTATTAGGAGTGGTAATAATAACAGTATCTGACCTATAGCTGATGCTATTAGGAGTGGTAATAATAACAGTATCTGACCTGCTAGCTGATGCTATTAGGATGGTATAATAACAGTATCTGACCTATAGCTGATGCTATTAGAGTGTAATAATAACGAGTATCTGACCTATAGCTGATGCTATTAGGAGTGGTAATAATAACAGTATCTGACCTATAGCTGATGCTATTAGAGTGTAATAATAACAGTATCTGACCTATAGCTGATGCTATTAGGAGTGGTAATAATAACAGTATCTGATCTATAGCTGATGTTATTAGGAGTGGTAATAATAAACAGTTCTGACCTATACTGATGCTATAGGAGTGGGTAATAATATAACGACCTATACTGAGCTATTAGGGTGGTTAAAAACTATCTGACCTATACTGATGCTATTAGGATGGTAATAAAACGTATCTGACCTATGCTGATGCTTTGGGGTGGTAAAAATAACGTATCTGCCTATGCTATCTATTGGTGGTAAAAATAAAAGTATCGACCTATACTGATGTTATTAGGAGTGGTAAAAATAACAGTATCTGACCTTGTTTATGCTATGGGAGGGGTAATAAAACATATTGACCTAACTGATGTTATTGGGAGGGGGAAATAAAACAGTATCTGACCATAGTGATGCATTAGGATTTGGTAATAAAACAGTATCTGACCATAGCGATCTTTTGGAGTGGTAATAAAAACGTATCTGACCTCACTGTGCTATTAGGAGTGGTAAAAAATAACTATCTGACCATACATGCTATTAGGGTGGAAATAAAACATTCTGACCTATACATGCTATTAGGGTGGTAATAATAACAGTATCGACCTCTAGCTTGTTATTAGAGTGGTAATAATAACAGTATCTGACCTATAGCTGAATGCGATATGAGGAGCTGGTATAATAAATAACAGTAATCTGACCTATAGCTGATGCTATTAGGAGTGGTAATAATAACCATTATCTGACCTATAGCTGATTGTTATTAGGAAGTGGTAATCTAACCGTATCTGACCTGCTTAGCGCTCCTGTAGCTTGCAGCGTCCACTAATGGCCCTCTGTGTTTCACCTCACACCTGCAGCCTAGAAGAGAAGCCACACACCACACTAAATTATACGAACACACACACAACCCACACCATTAATATACTAAACAACAACACACACTAAATTATACTAAACACACACACTAAATTATACTAAACACACACACAAAAATATACTAATCACACACACACACACTAAATTATACTAAACACACACACTAAATTATACTAAACACACACACTAAATTATACTAAACACACACACTAAAATATACTAATCACACATTAATATACTACACACACACACACACACACACACACCACACACACATTAATATACTACACACACACACATTAATATACTAAACACACACACACACATTCATTTACTAAACACACATGCACACATTACTAACTACACACACACATTAATTTAATATACTACACACACAGACACACACACATTAATATACTACACACACACATTAATTTACTAAACACACACGCACACATTAATATACTTAACACACACACATTAATATCCTAAACACACACACATTAATATCCTAAACACACACTCACACACACATTAATATCCTAAACACACACACACAAACATTAATATCCTAAACACACACACACATTAATATACTAAACACACCCACACACTTGCTAGCTCACCATGTTTCCAGATGCAGGGACTTTTGCCCTCATCCTCTCCTCCTCCATCTCCCCCTCTCCTCCTCCTCCTCTTCTTCTCTCCGGCCGGTATTCCACCTGAAGCCAGCGACAGTCTGATGGTGTTGTCACGGTTACCATATCACCACTCACACTGAACACACTGGGAGAGAGAGACATTACACACACACACAGCCATAGCAAACACAACAACTACACCTCATGTCTGTCACTCACTTACGTAGACTGACACACTTCCACACACACCACCCACCTGCTGTCCTGTGTGTGTGGCTCCAGCACCAGCAGTGCGTCTCCATCCTTCAAGGCCAGCTCCCTCAGAGTCCTCTGCATGTCTCCAGGAGGGAACACCCTCCACCCGCTGGCCCCGCCTCCCTTTCCTCCTCCCTCTCCTCCCCTCTTCTCCTGACACAGGAGGCTCTCCTGTGGCTCCCCTAACGCCTCCCTCACCTCTCCTAGAGTCACCCTCCCAGCGAACCCCCTCGACTGCTTCGTCAGCCCCGAGCCTCCTTCCTCTCCCTCGCCTCCCCCCTCCTCATCCCCTCCCTCCCCCTCCTCTTCTCCCAGAGAGGGGCGAACCACGGTCAGCAGCACTGGTTCCCACTCGGCTCCTGTTTGGACAGTCGCTCCACAAACCTGAGGAAACAAAGGGGATATGGTATGACCCGACAGCCATTTTGGTTCTAGGAGGTCCAGTAGCAGTGTGTACAATGGTGGATTGTGTTGATTCGATTGTGTCTCCTCACCTCTCTGCCGTTCCACACAAACAGATCAGCGCCGGTCAAGATGCCAGCACTGTAAAGAGACACCTCGTCATCTGAAACACACACGCACTAAAGTTCAGTATCAACTCTCACAGAATGGATGTCACAGAATGTTGCAAAAGTGTGTGTGTGTCACCTGTGAGAGTGTTGTAGAGATGTAGGCCAGCTGGTAGACTTTTGGCCACAGTCAGAGCCATATCCCCCTCCCAGAGATCCTGCATCTGAACACACACACTGATTTGAGCTTTTTGCAAAGTGCCATGGCGTCATTAAGGAAGTGAGTTAATGAGTCGGAGTGATGATGTCACCTGGTAGATGGTCATTCGCAGGTCTCCTACGTTCCTGCGGCGGTCGAAGGTGAGGTTGGTGGCCTCTTTCTGCTCTATGCTGATTGGTTTAAGAGCTCCGTTCTCCAACCTATAGCGCGGCGCCAGGTGGAGACGCAGCTCAACACTGTTATTGCTGGCCTCAAACTCCTCCCTATAGCAGAGTACACACACACATAAACGGATAGCCAGAAAACATCAGCAAAACATGGCAAAATAAAGTGTCTGTGTGTGTGTACGCGAGTACCGTCTCTGTTGTAGTCTTCTGTTCTCCTCTTCAGCCATCTCCAAGAGGTGAGGGGGAACCTTATACCCAGGATTCCTCAGGGCTGCCAGGGGGAAAAGCTCATTTTAAAGACTGTGTGCATTTTCACTTCTCTCCTTCACGATCTCTCTCCTTCTCTCCCACTAGCATTAAGTTTGGATGTGGCTCTCCTTTTCTTGCGCTCACTCAGTCTCTCCCTCCCTTTCCTTCGGACTCCTCTCTCCCACACACAAACACACACGTACCTTCAGCAGGCCTGTGTAGCAGTGTTTTCCTATAGAACAGCATGTAGGCGCTCTCTTTTCCCTGGTACATTTTCTCTATGTCTCTCTCATGGATAGACGTCACTGTGGAGTCATTCAGATCAAACCAGTGGCTGCCCTGTGGAGAGACAGAGAGAGAAAGAAAGAGATGGATGGATGAATGAATGGAGAGACAGAAAGAGAAAAGAGATGAAAATATAACCAATTGCAGCATTAACATAGCAAACATACCATCATTATTTAATTGTAAAAGCCATCATTAAAGCTCTAACTAGTGTTACCTGTGGTTCTAGTGCTGTCTTCGATTCTGTCTCCAGTCCTGATTCTGGTTGGGGGTTGGCTGTGTTGTTTTGGACTGGGTCTGAGGTAGGGGTAGAGCTAGTGCCAGGGGTTTGGTGGGCTGGGCTCGGGGGGCTGAGTCACCGGGCTAGGGGGGTTGGCTTTCAGAACCACCCGAGTGCCGTTATTGACCAACACAAACACATCACTGTGGTTCTCGAGGAACTACAGAGGGAGAGAGGAGGAGAGAGGGAGAGGGGGATGAGTGGAAGGAGAAAATGTAGAAAGATTTAGAGGAGATAAAGAAAGGTCAGTGTTTATGTGACATTGTGGAGCTCTTGGGGATGCCCATCAGTCTTGTCCTACCTTGCCTATGGGGCCGTGGAGTTTCCTGTACTTCTTGCTCCAGGAAGAGCCGATCTTGTCCATCAGTCTCTGGCCCAGCTGGTCCAGCAGCACGCTCCTGCTCTCCTCCTACAGGCCAGGAGGGGAACAACACCACATTAAGTTCAGATACAGTCACTGGACCTACTGATGATGTTGCCCATGGTGCTCTTGTTCCATTGGATTGAACCAGCATGCTTTGCTTTACCTGGGCTATTATGGAGGAGAGTACAGATAGAGGGTCGTCTTTCTCGGGCTCAGGACACACTCTCACTTCCTCCTTCTTCTTCTGAACCTTGGGTTTGGAATCCTCCTCCTGATACAAACGCACACACGTAAATACAAAGACACACTTGGCTATTAGCATATTTAGTGACATAAGCCTCGATTGTCCGATATGCAATTATTCTTCTCTCCTCCTCCCTCCCCCTCTCTCTCACCGGCGGATCCCACAAGCCGAGGTGGTCCATGTCTTTGATGTAGACGTGGTAATGGCCGCCATAGCAGCCTCCCTTATGGATGATGACAGAGAAGAGTTCATAGGCGTACTGCGAGTCCTCGCCTTCAGTCTGGGAGAGAGGGTGACATAGCATAGTCATTAGGGGTTATAATGCGACATAAATGTTAATAAATGGTTTTACATTGTTTTAACTAAGTAATTTAGAGTACATAAGTGGTAGTAAGGCAATGCAGATAAATGTGGGTGGAGGTTGTCCATTACCTGTTCACAGAACGGCCTGAGGTTGATGGCGAGAGGGAAGGTGTAGCGACCAGTCTCCTTGTAACGCTCGCACTTGGCAAAGTCAAAGTTAAACCTCAACAGAGACACTGTCAGGAAGGGAGGGAGCTTCCTCAGCTTGGCAGACTACAGAGAGGGAGAGGGAGGGGGAGAGAGAGAGAGAGAGCGAATGAGAGGGAGGGAGAGAGGGAGAGTTCTGGAATCAGTACCAATTCTAGAATAAACAAATGCAATTTCAATCTTGGCCAATACTCCTACTAACCTTAGCAGCAGTGACTAGATGGTCACACTGGCCACAGCGGTAGAGGTTACTGCCTTCAAACATCTCCTCTTCCACAAACATGTCCCAGAGCGCCCCCTCCAGGCCACACACACCACGTACACACACTGTCAGGTCCAGGAAGTCCTCCTGAGAGGGAGAGAGAGAGGGAGAGAGCCAAGAGAAAGAGGAGAGAAGAGAGAAATAAAAGAGAGAGAGAGAGAGAAAGTCAAAGAGAGTGTCAGCAACACAAAGATACACACAGGTACAGATAAACACTCAAACACATGTACCTGTCTCTGGCTGACGTTGCCACACACTTTGCAGACTATGCTGTTAACAGTGGTGCCATGGTAGAGGCGGTGGATGAACGCACTACCGCTGGTGTCCACCAGGGAGTGCTCTAGGGCACTGAACAGAATCCTGTTCAACTCCTGCACGTCATGTTGCCTGCTCTCCTACGGGAGAGAGATGAGAGTGGTAAGCAAAATGATGTAGGAGAAAGCGATGTAGCATTATATAAAGCAAGCCTCATTCTCTAGTTTAGTCCCTACGTCACACACAACGCCATTCATACACACACTCGTACACACGCTCGTGTACACACACACACTACCTCACTGTTGTTCCATCCGAAGCTGTCAGTGAGATCAGCAGTAGAGGCACTCTGTTGGTCCACCAAGAGTAGACGAGCAAACAGCCTCTGGAGCTCCAATGGAATGACCCTGACCTGGGGAGAGAGAGTGTTAATGTACTATGCACACACACATCAATACAAATAAAGGCATGTATTCCACAGTGAGGAATACACACACACTCTCCCATGGTTGGTTCCTTACCTTGGCCTCTGGTTTGTCTTTGTCCTCCAGGCAGCCCAATTCCTCTGGACCCAGACTGAACAGTTCCTCTACACACACACACACACACACATTAGGTATTGCAAATACAGTATGAACCAAAGACAGAACACCAAGTGACCTGACCTGACCTCTCACCTCTGAACTCCGGGGTGAAGAGCAGGGTCTGGAGCAGGGAGTTGAGGTAGCACGTCCCTCCCTGGTTTTTTATCCCGCTGAGATTCACTCTTCCCCGGGGTGGAGGTGGGTCCCATTCCCCCTTCACAACTCTACCTCCGGAGGGAGCCGGAGAAAATCCCTCCTCCTCTTCCTCGAAAAGACTCCCAAACATGCCTGGGCTTGTGTCTGTGCTCTATTTCTATGTCCCGTGAAACGCACCTTCTGGGGACTGAATTTAGTTTCAAATTGTGTTCACCGTCGCGCAGCAAGCTAACTAATAACTCCTCTTGCTATCTCATCTTGGTCTTGCCTAGCTCTCTGTTGATAGTAGTGGGACTGACTCTGAAATAAGACGACTTTACAGGGGTAAACATAGCTATGAATAGATAACTATGGTGTTCCCGTATTGCGCTCGAGTTATAGTAATTATTGTAGCAGTTAACTAACAAGCTATACAATCATTGCCCTTGCAGCACGAAGTAATTTAGTGTGAACTGAGTTTACAACAACTCAATTCGGACCAGCGACAGGCGGCTATCTGACCCGCTAGCTATCAAACAACACTTGTTTCAGCGTTCCTGATGCAAATAAAGCTTTAACAATAGAAATCCCCTGATGTCTTTTGGTAAATTTATACTCGAAGCCAAACTCTGTCTACATTCCTCTGTTTTAAATAAGCGAAAACACGAAAAAACGTAAATAAAAACACCATTGATGAACAGTGCGCAGCCATGATTCTCTTAAGCCAAAGGTTAGAGTGGTGCATTGTGGTAGTTGTAGTGGTGTTTTAAAATCACAGGTTGGCACCTCGGCTAAAAAAACTACATGTCCAGCAAGTCTTCTCTTCGATTTTGCAAGAGCATGAAGCCTGTAGTTTTTATAACATGGCTTGTCTGTCATCCAGTGGATGACACACACAGAACTGATACATCTGAACTGAAATGTGATGTATTTTCTGCTGGTATTCTTAAGGAAGGTTCATATGTGGCTACAAACCTGCTGTTCTTTTAACCACCTTTTCAGTTTTTGTGTGAAAGCACTGACACTAGCCACACATTTTAAAGGGATACTTCAGGATTTTGGCAATTAAGCCCTTTATCTACTTCCCCAGGGTCAGATGAACTCAGGTATAGCATTTTTGTCTCTGTGTTAAGAATTCCCTGTGGTGACTGTTAGCACCTCACAACTCTGAGCAAACTCCCTTTCCATCCCCCACAACCTGAGCCTGAGCCTGAGAGTCTAGGGGGTACCATAAACCTGCCTCTCAAACTTTCTCTGACCTGTGTGACCTGTGCCTTGATAGGTTGCTAGGGAGGTTACTAGGGGGCAGGACATCTACCCATCCTCTTGACACTGCAGGTCACACAATACTTGCAGTCTCCCTCAAGCAGTGGCAGAGAGCAACATCTATCTCTGCCCATCAACAACTGGACTCACTCATATCTCTGGACTTGTGGGATGGTGTGTGTGCCCAAAGTGTGTTGTGTGACATGTATATATTGTTCTTAATAGTTTGTTTTTGTTGTTGTTGCATTATGTATGCTGCCTCTGTATAGCTTGTAACCTGTAAACATGTTCAGGGATTAAATGCCATTTATACAGACCTTTATTACTGTCATTATGCTCTTGTGATATCGTATGTACAGTATATTCACTGCCTACTACCTTTCCCACTGCTCATCCCCATGTTCATCTTCCTCAGTGTGTTTAAAGTTCCTGTGTGTTAACTCTTGGGCTGCTTTATTCCCCTCTAACTGGGGCCGGTGTCAGTGAATCACAAACCAGTAAAATACCTAGAGCCGGGTCGCTCTCTTTCACTGTACATCCAGTATGAAGGAAGTTAGAAGTAGTTTTGCGAGCCAATGCTAACTAGCGTTAGCGCAATGACTGGAAGTCTATGGTATCTACTAGCATGCTAGCAGTTACCACAGACTACCAGTCATTGCGCTAACGCTGATTAGCAATTGTGCAAACACTAGTTAGTAACTTCCTTCAACTGCACGCAGAGACATAAAAATGGTATCCACAAGTTCATCTGACTCTGGGGAAGTAGATAAAGGGCTTCATTGCCAAAATCCTGAAGTATCCCTTTAAGGTTTCTGGAAGTTGGTTCTAGTGGTGAACAGCTTTTACAGAAAATGCAGATTGGGCAAAAGCTGTTCTACACACTGGAACTCTACAGTTTCCATTCACTGCTCCCCTAGTATGTGACCCTATAAAAATACAGATTTCATAAAATCCTTCGAAAACAATATTCTTACATAAGCGGTAGAATTTGCAGTAAGACACAAATAAAACCAGAGATAATTCAAACATACTGAATTTTTTACACATTTCTATTACATCAATCAATTATTTTCACACAATGATAGGCACCAAATATGATTAATGTTAAAGTTAACTTATACACAAAAAATTGTACAGTATCTACACACTCTCTCTGCTAACGTGGCCCAGTACAACAACATAATGTAACATTCATTATTACATCAGTTGAGATTTCATTTGTTATGTTTTTCACTGTTGTCCCTGATTTGTAATGATATTGGGTCACATGTCAGTGTGTTTTCAGACGGAACACTTTGGAGAGAGGTGCTGTGGCGCTGGAGTAGATCAGATAGGACTCCTCTCCGGAAGTAAAGAATTCCCAGTCGCTGCATCCGATGGTGGGAAGCCGGTGAATGGGAACAAAACCCTCGTATCCCTGCCACCTGTGCACATCCATATCATGTTCAAGTTCAAGTTCACAACACAAATCGTGATAATGATGATTTTATAACATATCACCATAATGATAGTAAATTCACAATATATCACCCATTCAATTATAGCACCATGACCAATTCTAGTGTGTTTATGTGAATACCTGTAGATAATGCTGTTCAGAGAGTGAGACTCTCCGTCAAATGAGTTAGCAACGACCAGGTAACTCTCCTCTCCTACTGTGAAGAACTCCCAGTCAACAGCACTGAGGGGGGAGACAGACAGAGAAATGAGAGAGAGAAGGAAGGGAGAGGAGAGGTGGGGAAAATGTGCACCTGTACAAAGGTTCATGTGTACCTGTATGTGATTATGTCCTGAAAACGCAGGAACAGCTGAGAGCTCATGTCCAGCTCGTAGATGGTCGAGTTGATGGCATAGCGACTGGGGCCATTGCCATGGAGTCTGTGTCCATTGGCAACCACCAGGAAAACCCTGCTGCCGATCTGGAACATCTCCCAGTCTGTGGCACAGAAAGTCTGAGAGAGAGAGAGAGAGACAGACAGACAGAGAGAGAGAGACACAGAGAGAGAGAGACAGACAGAGAGAGAGAGAGACACAGAGAGAGAGAGAGAGAAAGAAAGAAAGCGAAAGAAAGAGAGACCATAGAATCATGCAGACATTGGAATTCCCTAGCAATCAAAGCAGAGTCTTTTTGTGGTTTCAGTCTGCCAGTCAGTCAACTTCACCTCACATGTGGTTCCATTCAAATGTCTGATTCACTATCAGTTATCTGTCAAAGCTGGATCTAACATGCAAATTCTGCTCCACTACACATGCTCTATTTTTGTCATCTCTTAGTTCCGTGGTGTGGGTGGTTGTGCTGTTTTAGGATTTCTGCCAATCTCCCCCCTCTCTCCCTTCCCCCTTGCCATCCTCCTCTTCCTTACTCTCCCTCTTCCTCTCCCTCTGTCTCTTCCTTCTACTTCACCTTCATCTCTCTCTCTCTCCCTCTCTCACCTTAATAGTCTGAAACAAGCGGAAACTTCCATCCACCCAGACATAGATGACCGAGTCAACGTGAGTGGTCAGTCCGTCGAACGCGTTCGCCACAGCCAGGAAGTGGTAGGGTCCGACCGTGAAGGCTTCCCAGTCGTAAGCCCCCGAGGTCCGCAGGGCTTGGTGAGGTTCAAACAACTGCGTGCCACGGTCCCACTTGTAGACCACACTGTCTATGGTGTGGTTAGTATTACCTAGAGGAAGGGAGCGGGTAGGGAGAGGAAGAGATCATTGCAACTCATATACTGTATATATATATATACTGAGTTATTTGTATTGCAGCTCATCACAGGAGGCTGCTGAGGGGAGGACAGCTCATAATAATGTCTGGAATGGAGTGAATGAAATGTGGAAACCATGTGTTTGATGAGTTTGATAACATTCCATTATTCAATTTCAGCCATTACTATGAACCTGTCCTCCCCAATTAAGGTGCCATCAACCTACTGTGCAACTCATGTACTGTAATTAAGTTGAATATACTTTTCTACAAGGTCTTTTCAGCATCACAAAGATTTGGCTGCAGTCAGGTTATAGCTTATTTGTGATTGGATGAAGCCAGTCCTTACCTGGTCCATGATTGGCTGTAGCCAGTTCCTACCTTGTCTGTGGTTGGCCACGGCGAGGTAGGTATGTCCTTGGATGCGGAAGGCCTCCCAGTCCCGTGCACAGTGTGTCTGCAGCGCCTGGTAATGAACAAACCTCTGTGTCTTTTTATTCCACCTGTAGATCACTGACAGTTCATCCTTCTCCACTGTCTCCTCCTTCCCTGTGCTCTCCCTGGAGTTAGACACCACCAGGAATATCTACAACAAGTTAAACCAACAAATTAACAAATACAATTGCATTTCAAGTGTATTTAAAGATCTCTAAGATGTCTTCCTATACCTTCTTCCCCATAGTAAAGTGTCTCCAGGAGAGAGCTCCATGTGTGCTGATCTTCTGGTAAAGGTGAAAGCCTCCGTCTCTCCAGAGGTAGACTGCAGAGCCCAGGGAGGGGGAGCGGTGGGCCATGGCTGCCATCAAACCCAGCCCTTGTACACTGAACACCTAGACATGACAGACAGACAGACAGACAGACATAGAGTGATAGAGAGAGAGGTTGAAAACCAGTTTAATCTACAACTATGTCTTATTTTAAACAATAATGTATAATAATGTATTCATATTTATGTTTTTTGTTTTATGTTTAAAAGGAATACCTCCATATCATACGTCTCTGAACTGGTGGAGAGGACCTGCTGCTCCAAGACATAGTCTAGTCTCTGGGACTCTGTAGAAGTGATAGAGAGGTCAGTGTGTGTGTGTGTGTGTGTGTGTGTGTGTGTGTGAGGAGGACCCACCTTGCAGCATGGGGACCCAGAGTGTACCATCACAGAGGTAGAGCGCTCTCCTGACAGGGTTGAACCACAACTGTCCTCTTACTGAACCGGAACAGGACGGCTCCAGCCCCACAGACACCCGTACCTCTGTCTCTGGAGGGTAGAGGGTGGGAGGGGAGCAGAGTGGATGGAGGGGCAGTAGAGGATAGAGGTACAGGGTGAGGCAGGACGGGAGAGAGAGAAAAGAGTCAGAGAAAAGAGTCAGATTTGTGAGAGAGATCAGGGGGCAGAGAAGATAGGAGAGAGACAGTATACCATATGAAGGCAGGGTGAGGTCACTCCTAGTCTCTTTGAGTGGTAGGTCCAGCAGCACCGCGGGCACAGACAGCTCTGCCAGCCTGGGGTTGGAGGACGGGCAGACACGAGCGGTGGCACCAGAGCCTGGCACCAGGACCAGCTGTCTGATCAGACCCTGGGAAGGAGGGAGGGAGGGACAGGGGGAGGACGGACGGAGAGGAAAGCTAGTTATTTGTAGAGTATTGGCATAACCCATTGTGTCCCTCTTATCAAGCCATCATGTAGCCATTACTACTAGTGTAATTCTAGTGTATATAGGTTCTAGAGAGAGGGTTGGAGTGTGTGTTGGTTCTTACTGAGAACAGGCCTTTCCATCTTCCTCGGCTGCCGATGTGGAATCTGGAACCCTGAACACTTAGGTCAGAGGGCAACGACTTGGAGTGAACCCTGCTGAACACACATGATAACATCATCATCATCATTACAGACATTTAATACAGACAGACAGAGAAAAGGGATACAGAGAGAGAGAAGGAGAGCCGGAGAAAGCAACTCACAGTTCCAGGTGTGTGTTGCAGTCCACAGTGAGAGTAGCGTAGTGTCCGCTAAATGCTAACACCAACGTGTGCCAGTGATCATCAGCCAATTGGACGCCTCGGAACACCCAGCGCGCCATGACCCCCCCGCTGCGACCTCTGAACAGGAAGTGGAGACCGTCTCTGGAGAACCGCAGGCCAATCAGAAGCCGCCCCCGACCGTTGCTGTTCTCTCCATCTCTACTTCCCTTCCTCTTCTCTCCGTCCATTTCTCTTTCTCCATCTGTCTCTCCATCCCTCTCATCATCCCTCTCTCCTCGTTCTCCATCCTTCTCTTTGTACCCATCTCCATCTGTTCCTCCCTTCCTCTTTCCATTCCTTGCATGCTCTTCTTCCTTTTCCTCCACCACAGAAAAGATGTACTCGTTTTTCTGAAAGACAGGATGAGACAGATCATCACACAGTGAGAAGAGGCAATAAAAACAAAATACACTGAACATTCCCCACGTCGTCGATGATGTCACTTCCTGTTGTAATGCTGCTGCAGGTGTTTCTAACCCCTGGCCCTTACCTTAGTGGCGACGAGGCTGACCTTCAGGGTGGTGACGATGGAGAACTCTCTGGGGAAGAGGTGACAGTTGACGAGGAGCTGGGAGGACGGGAAGTCCAGGGAGGTGTGAGGACGGGACAGACGGACACCTCTCACACCCCCAGACTGGATCAGATGCACCCCCCCTCCTGTTACCCCCCTCGCCCCCTCCCCTGCCATGGGGAGAACACGGGACAGAAGGTCCAGGGGGAGCAGGTCTACGGGGAGAGAGAAAGAGAAAGAAAAAAGAGAGAAAGAGTGAGAAAGTGAGAGAGAGACGGGGAGAGAGAGAGAGAGAGTTAGTCAGCATTTCCTAAATAGTGGGAAACTGCTTTAGGTGGTGAGAGCAGCAAGATGGTGTGTTGTAGTTTCTTGTGTATTCATGATATCAGGTAAGGTTAGTCAGAGTTTAGGGGATGGCTGGGAAATGTCTGGTAGGTTATTGGCATGATCTGTGCATGAGTGATTTGCGTCAAAGTTTCGGCAAATCAAGTTAAACACACCAAACCCTCACACACACGGCTGATATCTCTCTTACACACACACACACACAATGACACAGTGGTGGAAAAAGTACCCAATTGTCATATAGATACCTAAATAGAAAGTTACTCAAGTAAAAGTGAAAGTCACCCAGTAAAATAATACTTGAGTAAAGGTCTAAAAGTATTTGGTTGTAAATATAAATAAGTATCAAAAGTAAATGTAATTGCTAAAATATACTTAAGTATCAAAAGTATAAATCATTTCAAATAATATCTAATATTCGAATATTAAGCAAAGCAGACGCCACCATTTTCTTGTTTTTAATGTATGGATAGCCAGGGGCACACTCCAACACTCAGACAGTATTTACAAAAGATGCATTTGTGTTTAGTGAGTCTGTCAGATCAGAGGCAGTAGGGATTACCACGTGTTCTCTTGATAAGTGTGTGAATTGGACCAGTTTCCTGTCCTGCTAAGCATTTAAAATGTAACAAGTTACTATTTGAATTAACATCCCTGCTGCATGCAAACAAGATGGAGAGAGAGAGAGATAGCAAAAGAATGAAAGAAAGAGATAGCGGTGTGTTTAATGCCACTCTACAGTATAATCTGAGCGCGCCGCAATCTGACAGGAAGCACAGTGTTATGTGTCACAATCAAATGTGTCCCCAGATAGGTTACGACACCCACACACACATTATCATAGCACATTTAATAGAATAGAATGTACCTGTGCATGGTCTCCATGTCTCTGCAGCTGCGTTGATGACCCTTAACCCGAGAAACAGAAGGAGCGGCAGCAGTAGCATCAGTGATGACATCACAGCTTGTTCCAGTCAATCACAAACACTGTGACTGATCCGAACGCCAATTGACGCTCATCTCCAACACGTGTGTGTGAGTATGTGTAGTTTGTGTGTGTATGTTTGTGGTGTGTCTGGAAATAGTCCTTAGAGAGTGTCCGTAGAAAGCACAATCTTCCAACAGAGAAAGTCCAGTTGACAAAGAGAAGCCTGGATCTAAACTACTATACAATATCTGACTTCAGCAAAGGCAGACAGGCAGGCTCCTAATGAGTTTGTTCTGTCTGGTCCTTCTCTCTGGTACAGCACCTTCTCTTATATACCAGGCCCATGCAAATCACTAACCAGTCTGTCAATCATTTCACAGAGTAGAACGGAAGCTGACTGTATCTCTCCCATACACTTCTGAGTGTGTGTGTGTGTGAGAAAAAGAGAGAGAGAGAGCAAGATGTATACACAAGGTGGAGTTTTATGGGCCATAGATACAGAGCTGTCCTACAAAATTAGATAAACACCAAGTAATGTCATTTTTAATAAGGAAATAAAAAAAGTATTTTGAAAACATGCATTCCACTGGTGACCTCGGCTCCACCAAGAGTGCTTGATACCAGCTAAGCTATTACCATATTAACCAAGATCCCTGTTATTAGGACATGTATTATTGTAGTAGCTGAGGAGTGTACAACTATGTGCGTGTGTGTTGTGTTCCTATGGTGAATTTGTGTAAGACAGCTGTTTTCATAAAAGATTAGCTAATATTACATTCTGAGAAAATGTAATAAAAATTGTAGAGAGAGGAATTAGGTACAACTCTCAGGTGCGGACCCGGGAGGGTGGACCAATGTGTGTATTTCAGCCATGGCCAGGCTTCAAATAGCTGTTCCGATACAGAGTAGGGAGAGAAAGGAGGGGTGTTCACGCTTTCTTTTATATACCTTTTACTGCTCCGTTTGACCTTTTCTTCAAGAGCAGGTTTGTGTGCTTTAGCGGATCACTGGGCAGGAGGAAGGTGTCCTATAGAGACTTGTCTAGTGAGTGTTTCTCCTAGCTATTTATTTTCAAGGCTACAGGATCATGATATAACTTTCTTCCTTCTTGTATCTCTCTATCCCATCAGGATATCAATCAACTGTGCTTAATCTGACTGCATCAGCCAATCACACAGAGCGATCTAACATCCTGACAGGTGGCTGACCGCAGGCACAGGTATAAAAGAACGGGAAGACTCAATTGGTTTTGCTAACTCCATCATTTCCTCCTTTTGAAAAAGGTCAAAGGTTATCGAGTTAACAAATGCAGCTTTATTAAATTAGACTCCTCCACTAGCACATCATCCAGCAAATTGTTTACAGAGGAATCCCAAAATACAAGTCCAAAGTGGTAAAAATGAATGAGAAAAGGATAAGTAGCATACAGTTTTTAAATGTGTGCATGCGGTCCTCCTCAGAGAAAACAGCAACTTATTCAAGGGAGTGTGGTGGATTTCAGCAGAGGAGACTCCGAGGATGTACTTGTGCTTCCTCCACGGGAGGACTTAATCAAGGACAGAGGCAGACTCCTCTGTTCACCTAATAACGAACTGACACCGTCGTCGATCACTTATCAGGTTCCGGGTCACGGAGGAGAGAGGACGGTCTTTTGCCCAAATAAGAATTTTATCACCACGGCCCTGGTCAGGATTAAACGCTTGAACAGAAACCAAAACATGCAAGCTCACAGTATAGTCCACGCTCTACCTCTGCTGACCTGGGACCAGCTGATAGAAAGAGAAGACAGACAAGTCTGTGTACCAATATACAGTAGCACCTCGTTGGTCCCTTTATGCAGCTGAGAACATTACATTTCAGCGTCGGTAATGTCAAATACTGCTTGATAGGGTCTATCATATACAATAGGTAGAACATACATGACTATAGACAATACATTGAACATACAATTCATGATTCTCATGTGTAACCGGCAGTCCACTCAATGAGCCCATTCTCTCTCACACACGGTTAAAGGAGGAGCCGTGAAAGGGAGCCTGAGTACCAAACTATATTTATTGTTTACAGTAGTAAAAGACGCCAAACAATGTACAAATCAGTAGAGAAACCAAACAAATACCATATGACAAAACTTGTGGGTAAAGACCATAACCACCCCCTCCTTACCCTCCAAGTAGAAGTAGACCCCAACCACAGATCTAGGATCAGACAACCTTAACCCCCAAAACATTAACCATTAGGGGGATGCAAAATATCTGACCCGGTATCAGTGTTTAAGGATGACTTCTCCCTCCCAACTTACACCCCCACCCAAAAACAGATTCACTGACAGGGTTGCTGTAAGAACTGACCACTGAAAAAATTAAGATAAATTATCCCGTATATGGTATCAGGGAATATTCCCTTTTGACTGCCCTCTAAAAAAAAAAAAAAAAAAAACTAGGGGTGCATCTCACCAGTAAAAATAGCTTCCTTGTGACAAGGAGACTCCTTTCTTTCATTCTTGTAAAACTGACACTAAAGAACTGGACAGGTGAAAGCTCATTCCATGGTTGGCATCCACCTTAGCCTGAATGTTCAGATCGGTGCCAAATGAAGGATTGGAGGCAACCTAAGACTTTCGAGATGCACCCTTGGTTTTCACCCTCGAATAAACCAGGGCTTCCCCCATGTCAAACCATTGGAAGGGTCCAGAAGCCACCCACTAACCCCTAGGCACTTCTTGTAGATTTGAGGTGTTGGATAAATACAAAACACTACACAAGTGGCTTAGGGGTAGGGGTAGTTTCTAGATCAAAACTCATCGTTTTTAACATTGGAATGACCCGGAAGCTGTCCAAGACCATTCAAGAGTTAAATCTTGACTAAGACAGACATTTGAGGGGAGCCCCCCCCCACCCCATCCAAAACCGCGCCAGACATATTTTAAAATAAGAACAAGGAAACACAGACGATGGGGAAGCCTCAAAGTAGAAGTTGCCCCTTACCACAGATCAGCTCACCGTCTCCTAAACTTAACCTCATCCAATATGGGGTAAACTAATAACTGACCTTAAATCAGTGTCTAAGGGGCAAATTCATCCCCACTCCCACCCCTCAGGACAAAACTGCGACAGACAAAAAAAAACACAAGTGAACACAGAGGCCGAAGAGTGACTGGAGGAGAGGAGCAGTGGGCATGGTTTGGGTATGTCAATCACTGTAACGGGAGGGGCTTAGCAGAGACCGCCTGTCTGCTGTTGGAAAACATCTATGGTGTCTTCATCCTCCATCTCCAGCTAAAGAGAGAGAGAGAGAATTAACATGTGTGAGAGGGAAGGAGAGGGGGGTCTAGTGAAGAGGGATTCCATGAGAGGGAGATGTAGTGGGAAGTATAGCGAGAAAGTAATTAAGTGCATTGAGAGTTTATTTTGAGTTTAGGAACAGGGTGGGCTTTAGTTGAGAAGGATAATGGAGTCAGATGCTTCAGAGTGAGAAGAGAATAGAGTGAGTAGAGAATAGAGAGAGCTGCCAGTTGTCTGTGCAGCGTACCTGTGAAGGTGTGTCTGTCTCGTTGATTGGCTGTCCGTCAAACCTGAACCTGATCTGCCTTATCGAGAGCCCCTGAAGGAGAGAGAGGACACATTAGAAATACATGGAACAGATATTCTCTAGTATAAGGAATCAGGTCAGCTCTATTCATAATATTTCTATGAGCAATGTTCAGGGTGCCCCCTGCTCCAGTCCTCGCCACTGAGGAGGCAGGTAGGAGGGCAAGGTGTCTGATTGGGTGACTGTGGTTCAATTGGCGGCTGTGCTGACCTGACGTTCGCAGTAGGCCTTCATCAGTTTGCTGAGCGGTGTGTGTCTCTTGATTTTGAATTGAACCACCGAGCCATCCTGACCCGCTACCTTTAAGTTAATGTGGTCGTTCTCAGTCTTCACGCCCTCCTGAAACACAACCAAACAGAGACAAACAGCAATTAAAGATGAACAATGTAGTTATTCAGTCTTCAATGCTTCCCTTTCTTGGAGAGACAAACAATTGATGACTTGTACAACCGCTGTTAGGCCTCATACGTCTCTAGTAAGGTCTGGACAGGGATAGCTAGGTACTGTTCTTGTCCTGTTAATTAGGGTCGCTTGTGGGTGGTACGGGGTCTGGGGGTGGGAAATGCGTGGAACCGAAGGCTGTGACTGAGGTAAGAGTTATCCATAACAAAATCCACGGTCAGCTTGTCCTAGTACCTCAAATCGAAAAATATATATCTGATTCCTGTATCAGTAAGTGGTTAGGGACCATTTCGTACAGGCTATCTATGACCAACTACCTAGTTATACCTGGTCCTACCGGGGTCTGGCCAACGCCATGCGTGTTTACTGGCCAAGAAGATAGTGTTTTTCTGGCCAAGAAGATAAACAGTGCAGTAACTAACGAATTGTGTAATTTAGTAAATTCAAGAAGTGAATGCCGACGAAAGCATCTTAATCACTCGAATATGGCTTCCAAATTGTGTCACATTTTGTGCGGCTCTTCTTGCGGCGTTTAGCTAACTAGCTGCTAGTTGGCTAGCGTGGTCTACTTTCCACAAAGAAAAACCCGCAACCGCTATCCGTGAATTTAACTTCGAAATGTAAGTGGTAGCTATGTTACAACATTTCTAGTTTATGTTCGAAATATTTCGCATAACATCTCTAATAGCTTGTATATCGAATACACTTAGAAATATCGTATCCGGAGGCAGCACTCCATTCATTTAGCTACGAAACAAACAGTGCGCCGATTCAGACAAACGTGCAAACCGGGCCATTTTTGATTGCATATTTCAGGCGCTATTTGGCATTAGACTGTTTTAATCGCCTTAAATACCCATCACATTTTAATAGACGGCCTGCCTTACCTTTGGTTTCTCCTCCGACATTTTGATGGGTTTTCTTTAAAGGATTTGCGGGTTCAAATGTAATTTTGGACGTATCTTCGTTTGCACCTCTTTAAGCTATCTGCTCTTCTCCTCCGCAAACACGGGAACGCGCTTTGGTCTCTTGTTCCGCAGACACTGATTGGCTTTCGCGGAATCACGTGACATATTCTATTGGGGACGCGGATGCGGGGACGCGCAATTCAACCAAATACTCGGTCACGCGACATTAAGAACCCGCCAAAGACAGGGCTGAGTCTGGCCCTTGATTAATTTCAAATAAATACACACATTACACTCAGATCAAATTGTATTTGTCACATGCTTAGTAAAAAACAGGTATAGACTACCATGAAATGCTTACTTACGGGTCCTTTTCCAACAATAAAGATACAACATTTAAATATTGACACAAGGAATTCCTTCTCCACTATGCAATCCGGTTTCCGAGCTGGTCACGGGTGCACTTCAGCCACGCTCAAGGTCCTAAACGATATTATAACCGCGATTGATAATAGACAGTACTGTGCAGCCGTCTTCATCGACCTGGCCAAGGCTTTCGACTCTGTCAACCACCGCATTCTTATTGGCAGACTAAATAGCCTTGGTTTCTCAAATGACTGCCTCGCCTGGTTCACCAACTACTTCTCAGATAGAGTTCAGTGTGTCAAATCGGAGGGCCTGTTGTCTGGACCTATGGCAGTCTCTATGGGGGTGCCACAGGGTTCAATTCTTGGGCCGACACTTTTCTCCGTGTATATCAATGATGTCGCTCTTGCTGCTGGTGACTCTCAGATCCACCTCTACGCAGACGACACCATTTTGTATACATCTGGCCCTTCATTGGACACTGTGTTAACAAACCTCCAAACGAGCTTCAATGCCATACAACAATCCTTCAGTAGCCTCCAACTGCTCTTAAACACTAGTAAAACTAAATGCATGCTTTTCAATCGAACGCTGCTGGCACCCGCCCACCCGACTAGAATCACCACTCTCGACGGGTCTGACCTAGAGTATGTGGACAACTACAAATACCTAGGTGTCTGGTTAGACTGTAAACTCAACTTCCAGACTCACATAAAGAATCTCCAATCCAAAGTTAAATCTAGAATCGGCTTCCTATTTCGCAACAAAGCCTCCTTCACTCATGCTGCCAAACATGCCCTCGTAAAACGGACTATCCTACCGATCCTTGACTTCGGCGATGTCATTTACAAAATAGCCTCCAACACTCTACTCAGCAAATTGGATGTAGTCTATCACAGTGCCATCCGTTTTGTCTGCAAAGCCCCATACACTACCCACCACTGTGACCTGTACGCTCTTGTTGGCTGGTCCTCACTACATGTTCGTCGTCAAACCCACTGGCTCCAGGCCATCTATAAATCACTGCTAGGCAAATCCCCGCCTTATCTTAGCTCATTGGTCACCATAGCAGCACCCACCCGTAGTCTGCGCTCCAGCAGGTATATCTCACTGGTCATTCCCTAAGCCAACACCTCCTTTGGCCGCCATTCCTTCCAGTTCTCTGCTGCCAATGACTGGAACGAATTGCAAAAATCTCTGAAGCTGGAGACTCTTATCTCCCTCAATAACTTTAAGCATCAGTTGTCAGAGCACCTTACCGATCACTGCACCTGTACACAGCCCATCTGAAATTAGCCCACCCAACTACCTCATCCCTATATTGTTATTTATTTTGCTCTTTTGCACCCCAGTATCTCTATTTGCACATAATCTCTTGCACATCTAGCATTCCAGTGTTAATACTATTGTAATTATTCTGCACTATAGCCTATTTATTGCCTTACCTCCATAACTTGCTACATTTGCACACACTGTATATATATTTTCTGTTGTATTTCTGACTTTATGTTTTTTACCCCATATGTAACTCTGTGTTGTTTTATTGCACTACTTTGCTTTATCTTGGCCAGGTCGCAGTTGTAAATGAGAACCTGTTCTCAACTGGCTTACCTGGTTAAATAAAGGTGAAATAAAATAAAATAAAATAAATAAATACACAGTGAATAATGAATAACAATAATGAGTAAACATAACATGGCTGTGTACAGGGAGTACCAGAATAATGTTGTAAAATACATTTGATGTCAAGCCAAATCTTCCATGTTCATCATAATGGAAAGAGAAATGGTGTGTATTCATTACGGAGTACATTTACTGTTTAAGAACCAAATGGAAGAAAACTGAGGGGGGGGGGGGGGGGAGATAGGTCCCTCCCATAGAAATAGATAGAGAACTCATCTTTGTATCTGTGTCATTGTAGCGTCTGTGACAGCATGGGCAACGCCATTGAGGCTATCTCCATTTTGAAGAATTCAATTTTCTTCTTCACAATTGGCTGATCCCCCTGATGACCTGGTTGGACATGACTCCAACAGGGTCACCAGGAGGGATCAGCCAATGAAGCCCTCAATGGCGCTGCCAATGCTAATATGGCTTTTTGGCCACTAGAGCCCCTTATCATTCTCTATGGTCCTTCCCGTTTTGTTCCGTTTGCTTCCTTTAAAGCAGAATTGGCGAAATGAATAAACCCATGGTTTTGAGGAAGGCAACACTAAGCTACTGTACTATGGTGGTAGCCCACAATACTGGAAATCCACTACCAGAGACATGGCTTTTGATTACCAGTCGGGGGCGCTCCAACTCAACATGTCATTTCTCTCTTGAGGGAGAAAGGGAAGGATTGGAATGGGTAGGGATCCAGGGCTGGGTTACATTCCAGAAAGATTATCTCGCTCTGGTCATATAAAATGCTTGAATAAAGAGTATAAATATCCTTGATAAAAATAGTAAATCGAGATCTAAGACTTGAGGATTGAGTCAGCACTGCAGGAATTCCTGTTTATTCACATCTCTACTATTATTGAGGTTACGATCACTGGTCTGATATGGTCGTTGTGCGTTTCTCAATATGAGGTAGAGGGTATAGTAGGGGCTAGGAGTTGATAAGATCCAAAGAGAGACAAGTCTTACATAGTGGAAAGTTATATTTTAGTAAAAATAGATTTATTCAATAAACAGACAAAGGGTAGTTTATTACACATAACTTGACATCAATAAAAAGTTGATTCATTTGGCCTGACAAGTTAGATTCTGTAACTGAAGTAGCTGGTGCCTGTAATGAGAAAGCTGTCACAGGTAGAAATATATTGCTTAGATCTGACATTCTTTATGTCTCATTTTACAAGGTGTGTACATTCTATATGGTAGCCTACATTTCTATCTGCAATTCTGAGCATTCAACTCTTCTGAATAGCCTCCTATTTAAAGCTGCAATATGTAACTTTTGGGGCGACCTGACCAAATTCACATAGAAATGTGAGTTATAGATCTGTCATTCTCTTTGAAAGCAAGTCTAAGAAGCGGTAGATCTGTTGTATGTGCGTTATTTCTATGCTTACCATATGGAAAATATATTTTACAGCGGTTTAGATGGTACAATGATTCTCTAAACTATACTTGCTTGTTTTGTCACATAAACTGAAATTAGGTTAACTGGAAATGGCGGAGCAATTTCTGCAAAGTGCATCATTAAGTACAATTCTGGTTTAAATTAGAATAACAATACATCTATAAAAAAGTTTGTTTGATGGAGTACACAGATAAAAATACATAGATATGGTCAACTTTTCTGGAGTGCATCTTCTCAATCAAGTAGAGCATAGGCAAGATCTCCTATAACCAAGTAGTAACCCTTAAGCACCATCATCATATGAGTTTTTAATACAGTGGTAGTCACAGAAGGTAGATGGTATAAATAAGGTACATTATTATTATTATTATTACTATTTTTGCAGGATGCAACATATCATACGAAATAGATTACGTTGTACACAATTGTGCACAATTTATGGGGACCCATTTTGGTTTGTGAGCGCTACTTTCAAAGCTATTGTCTGAAATTATACAAAACCTTTATAACGCATCTTTAAGATTTTTATGATTAATGGTTTAGGGTAGGGTAAGCTGAGCATAGAACAGTCACCAAGGTCAACATTCCTTAGGGGAAGAAGGGTTGGGTTGGTTGAAAGGTCAGAGGTGAGGAGAAGGCAGGCAGCTCAGGAGAATTTGGAGTATGGGTTGGACCCACTGAGACCTGGAAGGAGAGAGAGAGAGGGGCGGAGATAGAGGGAGGAAAAGAGGGAGAGAAGGAGAGAAAGAATTAGAGATCATCTTTCATAACAACAAATTCCATCAGAGTAGTGATGGTGGTTTTCCACAGACAGGAATGAGGAAACATGACAGGAGTGGTGTGTGTGTGTGTGTATTTGTGTGCGTGTCTCAAGTCGTACCATATTTAGTTCGGATTTCCTCATGCCTCGTCTTCATCTCTGCCTTCCTGTTAACACAAAGACAACCAGCTGGTTAGACGCACACACATGTAAGCACACATAGTATTTTTAGAGGAATGCACAACCTTTCAGACCAGCCAGGTAGGTAAGAAGTCATGAGTAGAGCACAAACCGGTTTGGGCGGTTAGCTTTGGTTGTGACGTATGTAAAGGTTTGTTCCAGTAATGCTTTTGTGTCGCTCTGGCTGTAACTGATATGAAACTAACAAAAGAAACCTGGGGCCTTGTTCTGATCGCAAACACGGTCACATTGTCAGATAGACACACTGAGGAATGAAACACACACAATATTTTTTCAGGTATTAAAAGGATATGTTGCCTCTAATTCTGAGTGTAAGGTCAAATACAGCACACACAGGGCTTGAATGAGCAATGTTCACCATATATCCCTGTGGGATTTGTAGTAGGCCAGCTGACCACAACACACACAACACAAAGCCATGTAAATACTGACACTTTCTTTAGTTGCAAATTGCTTCACATACATAGACAAATACACAGATGTTCGTGTGCCATGGTGACGTCTTACCTCTCTTCCTGTTTTCCCTTCGTCTTATTGGCCCGTCTATCCATCTTGGCATCGAACCTCGTAGACCTGACACACACACAGGTTAGGGCGGATTAGTACTTATACATGTGTCTGGAGGTCAGTCCATGAGGGTAGGTCAGTGTGTGTGTGTGAATTACACACTTTACTTGACCACGCCAAATCAAACACACACACTATACAGTTGAGGCCAAATATATTGGCACCCTTGCACCTTTCTTAAATAATTTCCTATTTCTTTTCAAATAAATTAAATTGATTTTCAACATTGCAGAGGCTATTTTATTTTTGTAAACTAAAGTTGAGCAATTTAATAGAGAAAATAAAGACAAAAGGCATGGACAAAATGGCCACCCTGGAGCTAGTACTTGGTTGCACAGCCTTTGGCCAAGATAACTGCAGACAAACGCTTCTTGTAGCCATCAATGAGCTTGCTTCAACTTTAGACTGGCATTTGGCCCACTTTTCAGCAGAAAACTGCTTTTATACTTCAATGTTTGAAGGGTGCCCTCCAACTACTGATCTCGTCATAGGTTTCAGATGTGATTCAGTTCTGGACTCTTGTCTGACCACTCCAGAACAGTCCAGCGTTTCTTCTTAAACCATTCCAAGGTGCTTTTGAAGCATGTTTGGGGTTGTTGACCTGCTGGAAGACCCACAACCTTTAACAGAGACACAGTTTTTGGATACTGGGTTGAACATTGCACTCCAAAACACCTTGATAATCTGCTGATTTCATGATGTCTTGCACACGTTCAAGACCCCCAGTACCAGAGGCAGCAAAGCGACCCCACAGCATTATTGAACCTCCCCATGTTTGATTGAACGTGTGCAAGGCATCATGAAATCAGCATATTATTAGTTGTTTTGTTGTCCAATGTTCAACCCAGTGTCCAAAAACTGGGTCTCCATTGAATGCTGTGGGTCTTCCAGCAAGACAACGACCCCAAACATGAAAAAACACCCAGGAATGGTTCAAGAAGAGATGCTGGACTGTTCTGGAGTGGCCAGCCAGGAGTCCAGATTTGAATCACATCCAAAACCTATGGAGAGATCTGAAAACAGCAGTTGAGGAGGGCACCCCTCAAACCTTGAAGAATTAGAGCAGTTTGCTGCTGAAAAGTGGGCTACATCATTAATGGCTACAAGATGCGTTTGTCTGCAGTTACCTTGGCCAAAGGCTGTGCAACCAAGTATAAGCTCCGGAGTGCCAATCATTTTGTCCATGCCATTTGTCTTTTCTAAATTAAAATTGTCAACTTAAGTTTCCAAAAATAAAATGTATTCTGCAATGTCGAAAATCTAATAACAAGGTGTGGAGACCAAAAGTATATATTTTTTTTTATTTCAACCTATTTTAGAAGAAAGGGGAAACACACACAAACACATGCACACACAGACACACTAACACATCATTTTTTTGTTGTATTGTTTGTATATTGTTGTATTTTAAATTTGTGTGACTGTTCTTGTCTATCAGTGTTTCGTTACTTGTCATGTTTTGTGTTTTTTTGTGGACCCCAGGAAGAGTAGCTGCTGCTTTGGCAACAACAGGGATCTGAATAAACAAATAAGAAATAGTGACTTATTTAAGAAAAGTGTAAGGTTGCCAATTACTTTGGCCGAAACTGTATATGAATACACATACCATTATATAAATACACTCACACAGTCAACGATAAAAAAACAAAAAAACATCATCCCCTCATCCCAAACTGTTTTGGAAACAGATTACACAAATCAACAGTGTGTGTGTGTGTGTGTGTGTGTGTGTGTGTGTACACTATACCCGATGCGTTCACACTTGCAGCAGAAGAGGCAGACCAGGAAGGCGATGATAATGACTCCACCCACCACCGCCATGGCGATGATCAATGACTGGAAGTTCACTGACACACACACACACACACACACACAGGACATTAGTTCTTACTCCAGCAGAGGTGTGTGTGTGTGTGTGTGTTTGTTTTCTTACCCCAGCAGCGTCCCCAGCGTGCATCGTTGAGGGGGCAGAGGGCGTGGGGGGGTAGGATGGTCCTCACTGGGTATGTGATACACATCTTAGTCTTCTGACACCACAGGCACTGTAACACACACACAGGTCAACATAACGCCAGTATTCGTGGACTATGAATTGGTAGGGATTTCAGGATTGGCAGGGTTAGAGTTCACAATGCCAAGGATGGAGGGATGCAGAGAGAGAAATGAGGGCAGAGAGACAGAGGTGAGTGTTCAGTTAGTCCCCCAACCTGTCTGATAGGTGTGGAGGGTGGAGCTGATATGCTGATTCATGTCCACCAGAAAATATCTGTGACCCTGTTAGACCCATGAGCAGGCGGTGTAGTGAGGGAATCAGGACCAGAAAACATATGTGACCCTGTTAGACCCATGACCAGGAGGTGTAGTGAGGGAATCAGGACCAGAAAACATATGTGACCCTGTTAGACCCATGAGCAGGAGGTGTAGTGAGGGAATCAGGACAAGAAAACATCTGTGACCCTGTTAGACCCATGAGCAGGAGATGTAGTGAGGGAATCAGGACATGAAAACATCTGTGACCCTGTTAGACCCATGAGCAGGAGGTGTAGTGAGGGAATCAGGACCAGAAAACATCTGTGACACTGTTAGACCCATGAGCAGGCGGTATAGTGAGGGAATCCGGACCAGAAAACATCTGTGACCCTGTTAGACCCATGAGCAGGAGGTGTAGTGAGGGAATCCGGACCAGAAAACATCTGTGACCCTGTTAGACCCATGAGCAGGCGGTGTAGTGAGGGAATCAGGACCAGAAAACATATGTGACCCTGTTAGACCCATGAGCAGGAGGTAGAGTGAGGGAATCAGGACCAGGAAAACCAAAGTGTTCCTGACTCGGGTGCCAGACTAATCCCAGACTCACCGTCACATTTGTCAGACATTCCTCACAGCTTGTTCCATTCTTAGTCTCACACACTGGGAGAGGGAGGCGGGAGAGCGAGAGGGAGGGAGAGAAAACAGGTTGATCGAGGGGAAAAAAAACATTAGATCAGTAGTTCATAACATACGAAATAACTGCAGTTAGAGGCAGTAATAAAGCCTTCTCACTTGCAGCAAGACCTAGCCTACTGCAGATATTTCCATTTGTCTTTTGACTGTATGATTCTACAGAATCGTTTGTGTACATTCTGGTAGTTAGTTCTATGGCTCCAGATAAGAAACGGAAGCCTGGTAGTCTGGTAGTCTGGTCTCTATGGGGCAAAAATTCAAAAAGGAATCTTCCAAGATGGAGAACAGGTGTCTCTTTTGGCACTTTAACTAGTTTCACCCAAACACTTAACAGTTAAATGGGCCAGCCAGTCATGATTCTAACTACTGAAATGTGTCTGAGAAGGAACTGAAAACAATCCATTGTTCCTGCTAAGAGGTTTCAGTTACACAAGCGTTTAACAACTCCCTGACAGTGAATAGGCCAAATATTTTACCAATCTACCAAGACACTTGAAATTAAAGAGCCATTGTCTGAATATAATAATCTAAATTTTATAAGGCTGATGACAGTCTAAATTACATCATTATAAAGGAATTGAAAACAAGCATTAAGTCATTTTGTGTTTTACCTAAAGGCAAATTCACTGTGAAATAGGCTACAACGTGAAATCGGGGAATTTCTGGTTTGAGAGAACTCCACTACCAGCTGTATTTTCGGTGATTAATGTCATAGACTAACTATAGCCAACAGTATGATCTATAATATTTTTTTGTCATATAGATCAAAATAATTTATAAGCGACAATAAATCAATGGTTAAGAAAAACAACAAAAGAAGTGCCACTGACTCACCTACGCTGGGTTCGGCAGTTTGCGCGAACACAGTGACCACACCGAAGAGTAGCAGAACAGCAGGTAGGCCTACTAAACTCCTCAAATCCATCATTTATTGAAACTTTCAAATCCAAACTGTGACAGTAAAATATTCCTTCGTGTATGGCGCTAATCTTGAGTTGGAAAAGTTGTTTTATTTAAGTAACAACACGGAGAAATTGGCCAATCCGTTTTAAGAAAAGAAACCCTTGAAGTGATGTTGAGATAAGGCAAAAAGGTCTGTCCTCCTTCCTCCCTGCGCGCGCCCAACCAATGAGAGCTGGAATTAGGGTGACCAAATGTCCCGGATTGCGGGACAGTCCCGAATGTTGGCCATTTGTCCGGTGCCCCGCATTTTATCAACAAACACTACTCATTTACCAAAAAAGGTAGATTTGTTGCGTATTTCGGTCAGACTTCCTATTCATTTGATGATAATTGACATTTCGGCCTGTTTGCCAAAAACATGTATTCATGTAGGCTACACTGGCCCGCAAAAACATTCCGTTGTCCCGCATTTGTGTATTTTAAATATGGACCATTGTGTGGTCACCCTAGCTGGAATAGAACAATCACGTCAGCTGTGTGCGTGCGTGTACAGAAGAGAAGACTGGACAATTTCCGATAATTTATTAAAGCATAATTTTGTAAAGCCAGTTACAAATAAAAAAAGAACAACAACAATTTTCTCTCTCTTTCTCTTTTTTCTCTCTCAAAACAATCACAATGTTTCAATATATAATGATAATAATGAATATGAACCATAACAGATTACAGTCAGGTCCTGCTCTGGCCGCCTGCGGCTGGAAAATGACCCTGGTATAGAGGTTGCTCATAGACACAGATCTAGGATCAGTTTACCCTTCCCATTTGGGTGGGAAACGGGCTTGTGGTAATGTCTGGATCAAAATCAGTGGAATGTTATCAAATACATCAAACACATGGTTGCCATGTGTTTGATACCATTCCATTGGTTCAGTTCCAGCCATTATTATGAGCCTTCCTCCCCTCAGCAGCCTCCACTGCTTTAGATCAGTGTCAAGAGGCAACTTCATCTTACTCTGTGTACTAGCAGTGTGAGAGGCAGGGCCATAGAAATGGAATACCTAGATAGGACACAGTCCTGAATTTCACTGGATTTTTCGGTCATTCCAAATGGTCCACTGGAACACAGGATGGAATGTTGTTCTGAATTGGAATGTCCTTTCCAGTAATTCTGATTCTATAGACTGGTCCTCCAGGGGGCTGTGGCCCACAAGCAGTGACGAAATCCCAAACAAAATTCCCATGTTCCCAGAATTCTCATATTCCAACCATTCCTATTTCCTAGATGCATACCTCCTCAATATGTGATCTTCTCTTCTTTCACAGAATTCCATACTGTAACCCTATCCCCTCCCTCCCTCTGCAATAATTATAACAAATCAATTCCCCATCCTCCACCCTCTCCCTCCCTTCCTCCCTTCCCAAACCCTTCCCCATTTAAAATCACAATCACAACACCATTCTCTTATAAAGGTTAGCCATATACATAATACTCTTATTTCTCAACAACACACTTTCTTTCTATCTTCTTATTTCTTTTTATAGTTCCCTTCTTCCCCCGGTGGGGTAGTTAGTTAGTCACTTGCATTATGACACAGATACACACGCTCACGGTAGCATTCCAAACACAGCACTACAGGAGGGGAGACACTGGGAACTTACAGTACACTAGTCACATGACTCAAAACAGGTTCTATTCACACATGAACTGGAGAACGATCACATAGCATAGAAACAGAATGGGTAGAGAAGACATCATTGTAGATTCCTCTTGTTTAAAAAAAAAAAAGTACCCACAGATATGGAAACGTGAGCCAGAAGGATGATACGAAGGCTACATTTCACTAGAGCACAGAGAAACGCATGTAGGCAACCATCCCAAACTGTCCTACCAATATGGCCCCCGCGACTGACTCTACCCATTCTACATCAATAAGTGAAACCCCCCTATATCTCTGTGATTTAGTCAGATGGCACTGCTAGTGAATAAGGGTGCGTTGGCATATTAGACATACAGCAGTGAATATCTCTGTTCATTCGCATTTAATTTACACATACAATAAATTCATCAAATGGCATTTATAATGGTATTTATATACATACAGTACAGTGACCAAAAAAAATCTATGTAGGGTTCCAATGGGTGCGATATACAAAAACGGTAAGTGTTTGATTAGTGTATATGTGTGTATGTGTAGGTTAGACATGAATATATAATATATGTGATGTTCATAGTATGTAGATATATTATAGGAGAAGGTTCCGTCTCAATCTCCCTTGGTTGATCTTGTAGTTGACATTTGTCACTCTTAGCATCATTCGCTCCTCCAGACCTTTCCACACCCACGGAGCTTCCCCCCCAGACCGAGCCAGACAGCTACCCCTGGAAAGAGCCTCTGAGTCGGGATGATCCCGGGGAGAGGGCCCTGGATGGGCCTCCAGCCCTGGTTCTCTGAGGGGGTTTGTATGAAGTCATATCACACAGCTCCATAGATATCTACTATGAGGTCACTTCCTTTGACACAGGAAGTATTGCGCATTCTGATGAAGAAGGGACCAGACTTTCCATTTGACCCGAGAGGAAAACACAAAACACAGTGAGTCCTTTAACTCAGTCACCACGGACAACAGCAGATGAACGAGCGAGTGAGTGAGAGAAAGAGAGAGGAAAGGAAGCAAGCAAGAGAGAATAAATTAACACGTAACTGTAAAGAGAGTAAAGCAGGCGAAATGGGGGACACACAGACAGAGAAAAAGAGAGAGTTTAATCAAGTGGGGGGAGAGAGGGTTAGAGACAGAGGAAGGAAAACAGAACTAGTAATAGGCTTCATTTGATCTCTCCTAGTTGGCAGTGTGTTGGGACTGGGACTGGGACTGGGACTGGGACTGGCACTGGGGGTGTGTTATCGGGGTTGAGAAGGGGGCGACGGGGCTTTGCAGGTGGTATGGCTTGACTGGGCTATTGTGCTTGTCGTTGGTATGGGTTTGGTCCAGAGAGAACATAGAGAGAGGGATGACAGAGGAGAGAGAGAGATTAGAGATTGATATAAAAGGAGTAATAGATATTTAGATGAAGTAAGGTTGAGTTAGAATGTGCTTGCTGGGCCTGCTGTCTGTAAGACAGTGACATGCAGGGTAACTGGGGGTTGGGAGGTGCTGGAGTTGTCCTCCTCCCCCAAAATTGTCGTTTTCCATGCTCATTGTTAATAAACAGATATTTAACCCAATCCACCCAATTCCCAAGTCTAGAATAGTTAGCTGCAGTCTCCATCCACTTTTCCCTTTGTGAAATCTGATGCCATTTTAGGTTCCTGACTGTCCTCTATTTTGTGTGTACCCCTCTCCAAGGTCGGCTGACTCCACCAACAAACCAACCGACCGACCAATCCGTGGATTATATCCACTTCCTGCCGCTCTTTGATAGGCCTGTACTGTTGAATGGAGGGCTCTGATTGACTGCTGGTTGATCACCTGACGAAGGCGCTGGCGACGCTGGAGACAGACATGATGCTGCAGCGTTTCTTCACCATCATGTTGATGTAGGCTTTCATGATCTTCGCAATCTCCATCACCTGCATAGAGAGAGAGAGAGAGAGAGAGGGACAGACAGAACATCAGTGTATGTGTCTGTGCAGTGTGCAGTGTGCAGTATATTCGTGATTTATTCTTCCATTGTGTGAGGTTATTTATGTTGTGACTGTCTGATGCATGCGTGTGTGTGTTTCAGAGTAAGTGTTTGTGTGTTTCAGAATATGTGTGTGTGTGTGTGTGTGTGTGTGTGTTTACCAATGGAGTGTCGAAGAACAAATCCTTGCCGTCGACAGTGATCTGGTAGGTGCAGGGCTGTGGAGCTCCAAAGAAGGTGATGCGCTCGTACTGGAATGTCTGCAGAGGTTTGGGTTCGCCTCTCTTATACACAGACAGGTTGTCAGCACTCACACCCAGCCACAGGTCATGGGGAAAACCTCCTTCCTTACACTGCAGGGGAGAGAGAGGGAGGAGAGGCGAAGAGAGGAGGAGGAGGTGAGGGAGGGGAGGATGAGATAGAAGCAAAACACAAAACACACACAAAACACGCACACACAAAACACACACACACAAAACACGCACACCCAAAACACGCACACCCAAAACACGCACACCCAAAACACACACGCACACACACCTCCACGTCGAACAGTGTAGAGCCATATCCGGGCCACTCTTTGACGATGGACATGTATTTGAGCAGAGCCTGGTGCTGGGGGTAGTCCCTGTAACTTGGTCCATTTATCCAGAACATGGGCTCTGGTGGCCGATGTCTCCTCCTTCACCCACATCTCTACCTGCTGCCCCTCTTCCTCCTACACAGGATTCAAATCATAGTTATCAATCAATCAATTAACCAACAAATCAATCAATCCTAAACCTAAACAGAGGCGATAGGGTAAGATATCTCTGTATGGAAATGCAATGATCCAGTCAATAGGTGATAATGTGTGATTCATAAGAGGCGCCATCTCTAGGACATATTGAGAACTACAGCGAGGAAAAATATTGCAATAGTAATGTCAGCATGTGCATTTGTGTCTGCATTTTTTATGCAAATGCATTGTGTGTGTGTGGGTGTGTGTGCCCATCGCCACCTTCTGTTTCTTCAGCGAGCCCGTCTTGAAGCTGCGCCTCAGACTTCCATCCAGGAAGCTGGGGGTTCTCCTTCTATCCTGCCCGTCCCCTTTGACACTTCCCACCTGCCCTACACCTCCCTCTCCTCCTGCCGCACCTCCCTGTTTGGTGGAGTGGAGGATGCGCGAGCGGAGGCGCCCCATTGGGTAAACACTACCGAGGCTCCACCCAGCGCGGCTGGCCCCGTCTCCATGGAGATACTGCAGCCGTAAAGCGGCTAGCTGCTGCAAAGTTTCCTCTGGGGCCGGGAAGTGACCACTGATCAGAGACTCATGGGCCTGAAGGGAGGAGGAGGGAGGAGGGAGGAGGGGTGTTGAAAGGGGGGAGAGAGAGGGAGGGGGAGCGTGAGAGTAAGACATTTATTGAAATTGGTTGAGACGGAGTAGGACAAGGAGTGTGTTTGTTTGTGTGTGTGTGTGTGTGTGTGTACTCACCTGCTCAAACATGAAGGCAAACTCCACCCCCTCCTTAGGCATGCTCTCCATATCGAGGAAACAGTAAAGTTTAAAATAAAGTCTCCACTGTCCTTCCTCCTCCTCCTCCTCAGTCCCTGACAGCCTGGAATACACACATATAGGGTTAGCAACACACACTCACACACACACACACACATGCTCATACACATGCTCACACACACGCTCACACGCTCCCACACACACACACACACACACACGCTCACACACACACACACGCTCACACACACACACACACACGCTCACACACACACACGCTCACACACACACACACACACACACACACACACACACACACACACACACACACACACACGCACACACACACACACCACACACACACGTTATGTACCTCTCAAACTTGGCGAGGACGTCAGCCACTATGACCCTACTCTCCAGAGCTCGGTCCATCACCTTGTTGTGTTCAAACAGAGAGAACAGATTCCTACTGTCCTCCATGGCCAGGCCGCGGATCAACTTCTCCACCACCTACACACACACACACACACACACCCACACACACACACACAGGAACGCACGCACATACACACACACACACACAAAGGAGAGATGTTACAGAGACGTGTATGTGTGCATGTGTATACACTGAGTATACCAAACATTAGGAACACCTTCCTAATATTGAGTTGCCCTTAGAACAGCCTCAATTCATCGGGGCATGGACTCTAGAAGGTGTCGAAAGCGTTCCACAGGGATGCTGGCCCATCTTGACACCAATGCTTCCCACAGTTGTGTCAAATTGGCTGGATGTCCTTAGGTTGGTGGACCATTCTAGATACACACAGGAAACGTAAATCTTTTGTCTTGCCCATTCACCCCCTGAATGGCACCATGTCTCAATTGTGTCAAGGCTTAAAAATCCTTCTTTAACCTGTCTCCTCCCCTTCATCTACACTGATTGAAGTGGATTTAACAAGAGACATCAATAAGGGACCATAGCTTTCACCTGGATTCACCTGGTCAGGTTATGTAATGGAAAGAGCAGGTGTTCTTAATGTTCTCGGGCACTGTGTGTGTGTGTGTGTGTGTGTGTGTGTGTGTACCTCTCCGGCGGTGGTGTGTGAATTGATGGAGATCTTGCAGGAGCCTCCTCCATGGCAGTAGACTGTAGTTGTCATCTCCTGCCTCACCAGTAGGGCTATGATTTCCTCCTGAGACGGAATAAAGTCCCTGGTCTTGGTCTTCTTCAGAGACTCATTGATAAAAGCAGAATAACGCTCAATCTCTGTGTTGGGGAAATGCTCTCGCACCCTGGGAGAACACACACACAGACAGTCATGATACACACACATAAGATACACACACACACACACTAATAAACATCTCTGTACCTGGGACACACACTCACCTCTTGGGAATACACACACACACATGCACACACACGCACACACACCTTTTGAGGTGGAAGCGCAGGTATCTGAGGATGGTCCGGCTTGGGAGGAAGGTGCAGCTCATACAGGTGAGGAGGTGCCAATGAGCCCGCTGATTGGGCTGATTGGGCTGAGGCACGTGATTGGTCTGCTTGATCACCTGACAGTATACCTGGAGAGAGCGGAAAGACAGTGAGTGAGTAGGAGTGTGTGTATGTTTGTATGTGTATGCGCCTGTGTATGTGTGTGTGTGTGTGTGTGTGTGTGTGTATGTGCACCCGCATACACTCTTAGAAAAAAGGGTTCCAAAAGGGTTCTTCAGCTGTCCCCATAGGAGAACCCTTTTTGCTTCCAGGTAGAACCATTTTGGGTTCCATGTAGAACCCTATGTGGAAAGGATTGTACATGGAACTGAAAAGGGTACTACCTTGAACCAAAAGGGTTCTACCTGGAACCAAAAAGGGTTCTTCAAAGGGTTCTCCTGTGGGGACAGCCGAAGAACCCTTTTAGGTTCTAGATAGCACCTTTTTTTCTAAGAGTGTATGTGCCCATATGTGTGTGCCCATGTGTGTGTACCTCATCTCGGAGCGGTCTCAGGTCCTGACAGGTCTGTAGTACCCCCCTTATGATAGGAACAGGGTCTGCCAGAGTCTCCATCTCCTGAAGAGAGTTAAACACTCGGATAGCTTCATCCTGAAGACTGGCATAGCCCTGCTGTCTCTGGACTGTAGGGGAGAGGAAAGGAGGGAGGAGGGGGGAGGAGAGGAAGGGATGGGGGGGGGGGGGGGGGAGAGGGGAGAGGGGGAGAGGAAAGGAGGGAGAGGTGGAGGCAGGGAGGAGAGAAAGAAAGAAAAGTTATCATCAAATTCCTTCATGTTCATGTCAGTGACAGTACAAGGAGGATTACCAGGAAGTGACAGTACAAGGAGGATTACCAGGAAGTGACAGTACAAGGAGAATTACCAGGAAGTGACAGTACAAGGAGGATTACCAGGAAGGGACAGTACCATGTGTATGATGCAGGCTGTATTGTGACGGTCCACTCTACTTACTGACTTCTCCGTAGGGCAGTGGCAGTAGGGGGGAGTGTAGAGGGTGCTGAGTGTATCTGAGGATGGGATTCCTCCTGTAGGTCTGCTCCACCGCCTCAGGGTTAAGACTGTTGTCCTTGATATCTCTAATGAGCTGTACTGTAGGTGTTTCTATAGGTGTCTTGCTGTCTATCACTGCCTGTATGGCTGCTATCCATCTCAGAGCTTCATTCAGCATCTTGGTGTAGAGGCGATACGAGTGCTTCCGTCCGTGCACTACGATGTTCCAGTACCCTACAAAGACAACAAGGGCATCAGTATAGACCCTACCCCCGATCCCCTACACCCTCCATTTCTTCCCTCTGACTCCCTCCTCCCTTTCGTCCTCTCCTTTCACTCCTTCCCTCTCACCTGTCTCTCTGTGCACTCGTTCCTCAGGCTGAAAGACAGAGCACAGGGAGTTGAGGACGAGGGTTCCCATCTTGGAGGAGTTTCGCTCAGAGCTCTTGTAGTAATCCAGGGAGTTATGGGTTAACACGAACCAGCGTTTCTTCAGCTTCAGAACATTACTCTTAGTTCCTGTCTTCATCTCCTTCTGGAGCCAACCTAGGGGATGGAGAGAGAGAGAGAAAGAGAGAGAGGAGAGTGATACAGAGAGAGAGAGAGAGAGGGAGATAGGGAGAGAGAGACAGAGAGAGAGAGGGAGAGAGGAGAGAGAGAGAGAGAGAGAGAGAGAGAGAGAGAGAGAGAGAGAGAGAGAGAAGGTATCACTTGTGGGCCATCACACAAGAACTGTGTGGTGAGTTGTGTATCAGTGCTGTGTGGCGGCAGGTAGCTTAGTGGTTAAGAGCGTTGTGCCAGTAACCGAAAGGTCGCTGGTTCTAATCCCCGAGCCAACTAGGTGAAAAATCTGTCGATGTGCCCTTGAGCAAGGCACTTAACCCTAATTGCTCCTGTAAGTCGCTCTGGATAAGTGCGTCTGCTAAATGACAAAAAAAAAATGGTGTGTAATGAGTAACATTGTCTGAGACCTGAAGACTAACACAATCTCATGGTGCACAGCAGACCTATGTTCCAACTCAGTCAGTATGTGTCTGTTTGTGTTTGTGTGGGTGTGTTACCCACCCCTAACCAGGAACTCCTGTCCGTCTATCTTGGCGTCTCCTTTAGGTTTCTGCAGCAGGCTGATCCAGTGGTGCATCTCTTCTGGAGTGTCAGTGTTACAGTGGATCACACGGTTCGCTGTGATGATCACAAATGAGTTGGGCCTGGACACACACACACACACAGGTTAGATACCGATACATAACACACATCTAATTTATAATCCCAAACCAGGTCAACCACAGTAGCTAGTTCATACCTGTCAGGGTTGTCAGAGGCACAGACTGAGTCGATCAGCCCCACGTCCAGAGTCCCCTATAACATGACATGAGATGACATACTCTATTATCATGGTAAAGTGTGTGTATAAGATGTGTGGGTCATTATAACATGTGTATAACATGGTTAGAAGCTGTGTAGAGACTGACCACAGCGTTCTTGGGGTTGGCCTGTTCATGAGACATGTCCATCAGCTGCTCGGGAGTATACACATGAACCTTACTGAGGACTTTATACCACGCACTAGAGAGAAAGAGAGGGGGGTGGGAGAGAGAGGGGGGGGGGGGGGGGGGGGGGGGAGAGAGATGAGGAGAGACAGTGAGAGGAGGGGGGAGAGAGAGAGGGGGGGTTGGAAAAAGAGAGAGGGAGAGAGGGGAGAGAGAGAGCGAGGGAGAGAGAGAGGGGGGAAGAGAGAGAACAATTTAAGATGAAAATTGATATTATCGTTCTTTTCATAAGCATCATGTCTCCCTTCTCTGTGAGCAAAAACACAGGTGTATCTGAGACCTATGGTTCTACAAGGTTGGTTATTAGAGACCATGGCCAAATACATAAGTCAAACACTTTGGTGTCTCCATACCTGGCGTCTTCTGGCGACTCAGCAAACACCTGGTACGTCCTCTCATCTGTCACGATGTTCAACGCATTCTCCTTCTCATGGTTGTTCACGATCTCCCTGTGAGGAACAGAGAGGGAAGGAAATATGTTTTGCTTTGGGTGTGAGTTGCATTGTGGATAGGGCTTAAGACTGGAGCATTGCATTGTGGGTATTAGAGTCTTACTTGGCGGCGCGGATGTCGATGGTTCCCTTCAGTTTCTCCTCGCTGTCGTTGTCAAAGTACATCAGTTTGTGTTCCCTCAGAACAAACCAACGCATCTTCCAGTTCCTGCAGGGGGGGGGTAGGGTGTAGGGGTTAACACACACTCACACACCAAACACTCCCCTCTAATCCCCCTCTAAACAAACAGACACACACCCCAACCTGCGGGACAGAGTGGACAGTCCTCCTCCCTTCTTATGGAGCCAGCCAGACTTGAGGGACTCCTGTTTGGAGCGGAACCACATGAAGGTCTCATCCTTCAACACACACCACCGCCTCCGCCATGGGATCATCAGACCAGCTAGGAGAGAGAGAGAGAGAGAGAGAGAGAGAGAGAGAGAGAGAGAGAGAGAGAGAGAGAGAGAGAGAGAGAGAGAGAGATACACACACAGTCTCATACAGGTTCACTACGCCACTACGACCAGTTAAAGGGATGGGAGAGAAACATGGCCTGTGTGTAAGTACTGTGTATGTGTGTGTGTGTGTTTGTGTGTGTGTATGTGTTTGTGTGTTTGTGTATGTACTCACCCTTCATGTAGAGGTAGCTATGGAAGTACGGAGGTCCGTTCCCGTTGAGAAGAGTGACCCTGCCGTTGTGTACCTCCTCATCTGTCTCCAACAGCTCATCATGCTCATCATCACTCTCCATGTACTGGACAACACAAATATATACCTCAATATATATCTATCTATACAGCAATATAACACACTAACACCCTCATCACTCACTCTATATGTACTGGACACACTTAGTTTATACAATTATTATATACAGTTGAAGTCGGAAGTTTACATACACTTAGGTTGGAGTCATTAAAACTCGTTTTTCAACCACTCCACAAATGTCTTGTTAACAAACTATAGTTTTTGCAAGTCGGTTAGGACAACTACTTTGTGCATGACACAAGTAATTTTTCCAACAATTGTTTACAGACAGATTATTTCACTTATAATTCACTGTATCACAATTCCAGTGGGTCAGAAGTTAACATACACTAAGTTGACTGTGCCTTTAAACAGCTTGGAAATTTCCAGAAAATGATGTAATGGCTTTACAAGCTTCTGATAGGCTAATTGACATCATTTGAGTCAATTGCAGGTGTACCTGTGCATGTATTTCAAGGCCTACCTTCAAACTCAGTGCCTCTTTGTTTGACATCATGGGAAAATCAAAAGAAATCAGCCAAGACCTCAGAAAAAAAATTGTAGACCTTCACATGTCTGGTTCATCCTTGGGAGCAATTTCCAAATGCCTGAAGGTACCACGTTCATATGTACAAACAATAGTACGAAATGATAAACACCATGGGACCACGCAGCCATCATACCGCTCAGGAAGGAGACGCATTCTGTCTCCTAGAGATAAACGTACTTTGGTGCGAAAAGTGCAAATCAATCCCAGAACAACAGCAAAGGACCTTGTGAAGATGCTGGAGGAAACAGGTACAAAATTATCTCTATCCACAGTAAAACGAGTCCTATATCGACATAACCTGAAAGGCCGCTCAGCAAGGAAGAAGCCACTGCTCCAAAACCGCCATAAAAAAGCCAGACTACGGTTTGCAACTGCACATTGGGACAAAGATTGTACTTTTTGGAGAAATGTCCTCTGGTCTGATGAAACAAAAATAGAACTGTTTGGCCATTATGACCATCGTTATGTTTGGAGGAAAAAGGGGGATGCTTGCAAGCCCGAAGAACACCATCCCAACTGTGAAGCACGGGGATGGCAGCATCATGCTGTGGGTGTGCTTTGCTGCAGGAGGGTCTGGTGCACTTCACAAAATAAATGGCATCATGAGGAAGGAAAATTATGTGGATATATTGAAGCGACATTTCAAGACATCAGTCAGGAAGTTAAAGCTTGGTCGCAAATGGGTCTTCCAAATGGACAATGACCCCAAGCATACTTCCAAAGTTGTGGCAAAATGGCTTAAGGACAACAAAGTCAAGGTATTGGAGTGGCCATCACAAAGCCCTGACCTCAATCCTATAGAAAATGTGTGGGCAGAACTGAAAAAGCGTGTGCGAGCAAGGAGGCCTACAAACCTGACTCAGTTACACCAGCTCTGTCAGGAGGAATGGGCCAAAATTCATCCAACTTATTGTGGGAAGCTTGTGGAAGGCTACCCAAAACATTTGACCCAAGTTAAACAATTTAAAGGCAATGCTAACAAATACTAATTGAGTGTATGTAAACTTCTGACCCACTGGGAATGTGATGAAAGAAATAAAAGCTGAAATAAATTATTCTCTCTACTATTTTTCTGACATTTCACATTCTTAAAATAAAGTGGTGATACTAATTGACCTAAGTAGGTACATTTTTACTAGGATTAAATGTCAGGAATTGTGAAAAACTTAGTTTAAATGTATTTGGGTAAGGTGTATGTAAACTTCCGACTTCAACTGTATATATATATATATATATATATATATATATATATATATATATATATATATATATATATACAGGTAACTGCCAAAATAAAGAAAACACTTGAGTAAATGAGAGATACAAAGTGTATTGAAAGCAGTTGTGGAATTAACATCCCATCATGCTTAGGGTTATGTATAAAATGCTGGGCAGGCCCAGTTGCCCATTATTTTAGTGACCATGGCTAGAAGAAGAGATGTCAGTGACTTTGAAAGAGAGGTGATAGTTGGGGCACATTTGGAAGGAGCTTCAGTGACAAAGACTGCTCAACTTGCTGATGTTTCACGATATGCCATGTCCATCTCAGTCACCAGATCTCAACCCAATTGGACAATTATGGGAGATTCTGAAGCGGCGCCTGAGACAGCGTTTTCCACCACCATCAACAAAACACCAACTGATGGAATTTCTCGTGGAAGAATGGTGTCTCATTCCTCCAATAGAGTTCAAGACACTTGTAGAATCAATGCCAAGGCGCATTGAAGCTGTTCTGATGGCTCTTGGTGGCCGAATAAATATACACAGCAATAACGTGTGTATGTGTGTGTGTGTGTGTATGAGTGTGTGTATGTGTGTGTGTACTAACTGAGTCAGAGCTGCCCCTGTATGACTCTATACTGGCGTTGGTGCATGTGGACTTCCTCAGAGCTTCTTCCTCCGTCATGGCCGCGCTGCCTCTGTTGCTATTCTGCCCGGATACGGAACCATCGTCTCCCGCGTTGACAGACCCCTCCTCCTCGTCGTAATCTGATTCGCCGCTGTCGACCGGCATGCTGTAGATCGGCTCCTCCCCTTCTCCGAGGCTCAATATACTCGTTGTCCTCCCTCCATCACCCTCTTTTTTCTCCCCCTCTTTTCCTTTTCCCTCCCCCTCTCCAGGAGGCAGTGGTGGGGGGGGAGGGAAGGCAGAGCCATCTCCAGCTGGTAAGGGGGGAGGTGGGGGAGGGACGGGAGCAGGTGAGGATGAATCGAGGGGAGGGGGAGGCGGTGTAGCAGTAGAGCCCTCAGCGAAGGCGGGTGGAGGAGGGGGCAGGTGGGCGAACATCTCCTGGTCCACGGCAGCGTCAGTCTCGGCTGGAGGAGGGAAGTCTGGGAGGAGAGGGACGGTGCACTCCTCCTCGGCATGGAAGCCCTCGTCCACCTCCTCCTCCTGGGTTACGGCCGTGGCCACGCCTGGCCCCTCCTGGAGCCGCTGGACGGCAGGGAGACAACGGGTTAGTGTCAGGGCAGATAAGGGCAAATATGTTTTAAGCATATCCAACTTGACACAGGAGAGGGCCACAAAAGAACAACCTCAACACTATTCACGATATACGGAACACCAACCTCTGCGCTAGCGCTAGCGGCGGCTAAACTGGGATCCAGACCACCAAAGTCCAGGAGGTCGATTAGTTCTGTGGCCTTACGAGAGGCCTCCTTCTTCAGCCTCTTGATCTCTGCGTCCCGGCGTAGCCGGAGCTCCTGCCTGGAGGACTCACAGAGCTGGGAGACCCCATCCTCCCTCTGTTTCTGCAGGCGCTCGATCTCCAACTCTATACGCAAGATCTCCTCCATCTGACGGGCCTCTTCTTCCGTCTTTCCTTCCTTTTTCTGGAAGAGGGAGATAGAGGGAGGAGGGGGAAGATGGAGGGAGGAAAGGGAGAGAGACACAATAGAGTGGAGAGGGAGAGAAAGAGAGGAAATTATAAAGAACGTCAGGTGTCATCTCATGACATCCCTATGTCTGATGACATGGATGAGCCCATTCCTATGATAGTCTATGGCCTCAGGACCAGACCATTTTCTAAAAGAGGGGTGAGCAGAGAAAAGAGTAGAGAAGAGAAAGCTCACCTCAGAACCCTGAGCGGCCTTTGCCTCTACTCCTCCCTCCTTCTCTCCTTCCACCTCTCCCTCCTTCTTCCCCTCGCCCGCATCCTCTCCCTTCTTCTTCCCCTCCTCCTGTTCTCTCTTCTTCCTCTCCTCCTCCTCTCTCTTCCTCCTCTCCTCTCGGAGTTTGCGGCAGCGTGTGCGGGCCACCTGTCCTCGTCTGTGTTTCTGGAGCACCCGCGTCGCCAAGCATCGCCGTAGAAACCATTTCCGTTGTATGTGGGTACGAAGGTACCCCTGGAGGGTGATGACGCTCCCCTTCACACGCTTAAAGTGCTTCCTAGCGGTGTAGGTGAGGATGTGGGCTCTGATGACCATGCCTGCTTTACGGCGAACCTCGTCTCTCTCTTTCTCCAAACGCTGTTCCAGAGACTCCTTCATAAACACCTAGAGGTCAGAGGTGTGAGGTCAGGGGTGAGAGGTCAGGGGTCAGGTGGGCAGGGTCTACTAAAGTTCTGCTACAGTCTTACCTTGGTCTTTCCCAGCTGCCACTCCTTCTTGGCGCGGTCGTATTTGGTCAGCAGGTCTGTACTCCTCTTCTTATCATCCCCCGCTCCACTCACCTTCTCCTGCAGAATGATCTGATACCTGTGAGAGGGGAAGAGAGGGGTGGAGAAAGAGGGAGTGAAAGAGTTACAAAGTTAAAACAAACAAAGTTTATTTACATACACTAGCCCAGGAGAGAGAGAATTACAAATTGAGGGGCAGGGGGAAGAGACAGACAGACAGACACACACACACACACACACACACACACACACACACACACACACACACACACACACACACACACACACACACACTGACACTCAAACACACTGACACACACACAGACAAACACACACACTGACCGGCTGAAGAATTCTTTGAAGGTTCTGCGGACAGGAAAGCCGGCCCTGCGGATCTTAACTGTTTCTAGCATCCCAGAATACCTCAGCTGGTTCAGAACCACTTCCGGGTCAAACACGCTAGGGTTCTACACGGGTCAGAGGTCAGAGGTGTTTGGTTACAATAAGATGTTCTGAAATACATTTGTGTTACCCTATGTTCAAGAAGCTTGATGCCAGGTAAAGAGTGTCTTCCCCCACACAAAGATACACTATATATACAAAAGTATGTGGACACCCCTTCAAATTAGTGGATTCGGCTATTTCGGCCACACCCGTTGCTGACAGGTGTATAAAATCAAGCACACAACAATGCAATCTCCATAGACAAACAATGTCAGTAGAATGGCCTTACTGAAGATCTCAGTGACTTTAAACGTGGCACCGTCATAGGATGCCACCTTTTCAACAAGTCAGTTCGTCAAATTTCTGCCCTGCTAGAGTTGCCCCGGTCAACTGTAAGTGCTGTTATTGTGATGTGGAAACGTCTAGGAGCAACAACGGCTCAGCCGCAAAGTGGTAAGCCACACAAGCTCACAGAACGGGACCGCTGAGTGTTGAAGCGCATACAAATCGTCGGTCCTCGGTTGCAACACTCACTACCGAGTTCCAAACTGCCTCTGGAAGCAACATCAGCACAAGAACTGTTAATCAGGAGCTTCATGAAATGGGTTTCCATGGCCGAGCAGCCGCACACAAGCCTAAGATCACCATGCGCAATGCCAAGCGTCGGCTGGAGTGGTGTAAAGCTCGCCTCCATTGGACTCTGGAGCAGTGGAAACGCGTTCTCTGGAGTGATGAATCACGCTTCACCATCTGGCAGTCCAACAGACAAATCTGGGTTTGGCGGATGCCAGGAGAACGCTACCTGCCCGAATGCATAGTGCCAACTGTAAAGTTTGGTGGAGGAGGAATAATGGACTGGGGATGTTTTTCATGGTTCGGGCTAGGCCCCTTATTTCCAGTGAAGGGAAATCTTAACACTCCAGCATTCAATGACATTCTAGACAATTATGTGCTTCCAACTTTGTTTGGGGAAGGCCCTTTCCTATTTCAGCATGACAATGCCCCTGTGCACAAAGCGAGGTCCATATAGAAATGGTTTGTCAAGATCGGTGTGGCAGAACTTGATTGGCCTGCACAGAGCCCTGACCTCAACCCCATCGAACACCTTTGGGATGAATTGGAATGCCGACTGCGAGCCAGGCTTAATCTCCCAACATCAGTGCCCGACCTCACTAATGCTCTTGTGGCTGAATGGAAGCAAATCCCAGCAGAAATGTTCCAACATCTAGTGGAAAGCCTTCCCAGAAGAGTGGAGGCTGTTATAGCAGCAAAGGGGGGACCAACTCCATTTTAATGCCCATGATTTTGGAATGAGATGTTCGACGAGCAGGTGTCCACATACTTTTGGTCATGTACGTGTATGTAAAGTGATAGGTAGGACTTTTGGGGTTAATATAGATACGTAGTGTGAAATATATAGATATGTAATAGATAATGCTAACCTTTTCGTTGTTGGGTTTGATGCAGCGCACGAAGAAAGGGTTGGACACACTCAGAGTGGCCATGAGGGAATGGAGAGAGTCCTGAGAGATAGACACAGAGAATCAGTACACACACACACACACACACACACACACACACACAATCACACACACAACTTCTCTCACCCTAAACTGTGAGCTGACTGTAGGCTTGCGTCTGGCTGTTCCCATCTTCAGAGTCTCCTCACTGTTCCTGCTGCCCACTCTCTCAAACAGATCATAGATGAAGTCCAGTCTGCTCTCCTTCAGCATGTTGAGGATGTCGTCTCTGAATGTATCTCTGTTCTTCTCCAGAACCCCCGTGACATCATATAGAACCTCTCCAGCATAGTGCCTGATGCCAAACTGGTGGTCAGCCAGTCGAGGCTTCACATAGTAAGGGTTTGTCTGCAGAGAGAGGAGAAGTTATAGCACACCATATTAATGAATGTCACATAGTAGCATGTGTGTCTGTCACCGGAGGCTGGTGAGGGGAGGACGGCTCATAATAATGGCTGGAATGGAGTGAATGGATTGGTATCAAACTATGTGTTTGATGAGTTTTATACCATTAAGTACACTCTGTTCCAGCCATTACTATGAGCCAATCCTCCCCAATGAAGGTGCCACCAGCCACCTGTGGTGTGTGTGTGTGTGTGTGTGTGTGTGTGTGTGTTGGGTGGGGCGGGGTTTTTTATGTGGATCTGTGTGTATGTGTACTGTATGACTCACAGAGTGCCTGCTGTGTAGTTTCTCCAGCAGTGTGAAGTCTGTCCCTTTGGGGAAGCGACTCTCCTCGTTGACCAATGCTAGCATGCCCAGTTTCTGCCAGAGAGACACACAACCAAAACATCAGATTAACGTCATAGTAACATTACATCAACATTAAATCAACTTCATTTTAACATTACAGCAGCCCCAGTGTTGGACTGAATCTCAAATGGCACCCTATTCCCTATATAGAGCACTACTTTTGGCCAGAGCCTCATGGGCCCAAAGTAATGGACTAAATAGGGAATACAGATGTAGGATCTTAATTTGATCACCTTGTTGCATGAGAAGTTTCTTGCAATGCAGGACATTTTAAAACGTGTAGTGTATTTGAGGTTTAAAGAGGCTTCTGAAGTTTGTAATTTCCACTTTGAAATTTCAGACCTGATTTTCCCTTACGAAAAATTTATTAACCCCCACAAAAATGTACATTAATTATAATCTACAGTGGGGAAAAAAAGTATTTAGTCAGCCACCAATTGTGCAAGTTCTCCCACTTAAAAAGATGAGAGAGGCCTGTAATTTTCATCATAGGTACACGTCAACTATGACAGACAAATTGAGAAAAAAGAATCCAGAAAATCACATTGTAAAAATTTATATGAATTTATTTGCAAATTATGGTGGAAAATAAGTATTTGGTCACCTACAAACAAGCAAGATTTCTGGCTCTCACAGACCTGTAACTTCTTCTTTAAGAGGCTCCTCTGTCCTCCACTCGTTACCTGTATTAATGGCACCTGTTTGAACTTGTTATCAGTATAAAAGACACCTGTCCACAACCTCAAACAGTCACACTCCAAACTCCACTATGGCCAAGACCAAAGAGCTGTCAAAGGACACCCGAAACAGAATTGTAGACCTGCACCAGGCTGGGAAGACTGAATATGCAATAGGTAAGCAGCTTGGTTTGAAGAAATCAACTGTGGGAGCATTTATTAGGAAATGGAAGACATACAAGACCACTGATAATCTCCCTCGATCTGGGGCTCCACGCAAGATCTCACCCCGTGGGGTCAAAATGATCACAAGAACGGTGAGCAAAAATCCCAGAACCACACGGGGGGACCTAGTGAATGACCTGCAGAGAGCTGGGACCAAAGTAACAAAGCCTACCATCAGTAACACACTACGCCGCCAGGGACTCAAATCCTGCAGTGCCAGATGTGTCCCCCTGCTTAAGCCAGTAATTGTCCAGTCCCATCTGAAGTTTGCTAGTGTGCATTTGGATGATCCAGAAGAGGATTGGGAGAATGTCATATGGTCAGATGAAACCAAAATAGAACTTTTTGGTTCGTCGTGTTTGGAGGACAAAGAATGCTGAGTTGCATCCAAAGAACACCATACCTACTGTGAAGCGTAGGGGCGGAAACATCATGCTTTGGGGCTGTTTTTTCTGCAAAGGGACCAGGACGACTGATCCGTGTAAAGGAAAGAATGAATGGGGCCATGTATCGTGAGATTTTGAGTGAAAACCTCCTTCCATCAGCAAGGGCATTGAAGATGAAACGTGGCTGGGTCTTTCAGCATGACAATGATCCCAAACACACCGCCCAGGCAACGAAGGAGTGGCTTCGTAAGAAGCATTTCAAGGTCCTGGAGTGGCCTAGCCAGTCTCCAGATCTCAACCCCATAGAAAATCTTTGGAGGGAGTTGAAAGTCCGTGTTGCCCAGCGACAGCCCCAAAACATCACTGCTCTAGAGGAGATCTGCATGGAGGAATGGGCCAAAATACCAGCAACAGTGTGTGAAAACCTTGTGAAGACATACATAAAACGTTTGACCTGTGTCATTGCCAACAAAGGTTATATAACAAAGTATTGAGAAACTTTTGTTATTGACCAAATACTTATTTTCCACCATAATTTGCAAATAAATTCATTAAAAATCCTACAATGTGATTTTCTGGATTTTTTTTCTCATTTTGTATGTCATAGTTGACGTGTACCTATGATGAAAATTACAGGCCTCTCTCATCTTTTTAAGTGGGAGAACTTGCACAATTGGTGGCTGACTAAATACTTTTTTTCCCCACTGTACATAATAATTCACATTTCCTGTTGTTGCAGGATTTTTTTTCCTGCTGTAGCAAACTGGCTCAAATTAAGATTCTACATCTGTAGAATGCCATTTGGGAGACTACCTTGGTCTCTTACCTTCTCTATGAGGTCCAGACACTCAGCGTTATCCATCCAGTCTATGGCTTCCCACTGGACTCCCTCCCTATGGACACACAACGTTATCACAGGTAGAGCCCAACATAGTTTCTGTCTCAGAATGTGTATGTATATCTCAGTGTGTGTGTGTGTGTATGTGTGTGTGTGTATACCTGTTGTACTCCAGTTGTTCCAGAGAGAAGATGTGTTTGTTGAAGTACTCCTGCAGCTTCTCGTTGGCGTAGTTGATGTTGAACTGCTCAAACCGATTCACCTAGAGGGACAACACACACACACCTTTGAGATATGGAGAGAAAGAGTGTGTGTGTGGTTGTGTACCATATGCATGTGCATGTGTAGCGAGATAGCTCAGTGGGATAGAGATGAACTGGTTTAGAACCATCAGTCATACGTGCATTTGTGTGTGTGAGTGTGTGTGTGTGTGTGTGTGTGTGTGAGAGTGTGTGTGTGTGTGTTGGACAACAATGGAAGTTGAAATAGAAGCCCTTCACCTGGAAGTTCTCGAAGCCGAAGATGTCCAGTATTCCGATGGATTTGAAGTTGTCTTTCCCTTTGATCTTCTGGTTGATCCGGAGAATGATCCAGGAAAAACACTGGGAATACAGAGCCATGGAAACAGAGTCCCGGGAATCCACTGCCTGGAAGAGAGCGCAAGAGAGAGAGAGGGGGGAGAGGGGGAGAGAGAGAGAGAGAGGAGAGGGGCAGTGAAACTTCCGTGCACTGTGTGTTAATGCAAACGCATGTGTAAGTCCCTGTGTGTGTATGTGCGAGAGTATGTGTGTTTGTGTGTGTGTACCTGTTCTATGGTGAGCGGAGAGCATATCTCTTCTCCTCTGAGGATCATGGATCTCTGCGTCAGCACTTCAGACAGCTGGAAGCAGTCCAGACCGAGTAGCTCACTGACATTACTGAGCACTGGAGAGAGAGAGAGAGAGAGAGAGAGAGAGAGAGAGAGAGAGAGAGAGACGTTACACACACACACGCACGCACATGCACACACACACACACACACACACTCACACACATACCCTGTTTGGTGGTGATCTGTGCTCCTCCGGCGGTCATGAACTGGATGTTGCCCAGCTGTAAGACTCCAGACAGCAGTTTGAACATGTCTCTGGTCTCCTCCTCACTGAACTCCATCACCTTCAACGCCTCCTACATGGTCAATACAAAACCAGTGTTCAGCATTACAATGTCACAAAAACACACACGCAAATACAACACACACAGACACACACACACACACACACACACACAAACACACACACACACAAACATACAAATATTACAAAACATACACACACGTACAAACACAGTTACAAACACACACACACAAATATCCCACACACACACACATGCATACTCACACACGCATACACACACACACTAACCATGACGCTGTTGAAGAGTTGTTTATCGTCCAGGCTCTTGTCTTTGAGACAGCCTGATTGGCTGAGGTAGTGGAATGACTCAGGAGGGTCGTCGAGGAAATACAGCTCTGATAGGAGACACAACAGACATCAGGACAATGTTAACACAGCATCACCACAACATTGGGACAACATAACTACAATATTACCACCCATTTGGACAGCATTGATAATGTTGTGGTCAACATCACAACAACCATAACTTCAACATGACCAGAACTCTCCTCACCCCTGTGTTCCTTGTTGGCTCCGGCCAGCAGGGCGTAGAAGATGTGGTAGTTCCGTTCTCCAGGGTTCTGTCTCACCACGCGGTTCTACAGTAGAAGGAACACAGGTCTAGAACAAGTTGTGTGTGTGTGTGATTTTATGTGTGCATGTGTGTGTGTGTGTGTGTGTGTGTGTGAGACCACCCCAGATAGAGGGTAGAACATTACCTTTTCCAGTAAATCTGAGAGGAAAGGAGTTAAGGAGTGGTCAACATGTAGAACAAATATGAAGTGTTATGGCTGGGGTCCCTGCAGACCAGGTTGAGAATCACTGGGGTGGGACTGGGGACAGGGAGAGTAGGACAGAACCACTGGGGTGGGACTGGGGACAGAGAGAGCAGTACAGAGAAGGATACAGTCAACGATACATCCACCATGGATGTTCCCGCTCTGGGAAAAGTGGAGCTGGATGAACTTCCCAAAGCGACTGGAGTTGTTGTTGTACACTGTCTTGGCATTCCCAAATGCCTCCATGATAGGACTGCACACAGAGAGGAATATTAGTGTGTGTGTATTTAGATAGTTGTGTGTGTGTGTGTGTGTGTGTGTGTGTGTGTACCTGCTCTGAACGATGGACTGCTCCACACGTGTGGTCCTCTCAGAGGGAGGCGTCCCAGCAGAGTTCTGGCTCATCACAGACAGGAACTGGAGCAGCAGCTTAGTGCTCTCTGTCTTACCAGCCCCCGACTCCCCACTGGAACACACACACACCACACACACACACACACACCACACACACACACACACACCACACATGCACACACATGGTCACACCCACACATACATGGTCACACCCTAAAAACCACACTTAACCTTTCTCTGACCTTCTCCACCAAATTAATCTGATAGGTTAACACAATTTGTACGTTATTGCCTGGACTATAACAGATATTAAGCAGTGATTGATTAATAGATATTGAGTTAGCCTTTGGTCTGTAAACCAATCAGATTAAAGAGTGAATCTTCATTGGATGTGATTGGACAAGCGGTCAGATGGGAAAGGTCTAAACAACAACTTCATATTCGACCAATCAAATCTCACCTGATGAGGACGCATTGGCTGTCGTGTCGTTTCCAGATGCAGCGGTAACACTCATTGGCTACAGCGAAGATATGGGGCGGGAGTTCTCCGATGTGGTGTCGACTATACAGCTCAACTCTATCTAGGTCATACATGCCTGGGATCTGTTTATAAGGGTTCACCGCTGCCAGGATACTGCCTATGTTGGTCTGAGACACACAGACACACACACACGCACGCACACACACACACACACACACACACACACACACACACACACACACACACACACACACACACACACACACACACACACACACACACACACACACACACACACACACACACACACACACACACACACACACACATACACACATACACACACACACACACACACACACACACACACACACACTAGTTGTATCCAGCACCAGGATAGAATGTACTACATATTCCTCAGAGAAACACAGACAGATGAGAGAACAGAGCTAGAGAGGGGAGAAAGAAGGGCAGCCATTTTGGAGTATTAGAACAGAGCGGTCATCCTTGTTTACTTCCCTTACAGTCAGCTGACACATCAAGTCAGCAAGCCTCACATCGGATCCTATTCTGTACTCCGCATATTCTCTGACACACACACACACACGCGCGCACGCACACACTGACACAGAAACCTGACCAGCACACCGGGTGAATTAATACGATCAGCTTAAAGGATATCCCTCTTCATCATCTAGATAAGGTCATACACCGTGTCCTCTGTCTCACACAGATACACAGTGTATTTTATCATCTACATTAGGTCACTCTGTGTGTCTCTGTGTCCTTTAAGCCATTTATCTTTCTATGTTTTGTGTCTGTCTGCCTGTCAATTAATGATTCTGTCAATTAATGATTTCAAATCAATCCCCCCTTTAGGGGATAACACAGTAATGTTGTCTACTACTGTAGAGAAGTGCATTATGGTTAGTAGGGCTGGGGCTAGGCTAGGTGCCAGTAAAGCAGATGTGAACTACTTAACTAGTAACCATGTGTTGTGCTTTGACGTCACCTTTCACACTACATTATTGCAAGAGTGTGTAATGTATAGACCAGCTCCCCAGACACACACACACACACACACACACACACACACACACGCTCAGACAGACAGAAGATGAGATGATGATAAGATAATTTGTGTTTACCGTCAAAAGCCTTTAGCCGGGAGATTACCGGAAGAGGAGGGGAGGGGGCAACATTCATTGTATAGCACACGCATGTGTGCGTGCATGTGTGTGTGTGTGCATGTGTGTGTGCGTGCATGTGGTTTTTTTTGGGTTTATTCAAGATGCTGTCCTTATTTTTGGTGAGGTTTTGCATAAACCTTTTTATCTGGCCCAATACATTTTACCCATTACCCACTAGAAGCACCTATTTCCGGGCCCCAAAACGGGAGAAAAAAAAATAGGAGGGCAAATAGAAAGAGGGGGCAGAAAGAACGGGGGAGGGAGAGGGGGAAAAAAATTTTCCCCAAAACGGGGCCCCCTTTTTCCTTTTTTTCCTTTTCCTCCCGTTTTGGGGGGGGGGCCTCCCCCTTTTTCCCCCCTTTTTCCCCTTTTTTTTCCCCCCCTTTTTTTTTTTTTTTTTTTTTTTTTTTTTCTCCCCCGGGGGGGGTACCAAAAAAAAAAATAAAAAAAAAAGAAAAATTTTTGTAAACTTTTGGCCCCTTTGGTTTTCCCCGGTTTTCCGGGGGGGAGGGGGACTTCAGATGCCCCTGTTGTGGGTTTGGGTTTGCGTTGTGTGTCCTTGGTGTTTTATTGCTATTACATATGCGTCTTTTCGGTACTTGGTAATTTAGAGGGTGTATTTAAGGGAAAACCACCACCAAACACTAAAATACACTCCCCCACCCAACCCCATATAAAATAGATTAGATAATATTAGATAAAGCGGGAGAAAACAAAAAGGAGGAAAGAAAGTGAGAAGATTTTAGCTTTGTTCGAGAGTTGGCGTTCGTAGGGCTTGCATTTTTGTTGGGTTTTGCCTTGTGTTTCGGTGCTCGCGCTCGTTTTGGTCTCTCGTCTCTCTCTTTTCGTCTGCTCAGTCGTGCCAACCCTTCCTTCGCCCCTGTTTCTTCTCCTCTACGGTTTGCCCCTCCCCCCCCGGCCCTGAGGGCACACTAGGAAGAGATAGAGACGGAGAGGGGGAGAGAGAAATTCCCTGCAGCGCTCTCGACCTGCCTTTCGCCTCTCCTTCGTCGCTTTCCTGGCTACGCCCTTGCTCTGCCCCTCGCTTTTTTTCTGCTCTCTTCTCTTCTCCTTCTCTTCCGCCTCTTGCTGGTTGTTTTTCTCTGATCTCTGCGCGTCTCCTCTCCTCGCCTTCCTTCTCTCCTCTATTCTCTCGTGCCCTCTCTCTCCTCCCGCTTCTCTTCGCGTCGCTCTCTTGCAGTCGATTTCGCTCGTTTGCGGGGGCGGTCGTCCCCATAAGAATATAAAGGAAGTAAATCGCAAAGGTTAGGTTAAGTGATTTAGTTTTCTCATTTCAATTAAAAACCAATTCATGAATCGAGAAAGTATATAAAAAAAACAGTGGTATTTTCAATTCTTGCAATTCCTCTTCTGAACTGAAAGAATTGAACAGGAAATGAGCACCACTGGTGTACTGAGGGTGTTGCTATGGCCCTTCCACTGGTGTATTGTTGTTGCATTGGCTCCTAGTACAATGGGTTGGTAAATACCCATTTATACCATGTACTTAACACAGACACAGCGAGATTAGCAGACAAGTTTCTCTTTTCAGGGTAATTATGATGTAACAAATACATCAGTTCCCCCCCTGCTGCTCCTTCATTCTACATCTACTCATTCACTTCTCTTTTTTGGACCTGCACTGTACTGATTACATCTGCAACCCTGTGCATGTGACTAATAAACTCATCTAATTCAATCTACACTATATATATGTCTGCTAAATGACAAGAATGTAAATGTAATATACAAAAGTATGTCAACACTCCTTCAAATTAGCAGATTTGGCTATTTCAGCCACACCCGTTTGCTGACAGGTGTATAAAATCGAGCACACCATCCATGCATCTCCATAGACAAACATTGGCAGTAGAATGGCCTTACTGAGAGCTCAGTGACTTTCAATGTGGCACCGTATAGGATCCCCCTTTTCCCCAACAAGCCCATTCGTCAATTTCTCCCCCCCTAAGCTCCCCCAGTAAACTGTAATGCTGTTTTTGGGGGAAGGGGAAAACTCTAGGAGCAACAACGTTTTTCAGCCGCAAAGTGGTGGGCCAAAAATCTCAAAAAAACGAACCCCCGGGTTTCCCCAAGACCGCCTCGCCCCAAAAACTGTTAGCCCGGGTAGCTTCTTTAAAGGGGTTTTCCCCCAGGGCCGAGCGGGCCTGCACACAACCCCTAAGATCCCGTGAAAGACCCTTCGGCGGGAGTGGTGAAAAAAAGCCCCCCGCCCCCCCATTGGACCCCTTTAGCAGGGGAAACCCTTTTTCCCTTTTTGGGGATAAATAAAAATTCTTTCTTAATTTTCCATAAACTTTCACCTTTCCTGGGCCTCCTTTTTTGGTTAATTTTTCGGGGTTTTTGGCCCGGAAAACCAAAGAGAATCCCTCCTCCCCAAATGCATGTGCCAACGGGTTTGGATAATAAGGGTTTTGGGCTTTTTTTCAGGGTTTCGGGGTTTGGCCAAACCTTTTTTCCATCGGGAAATTTTAAACGTAAGGGAAATCAAAAACGCTCCCCAAAAATTACAATAAAAAATTCAAAAGAACGATTCTTTGTTTTTCCAAACCTTTGGGGCAACATTTTGGGGAAGCCCCCTTTCCTTTTTTCAGCATAAAATGCACAAATCAAAGGTCCATACAGAAGGGGTTTTGTCGGATGGGTGGGGAAGAACTGACTTTCCCTCCGCAGGGCCCCTTTCCCCCCCTGACCTCCCCCCCCCCCAAACAAAAGACCCATATTAATGGGCCATTTTTTTGTGGAATGAGATGGGGCGGGTGTCCCACATACTTTTTTCCAGAATTTTTTTTTCTTTTCCCCTTTTCCCCCCCCCTTTCTTTTTTCTCTCTCCCCCTCCCCTCCCCCTAATAAATCTGCCCCCTCCCCCCCCCGTCTTCCCCCGCTCCCGCCCTCCTCCCCCCTCTCGCTCCTCCCCTTTCGTCTTTCCCTCCCCCTCTTGCCCCCCCTTCCCCGGGATTTTCTGGGGGCGGTTGGGCCCTTTTCTGGGGGGCCCCTCGTACTTTCCCTGCTTTTTTCCCCCTGGGGTTCCTCTCGCCCCCGCTGCCCCGGGGATCCTGGGGGGGGGTTATTGAGGGTGGGGGGTTGGGGGTTGCCCCCTTTTTCCCCCGGTCTGGGGCGGGGGGTTGTCCTCCGCCGGGGGGCCCTTTAATCTTTGCCTGCGGGGGCCCGGGGGTGGGGGTTTGGGGGGTATAACTTCCGGGGGCCTTTTGGGACTTCGGAGTCCCCCCTTGCGGTCTTGGTGGGGGGAAATTTTAACCCGGGGGGGCTAGCCTCTTTCGTGGGGTTGGTCCCTTTTTTGGGGAAGGTTCGCCCCCGGGGAAAGGTGGGGGGGAAAAAGGGTCTCGCTTTTCGGGGGGTTCTCCTTTCCTCCTCCCCAAAAATCTCTTCCCCCTTTTTCATTCTGCATGTAAAAGACCCAAAGGGGCCCCCACATTATGTCATCAGTTTCCATGGAAACTGGAAAAAGGGGGCCAAAAGAGGGGGGGACCCCCAGGGAACGAGAGAGGGGAAAAAGGAAGAAGAGACCGAAGTAGGGGGCGAGAGAGGGGTTGGGGAAGAATAAAGGCGAAGAGGGGAAAAGTAGGAAGGAGAGAAGAAAACCCTTTTTTTCTCCATGTCACGGGGTCTTTTAAAGCCATGTAACCACCAGTCCTTTCACTAACATGGCATGAAAAAAGGAGAGAGGAGGTGGGGAGCCCCAATCTAACCCCCCTGATATCATAAAGCCCTGCCCGTACAAAAATAACGGGGGAAGTAAATGAATTTAAAATGCAGTAACAGAAGGATTTACATGTTTTTTTTCCCTAAAAAGGGTTCATTCATTTCATTCCAATAAACGAGGGGCCCCCTCATCTGAAAATAAAGAAAGGGTCCTATAAAATTACCAAGTTCAATGTCATTTCATATTTTTTCCCCAACGTCGGGTTTGGGTTTTTTGACCCACTGCCTGGTTTTTTGAAGGGGATTGACAGCCCGGGTAACCCAAAGGTAACCCGTCAAAACCACACCACCAAAACACCCCACACACACACACACAAAACACCCCCACACACACATCACACCCCACACAAAACCCCAAGGGGCCAAAGGGGGGCACCCCCCAACAACCACAAACCAAAAAACACACCCCCAAAACACCCCCACACACACCCCCACCTAAATTGATCTATCTCCCCCTCCCCTCCCCCTCCCCCTCTCCTCCCCCCTCTCCGCTCTCTCTCTCTCTCTCTCTCTCTCCTTCATTCTGCAATTTGTTAAGGAAGCCAAAAGGGGGGGCCCTCCACCCCCCCCCCCCCCCCCCCCCCATCTCAGTCAATTTCATTTTTTTCCATGGCAATTATGAGATGAGTTCCAAAGGGGGAAAAGGGAGTCCTTAACGGAGAAGGAACAGAGGCAGACGTGTGATTTGACCCGAGGGATTTGAAGGGGAAAATTTCAGTCGGTAAGAAAGGTAAGAGGCAAATCCCCCAACACCACCAACACACCCACCCCACAACCCCACCCAAAAAAATAATGGAGGTCCAACCCATTAATGTATCGTATCCCATGCCCATACAATTATGTACAAAGCCAAAGAAGAACAGCCAACCAACCAAACATTACCAAAATCTTCACATCCATACTTAGTCCTCCCCAAATAATCTCCATAGATCCTTTTCCTTCACCATTTTTCCATTTTGTATTTCCCACTCCTATTATATCCCCTAGGGTCCTCCCCACACCCAACCGCCCCCCACAACACACCCCCAAATACCCCTCCCCAAACCACACTCTTTCCTAAACTTAGTTCTGTGACCCCCATTCCCATATTTTATTTAATCTTTCAACCCGCCATCAAACACACCCCCAAACCTTTCCCTCCCCACATCTCCTCCAATCTCTATGTCCTCCCCACATCTATTTTCCATATCTGTTTTCCTCCCCACATCTCTTTTCCATATCTTTTGGGCCTCCCCACATCTCTCTTCCAATTTTCCCTGTCCTCCCCACTCTCTCCCCTCTCTCTGCTCGGTCCTCCCCACTCCCCTTCTCCATATCTCTATGTCCTCCCACTTCTTTTCCATATCCTTGTCTCCCCACATCTCTCTCCATACCTCTCTGTCCTCCCCACATCTCTCTCCATATCCCTATGTCCTCCCCACATCTCTCTCATATCTCTCTGTCCTCCCCACATCTCTCTCCATAGCTCTGTCTGTCCTCCCCACATCTCTCTCCATATCTCTATGTCCTCCCCACATCTCTCTCCATATCTCTCTGTCCTCCCCACATCTCTCTCCATATCTCTATGTCCTCCCCACATCTCTCTCCATTCCTCTGTCATCCCCACACTCCCTCCAATCCTCTGTCCTCCCCACATCTCTCCCATCTCCACTGTCCTCCCCCCCCAAACATCCTCCCATACTCTAGTCCTCCCCACATCTCTCTCCATATCTCTCTGTCCTCCCCACATCTCTCTCATATATGTCTCACCAAAGTCTCTCAATACTCGTAACCCCACATCTCTCTCCATATCTCTCTGTCCTCCCCACATCTCTCTCCATATCTCTCTGTCCTCCCCACATCTCTCTCCATATCTCTCTGTCCTCCCCACATCTCTCTCCATATCACTCTGTCATCCCACATTCTCTCCTATCTCTCGGGTCCTCCCCATCTCTCCTCCATATCCTATGTCCTCCCCACATCTCCTCTATATCTCTCTGTCCTCCCCACATCTCTCTCCATATCTCTCTGTCCTCCCCACATCTCTCTCCATATCTCTCTGTCCTCCCCACATCTCTCTCCATATCTCTCTGTCCTCCCCAATCTTCTCCTTTTCTTTCCTGTCTTAAATCACTAAAATCTTTCTATCTCCTTTTATCCTTCACCCCCTCTATTTCTCCTTCTTCCAGCATGGGAAGGAAACACTTTGTGGACTGTGTGGGGTTGTGTTGGTGTGTGTGTGTGTGTGTGTGTGTGTGTGTGTGTGTGTGTGTGCATGCGTGCATGCATGGGTGGGAAATGCCTGTCCATCTGTTGTGTTATGGGTTCACACACGTTAGTCATGGTTCACACAGCTGCATACATATGGAGATAACACACACACCTTGTACACACACACACACTTCGTACACACACACACACATTGCATACACACAGAGCAAACACAGGTTGTAGGAATTGTGTGTCATGCCAGGGAGGTAGTAGTGTAATGCCACATCACCAAACCTTGTACATTTT